TCCGGGAATATCTGGCTGCTCTTTATTGTAGTTGAAGAAGGTGGAAGACCTGGTTTAATTCCTTTGAGCCATGACTCTGTACCACAGATGATGTCGGGTTTAATATAGTCAATTGCTGCCCTAAACTCCGATCTATTGGTTCTTACGCTGCAGCAGTTTATTGTTAGAAGACGCAAATTTCCGTTTTTGCAGATGTAGGGGTTTGCTGGTAGATTATCATTTGTTCACGATTTCCTCCCTGATCTACGTCTAGTTGGTCTCCCTTTGGGGCTGCTGGTGTGGTGAGGGCTGGAGTTAGTCAAAGGTGATATAGAGTCGATAGAGTTATATAACTTCGATAGAGATTGGTAAATATTTGAAGTTTCAAAGCTGTTAAATGTTATGCTGTCAATGTTAATAGAGTCAAATTTATAGCAATGCCAAATTACACTCGAGTGTTCCAGGTGAGACAGATTTCATGAGCTGATATCCCTACATTTCTTGTGGTACCACATACTACAATTATTGCAGTAGGCTCCAATCTGTTGCCAGGTGACAGGGATTTCGCACATGCCGCATGGGAAAATTGACTTATTTCCGGGGCCTGGGTTCAAGTTTATGTCTCCAGATATGATAATTAGAAGGAGAATAATGCATTTACGCTGTCTACCTGTTCCATTGATGTTAGCGTTGTGTACTGCTTGTCTAGTGGAACATGGGAGATGTTCCTGAGATATAATCGATGACACATCAATGTATGCTAGTTTGGTGGTTGAACCTGGGAAATGTTTGTTTCCATGTGTCCAAAAGTATGCCAAAGATGTTAGAACTAGGCAATAAGTCAAAAGAATGGGTGATGTTGATAGTTTTTTGACCATTGTAAACAATTTATGCCGATAGAACGGAAGTTGTTAAATTTCGTGTTGTGATGAGTGGTCGAGGGGTATTACCATCATTTACCTGTGTGTTACATAGTTATTTTGTTCACAAGATCCAAAATTGTCATATAAGTATATGCACCAGAAATGTCTATTTACAAGTTGTGTTTTTCAATCGATAGGATGTTTTTGTTAGTTCCAGTGCTCTCGTTCAGAAAAGACGTCTACCATCTTGCGCATGCGCACTTCCACTGGTATATCAAAGTTGTGAACCTCTAGAGGCCACAATTTTGATCCGATTTGGATGAAACTTGGAATGCAAGTTTATAATTATAACCCAAACATCTCGGTGCCTGTCAATATTCGCGCATCTCGCATCTTAAAGTTGCAATTGGAAATTTTCAAGTTATATTTTTAAAATGTATTAAAATAAAGCCTTAAAATAGATAGTATCTATAAACAGTCCTACCTTGTTAAAGAATAATCCTATTAATCCTATAATTCGCTATTGCCAACTGAGAAATTGGCAAAAATATCATTTTTAACTTCAAATTCCAACGTTGGAAAATGGCTTCTCCATGTTGTCAATAGCAAAAAAGGGGAGGTAATTGTGTTGTTATTTCCTGTGTCATAGATTTTTAAGGGTGGCAAATAATGCCCATGATCGCATAATAGTGATTTGATAACCTATTGAGCAAAAGACATAGAAATAATTATGTTTTGACTTTCTTAGAAAATTTGAAATTCTCGCTTTAACTTCCCGAATTATGGCCTCTGATTGTACGAACCAGCGGCTGCCAAGCAGGATACGCCCAGATTTTCGAGAGATGGGTAGTGAACAAGCTAAAAAGAAAGTGATTTTTCCTACAATCAAGGACCATAATTCAAGAAATTACAATTCGACATGCGCAAATATCGAAAGGAACCGAGATCCTTGGGTTATAAACTTACATTTCAAGTTTCAACAAAATCGGATAAAAATTGTGACCTCTATAGGGTCCACAACCTTGATATACCATGTTTTTACGCTATTTTTTTTAAATCGGATAAAAATTATCTATAGGGTTAACAAGCTAAAAACGCGATTTTTCGTACAATCAGGGGCCATAATTCAGGAAGTTACGTCCGATATGCGCGAATATCGAAAGGAACCGAGATCTTTGGGTTATAAACTTACATTTCAAGTTTCAACAAAATAGGATTAAAATTGTGACCTCTATAGGGTCCAGAACCTTGATATACCATATCTTTACGCTATTTGAGAATGAAGGGCGGCCATTTTGTCTGTCAGTTTTGGGCGTTTTGGGTGATATAATAATACGTTTTTTTTTTAAATCGGATAAAAATTATGACCTCTATAGGGTCCACAAGCTAAAAACGCGATTTTTCGTACAATCAGGGGTCATAATTCATAAAGTTACGGTCCGATATGCGCGAATATCGAAAGGAAGCGAGATCGTTGGGTTATAAATTTACATTTCAAGTTTCAACAAAATCGGATAAAAATTGTGACCTCTATAGGGTCCACAAGCTAAAAATTTGATTTTTCGTACAAACAGGGGCCATAATCCATGAAGTTTCGATCCGATACATGCCAATATCGAAAGCAACCGAGATCTTTTGGAGATAAACCTATATTTCAAGTATCGTCAAAATCGGATAAGAATTGTGACCTGTAGAGTGTCCACAAACACATTGTGGACGGACGGACGTCCGGGCGGACAGGGGCGACGACAATTTATACGTCCACATGAAAATGTGGGCGTATAAAAATCACGTTTTTAGCTTGTGGTCGATGACAAAATGGAAATGGACGAAAATAATGTAAATATTTGAAAAAAGTGGCTCTGATACCGTTTTGTGGGAGTATTTGTGGAAATCAAAACGACTAGATTGAAGAAAAAGCATATCTGAGTGAATCAGCAGAGGTTAAATTGCCTGATATTGCGAATTGTTGAATAAGACCGAGGCGAGAGCAGGTAAAATCGAGGCTTCAACAGGCATTGCATCCTTGTTCCTTTTTATTATATACTATCTGGTTGAGCGTGGTGTATGCATATTATACGGATAGAAGGCCAGACTCGTGTGCCCATACCCATAAAATTTGAGGATCGTATAAAGCTCTTCTCAAGTGGTTCACGTGTTCAGATTAATGATGAAATTTGTTAACTCTTTAATTTAATTCGATTACCTTTTTTGATCAGTAGAAATGATTGATTTGATAAGAATTCACTGAAACCAAACCATTCAGATTTAGGTGGACCAGGTATGGCTTCAGTAACCTCTTCAGTTTGTTTTATGAATTCTGTGTGCATTCAATATGCTTTGATTTTGTTTTTCAAATTTATATGAAAATTATTTTCGTATGAATATAAAATGTACGCATTTTATCCTATTAAATGCTTGCACCCAATTCCGATTTAAAAAATAACAACAATTAAAGTTAAATCTATGACAACTAAAGATTGCGGTAAAGTTCGTCAATGTCATTCAAAGTCATATTCCTAGGGTCGTGATGATGAACGTTTAGTAACAAATAAAGACCGCTCTCAGTTCAACTCAACCCAACCTATTGAGAATGGTTATTCTTACAATCATATATTGCTGAAAGAAAAAATAATTGATCAATATGTTATGCACGGCATTTGTTCAATTTATGACCTTTCCCATATATTTTTTTTGTCTGGGTTAAATCTATTTATCATGTCAAACAACTGGAGTAAGACATTTATATCGTTTTTTAGAATATTGTTTTTAAAATCAATATTCTAAAAAAATGATATTAAAATCCGTAAACTCCCGTGATTACAGCAGAGAAAGCAATTGAATAAACTTATGATAACATGAAAGATCTGATTGATTATCAAAACACCTACTTAAAATGTTCCTCTTGCTCGTAATCACGTGGGATAAGTGAATGAAGGGACGGTAATTCATCAAAGTATAAAACTGATTTGATTATCATTTTAAAACAAAAACACTCTTTAATCACACCTTTTACCGCCGCAATCAGTCAAAAATATTGTCGGCTAATTCTTATAGACTAAACAAAAGGAATGGCTTCTTTCTTTTAATAAAACATATTTGTGATTGTCTTGATCAACAGATAGCGAATCTGTAGGCCTATAAATTGTGAAGACAACTCATCATTACATTATTTTTGATATTCAAAGTGAACACAACTCGAACAATCAAGATGGAATTTGGTACTCCTATGTCAACTGCGCCGGTATTTCAGAATCCACTAGGATTATCGGCCATACCTATTGATGGTCACACCTTCAGAATAGTAAATCTATCCACTCCACAGTCGTTCAGCGAGAGTAGCCTGAATCAGTCACAGTATGTCGCATCTCCGCAACTAAAAAGCGTACATCAGATCGAGAACGTTTTGCCGTTTTATACCTTGCCATCACAATGCCCTACAACTCCACTCAGTGGTAAGTTGATATTCTTAGTTTGTAAAATCTGTCGTACCTACTTACTTATGAGATCTGATGAAACAATGCAATAAATGGCCAATAATGAGTTTCTTTATTTAAATATGACAAATTAGCTTCCTACATCTTTGTTAATACGTCGGAAAGCGAACAAGGAAACAAATAGGAATTAGGAAGAACTTTAGATGGCCATATAGTTTGTAAGGGTGGATCAGTTTGAATACTTGTAAATCAAGCGTAAATCAACGCCTGTCTTAAAACGTTTTCTTATTTTAATTCTTCAGGTACATCGGAGGCTTTATCTTCATTCTTAACAGCAGCATCTTCATCATCATCGTCACAACAATCACCATTGCATGAATATGAATTATCTTCGGTCAGCCCAGCAGACGAATGTCGTCCATTTACAGCTTCGTTCCTCAGCACACCCTCGCCAGAACTTCGCCAGCGATCAGTAACTTCTTTACTAGAATCAGCTCCGTCTACCAGCCCATTATGTCAACATCCATATTTTAGCACGCTCTGTGAAATTTTAGAAACTGATGCAGAGCTACAGAAATTGATATCCAACCAACCGACAAAACCGAATATATCTTCCATGGGGAGAGATCTTCTACAACGACTAAATAAACTGGAATCACGTCATCCACATGAAGTAACAAATCTACGTATGTTTTACAAACAACATGCATCTGATATTGAGATGGAAAGATTCCAGTCTATTAAATCAAATGCAAGAGATGGGTATTACGTAGAATTACTCAATAGCCACTATGATGATCAACTTCGTCAGATGATACAGAGAATTAACAAGAGTGTGCGCCTGCTACAAGAATCAAGTTTGTCATTACCAACACCGCCATCATCAACATGTTTAACTAGTATGAACAAGTTACCTAAAACATCACCAGTTTTATCAACACCCACTACCAGTGGAAAATACAACCATCCGATCTCACCAGTTTTATTAACATCGACCACCAGTGGAAAATACAACCAGATTTCACCAAAGCCCATCGATTACCAACGATTAGATGTCTCTACAGTTACAACCCGCCCGATCCTGTCCAAGCATGCTATAAGAAGAATGGAGGCATGGTATACAGAACATCTAGAGCATCCTTACCCATCATCATCAGTTGTAAGTGAATTAGCCCGAGTTGGAGGTATAACAATGGGACAAGTAAAGAAATGGTTCGCTAATAAAAGAAACAGATCAAAGAACACCAAATCATTGACGGCTATCGCATGCAGAAAAAGACTAGAAAAGCTTGCACAGTTGTTACCATGATTAATTAGAATAGCATCCAATTGAGAATCCAGACAGTGCAAAACTGCTCCGGTCTTCTGTGTCCAAGAAAAATGTTTATTAAGTGCTCTAATAGTTAATTTATGTTGTTAAATTGTTATTTTATTTACAGTCTTTGTTATATTTTGAAATAAAAGTAAATATTCGTGTTTAAATAATGCTTTCGTTTTATTTATTTTGGGACGATTGTGATAAATTGTTTTGTATAATATTCGTGTTAATCAATATTGAATACATATTTTAACTTTTATTAAGCCTGTCCCAAATGGCTGTAGAAGATACCTACGGAACTTCAAGGAATTTGGGGTAGGGTAGTGTACGTGTGTTTTGTTAATATTTATTGGGCCCACAAGTTAATGTTAGGACCTACAACTTTCATGAATGGCGTCTACCAGCGGGTCCTGTTGGCTTACAGCTTTTCTTGTTTCAAATCCAAGCCATCCTACAAAACCGTGCTCTAAAATTGAATCAAAATAGACCCTGTCACTACAGGAGACATCATTTTTTTCCATAAGTCAAGTTACATCACTGTATTTTTTATTCTTGACTCACAATTGAACATGGAAATTACTTTTGATCCTTTTCTCAGGAGTGTTCCTTCAAAGAGGAAGTATGTGAGAAGAGACACCTGTAAGCCTAGAACATTCAAGGGGAGATAACTGTTTGTCCTTGATAATCTAGACTACATTGCTAATTAAATATACAGCTGTCAATTTTATCTATATGATTTGTTCTGTTCCCTTTCTTTTGCAGTAGGGGTTAGAATCGATGATGGAAGTGGACGAGTAGTTATTAGAGATGACTAATGTATTTTGCTTAAATAAATTCACTTATTGTATAATCAATAGGTGTTATTAACTCTAAAATGGCCATAGCTAATTCTCCGTAACTACAAGTTTGGTGACCCTCATGACCAAATCTGCAAAGTTTGGTCAAAATCGCCCGACACCACCTGTGCCGTCTTTTTTTAAAAAAATTTTGCATGGTTCTCTCGCGAACTCATTCTTAATATGCAGCAAAAAACTACTCAGGCAAAATGGTAATAAAGAAAGAAAGGTTTTTATTTTTTCATCACGATTAAAATTCCTCCTGAAAATCTTCCTTCTATAGTGTCATCTACTGATGTAAGTCGCCTTTCGCCGTACATGGCAAACAATTTTTCTAAGCCAGCAATTACGTCATAAGAAACATCATTTGTCTGTCTCAGCTCTTTAAAAATTGTGCGAAATTTGGAATTACATGACGTATCTTGAAAAAGAAAGACAGATAGTCAATAAGTCATTACCACTGAAAGCATGTAGGCCTAGATATTATCGACACTTTCAATACTAATCTTGAATGGATCAAAAACTATATTACGGTATTGAAAGTGTAGATATCCTATATAGTCCATGTGACAGGCAGATATTCATTACTAATTTTCAGTTAGCCTTAGGTCTAAAGTGTCCAAAATTGGTTGATGGACTTCCGGGTCACTTTGCCAAATGTCAGTTTGGCGGCATCTTTAAAAATGGCCGCCGTTTTTGTCTTATTTGAAATAGTGCGAGTCGGGGAAGTCTTCATAACTCCTCAACAGTTTCATCTATGGATATGTAATGTAGATCAAAATGTTCATAATATAATTCTGCATCTGCTGGTATATGATATTTGTTGTTTAATCAATACTATCAGTTTTAAAATAAAAGATTAATCTGAAAAAAGCAACATTTTCGATTTTTTTTACATGTCTGTTCATAAGTTACTAACAAATCGTGTTCAGTCCCATATAAACTAAATTATCTATTTGGTGAGAGAGAGAGAGAGAGAAATGGGGTTTAACGTCCACTCGACACAAACTAGGTCATTTCGGGACTAACATATGGTTTAATTATATTTACATAATTCGCTTGCGCGTAGGGGTCTTTAGCTGTGGGAGGAAACCGGAGGACCCGGAGAAAACCCACGAGGTTGGACAGGCGACCCCCCTATCTATTTGGTCAACTAAGGTGATTTAATAGATATTAGAAACATTGATCATAAAAAATAATCTCTAATATGAGTGTCCCAAATCCAAGATGGCGGAAATTCAAAATGGCGACCAAATTTCCTAAAATGGCTATTTTGTCAGATAATAGTCATTTCATTGTTTGATATGACAGTGTTGCTGAGCTTACAATTAAAGATCCATTACGTAAGATTTAGATAAAGAGCTAGCCATTCTTGCTACAATAGTTCAAAAATAGATAATGTAAAATGAATAATTTGACATTTTCATTCAAATTACTCTATTGCGAGCGAAGATATTAGCCTTTGAAGGTTTGACAAGACGCGTGCAATAATTTCAACCACTCTACTGGTTAATCGAAGCTAAGTCTCGCTCCTCCATTTTTAGATTAAATCAAAATATGGCTAAACCGTCCTAATCTATTTAATATCGGATAAATCCGATGCCATCGAGAGTTGATTATGGCCTGGATCAGTTAATTAATGTCTAATTAATAATTTAGAAAACATTTCAGGGCAAAAGAAAGGCCTGCAATAGGCAGATTTAACTCTAATCTAAACAAAAAATTTGAAAAATCCAATATGGCGAAAATTCAAAATGGCGGCCAGAATAAGCATAACATGAATGGTTTTTTAGAAAATCGTCAATTTTCTGTTTTATATAGCTTATAATATCTCTTTTATAAGGTTTTCCGGGTCACTGAACTTGAATAAAAACTAAACTAAAAAAATTAATGCTGAAAATGATGTTAATGATAAATCTAAAAATGACACATCTTATCCGATTGTAAATGGTGCTTTCTAGAGTATATCCTGGTGTTTTTAGCTTATGCATATATCTTAATAATTCATCAAAAACGACGCAAATTCGTGACTGCGCAAAAACATTGACTAGTTTAGGGACCCCCGACGCATACTCCTTTTGAGTGTCCATCTCTGAAAAGGGAGGCGAAACGTATGATGTTAAATCGGGTTTCAAATTCCAGCATTACTTTAATTATCAGTAAAAATACGCCATATAAAATGATAATTCGTATATTATTTTACAGTTATATATATATAAAAAAAGTTTCCTTTTTATCCAATGAATAATTTATTGTCAGGTCATGTAGAATATGGTGCTTAAACGTGTTGCAAATTTCCATATTAAATGGTAGGGCTTCAAATTGTGTTTATTTTGTCTATATCAAATATATGGCTTTGTTGCTCCCTGGTCACTGTTAACCCCCATCAATTAACTATATTTAAGTTTTAATTATCCTCTGATCAATTTAACTATTATCTTGTATTATAACAGCATTTATCTATGGCTTCTTTTTTGTTTTACTACAAATATCACCTTTTAGTTTAACTAAATATCATTTGTGCTTGATAACGATAAGAGAATACTTGTCGAAACGTCGTGCTATACTTATAAACCAGTGATTGTATTTCCATATAAACTGTGTTGTGTTTTTAATGTGTTCAATCGCTAAATGCCACTCAAGGATTAAACTTATCATAATAACAATTGGTATTTATTTTACAAGTATAAAAAATGTTTCCGTTTTATCGAATGAACAATTTATTGTTAATTCGCGTAGAAAGATATGTTGTTAAACATGTTACAAATTAACAACTGGTATATTAGTCGAGTGTTTTACAGCTACAAGAAAGTTTACGTTTAATCGAAAATTCCAATAAACAATTTATTTTTAAGTTGAAGGGAGAGTCCTACAGGTGGTAGACCATATTAAATGCTGTTTGAATGTGTATTTTCTTAAACTTTGTATGCAGATAGATTATTATACTGAAGGTCCGTCTGGATAGAAAATAAGATTTTGTGTGAAACAGGTGTCTTGGAAAAAATGGGTTCACTAACATCATATATCTGGTTTTACAAATTGTCCCTTGTAATTCAGTGGCTTCGAAAACCGTATATATGATATATCACAAGCCTTACCTTGCTTGATACTCACCCATCCTAACTATAAATTCGTTTTTCGTTAAATTTTGGCGGCCATTTTTGAAATCGGACAGAATCCCAACCGAAAATGACGTCACAGAAGTAACATAATCTCAAATTTTGACACAGAAACAGCCCGTCCCCAAATATCGTTTCGATTGTGACACACTAGCTAAACGTTCTTTAAGTTGGTGCTCTGCCTCGCCGACGTTCAGCATTTTAAATTTGACAGTCTACTTAAGACTTTTGTTGAGTTTGCGGCCACCGCAGCTGTACAGGGGGGACCACTATGGGCGTATTTATTTATGTTAAATGAATAACTTAAGAAGACCACACACATGATTTGGTAGTAGGCCTAAACTTATAAAATAAATCATGAAAACTTGAAAAAAAATGCCAAAAGGTTGCTATATCCAGAATAATCTGTTGATTTGGAAAATATATGATTCCTTCAACAACAAGTATCGTATAGCACTAGATATAGCATTTTCTTGCGGACTTTGTAAGCCACATTCCATATCCATAGATCGATCTGTTCAGAGGTTATGAAGGTTTCCCCGATGCGCTCAATTTCAATGAAATAACGGCGGCCATGTTTTAAAGATGACCGCCAAAATGGAATTTAGCAAAGTGACCCGGAAGTCCATCAACCAAATTTCAACACTTCAGCCACCAGGCTAACTGAAAATCATGTTTCAATTTATTCATCAAATTGGTAGGCTAATGATGCTCCAAAATCCCAGGTCTGTCACATGGACTAATAGAACGGAAAACAAACTACTATAGAGGATACCAAAATAGCATACCTAACCTACTCCATTTCGCATTGCACAAAAATGGAGGCGCTGAAACAAATTTTATTTTGCGTTCTTGCTCGGGCGAAATAGACATCCCAGTCATTCTCCTCGCAAATGATGATCAAAAAATACACATTTTGTTCGATAATGAGATGGTCAAAGGTAGACTTGCATGTCATGGGTAGATGGCGCAAGAAGAAAGATTTTATGGGTGAAAAAATAATACTGTTAACAGGCCTTTCTTTATTACCACCTTGCCGTAGTGGCCTTTTGTTGCACATTAAACGCATCAATTATTTTGCAAGAATATGGAGACAACCTGCAAAAACAGTGATCGAATAAGATGGCCCTGCAATGTGTAGTAGGGTGGAATTTATAAATGTTTTGTTGTATATATATATATATGTGTAAATAAAGTGTATGTAATATATGTATGTGTTTATATTTCCAGTGTTTTTATGCCCTTTGTGTTTTGTTGGAATAAATAAACTGTTTAAACCAGTGCTGTTCGTTCATCTCCTCTAAAACCTACAAATCCCCGAGTGATAAAACTCCGGCTACAAATGCATGGCTGGAATGAAGATTTACAATGTAAATGAGTATCTGATGCATATCCAAAGTATATAAAATATGCAAACTGTTGATCAGCAACCAAGTTAAGATATTTCCCTTAGCAAAAAGTCCTACAGAATACCAGTATAGAATTCTATAGAAAATCTATAGAGTTTTTTGGGGGGCGTGTCCCATTTTCTATCGGATAAAATTCTATAGTGTTTTACAGAATTTTGGGGGCCTGTAGGAAATAATGGCCCCAAATATTCTACAGTTTCTGTAGCGCACATCCTATAGTTTTTCCTACAGATTTATGGCAAAATTTCTATAGGAAAATACTATAGTATTATATAGGTTTTTTTTATTGCACTTTCTGTAGGAAATTCTACAATTATGTATTGGAATGAATACTGTAGTATTCTGTAGTTTGGAAATTGGGCCACTATAGTTTTCTGTAGGAATGGGTACTATAGAATTCTATAGACTTTTTTTTTTATTAAATCTTATTTTGCGAATAAATATAGTTGGCCCATGATTTCTTCTAAATTGATAAGCTTATTTTTCTCTCATGGATTCTTCTAAATTGATAAGCTTATTTTTCTCTCATGGATTAATCTGAATTCTGTTGATGATTCACCAGCCAGAACCATGAAAAGTTCTTTTCTTTGTAAAACTGAAATATAGGGAAAAGAATAGGTAATAAAGTTAAATAAATAACAATATCACATAAATCTTATCTAATTAAAGTAATTTAATATTATTGTTTACATAATTCACACAAGTGCATCACTAAATTCTATTGTAAACTATAGTATGAATAAAAGACATGACCAATTTATGAAATTTGTAGTATAGAACATTGTTTCTACAATAATGTAGGAAACTTTAGTATAGGCTATTTGTTAAAATGGTTTAAGTACAGTATACATATAAACTCTACAGAAAACTATTGAAGGCTCATGCATTATTTTTTTCTCCACAAAATCTATAGAAATTGTTTTCCCCTTAGTTTTCTACAGAATGTCATAGAAAACTATAGGAATATATTACTGACTTGAGACAATAAGTTAGTTCTATAGAAAACTATAGTTTTTACCACCAAATCTATAGGAATCACTGTTTGGGTGTTGCCGGCAGGCGGGCACGATTGAGATGGCAAGTTTTCGTCTGGCAAATAAGGCAAAGGCTTTTCACAATAATTTGAGTATAATATTTAATCTTCAAACAGGCATGGCTTAGTGACAAATAAAAGTATTGAAGTATTTCTTATTATCTGAAAATATATAAATAAACCTTGGCTAAGTAACTAATTGAGAGATTGACAGTACTATTAAAACATGGTAAATAAAACACTGAACAATTATAATTGAAATATGACAATAATATACATAATTATAAGATTTAAATACCTCAAAATTTGTGTGAAGGTCCACCTTCTCAATCGCTCAATCGACAAAACAAGTATGGCTTAAATATTATACTGCACATGTATTAATTAGAACAAAGGAACAATTATTACAACACAGGATACTGTGAAACCTAATATCTGACCAAGTATAAAACTTATAATAACAAAAATGATAATGTTAAATAATGTAAAGTTCAATCTGTTCACAACAGGGTCACATTCCATGAGGGGATATCTGGCTGATTCTTAGACCCAGTTGTAGGAGTGTGAGAACTTATTGTAGTATATATATATTAGCACGCAACACAAATTATTATATTATAAAACACTAACTAAATGTATAACATTAACATCATCTTACAATCACAGCTGACATGAGAATACACGTTAGTTCTATAGCAAACTATAGTTTTTAGCACAAAAGCTATAGAAAACTGAAGGATTACTCAACTGACTCGACAAGTTAGTTCTATAGAAATCTATAGCAGCACCAATGAATCTAGAGCTGTAGGTTTATTTTTTTTCCTATAGTTTCTTACATTATTCTATAGAATTCTATGGGAAATTACACTTGGAAAATATTCATCTACCAATCCTACACAAAACTATAGTACATGTTTTTGAATCTATAGTCATGTAAATAAAAATACAGAATGGATTCGTTTTCCTGCAGCATTCTATAGCATTCTATAAAATCCCACAAACTTCTATAGAAACCTGTACTTTTTCTATAGGACTTTTTCATAAGGGAATTTATCCCGCTCATATTAGGCTACTATTAGCCTATGAACTTTGATTTTGAATCTTCTCATGAAGACTAAGAATAAACTAATATATGTCTCTGATTTACTGTGTTTTTGATTTAAATTTCCAGATCTCTTAAAAGTACCATTACAATTTAATATTTTGAATGACGAAAATTGGTAGAACTAGAACCAAAAAGCTAATGAGAAGGCACTTATTAAGGTCAATTTGGAACGAAATGACTTCTTTCCCCAAAAAATACATGTTACGCCCCCTCAAACGCCTGATCACCAATGCGGAATCTACGTAAAAAAAATGGTCTAGTCTAGAAAAACTTAGTCTCAAGCATAGAGTTATATGGTCTCAAGATTGAATTTTAAACTTTTACGACATTGAATTTCGTATTTGCGACATTTTCTTCCACCAAGACCCACTTACGTTACGAAAACAACATGGTTCTTTTGAGTGACCTGAAACAAAACAACATGTTTTGGGGTGAGTAAACCAATGTTTTTGTTATATTTAACTGTTAAATTTGTCTTTATAAAAAGGATTAGATCTTATACGAAATGACAGTGTTCCTGAATCAAAATGTCTTGTAAAGATAACACATGCGAAGACGGTGAGCGAGCACACGAGAGACATTTTTAAAGTGAAACACGTGGTAGTCGCTGTTTTAGTTTAGTTTATAAATTTAATTAAACTTACGTTGATGGTCTTTGTACTGTTATCGGTATTTATACCGCCATATTTATAGAGGCATATTTTACACGCCTTCTTAGTTTTCCCCCCATTTGCCATCACTGAATAAACGATCATGTTGATTATAACAAGTTATTTTATGTTAATTTAGGATAGAATACACTGCAATCGTTCACACAAATTTGCAGCTCCCCACGATAGCCCCTTAATTTTCTGTTGAAAATTTGCAATGTGAATGTATGTCTGCTTGGCAGATCGACAGGTCAATCCTAAGCAAAAAATCGAATAGCTATACCATTTGATTATTTTTTTTTAGGCAGTGGATATTTAACCGTATACGGCACTTTACTTTATTTACTATTTTGCCGTACGCTTCCGTTTAACATGCGCAGTTCTCTGATACCTGGACTGAGCAGTTTTCGCTTTGGCATTGCCGTCTGACATTAAGCTATAACCCAAAACATGCCGTCTGACATTAACCCATAACCCCTAGCCCTAACCCAACAGTTCTATTTGTTTTTTGTCTAACATTGCTTCTTTTTCCGTTTCTTATAAAGGAAAGGAACAGCCATACTTAAATTTCTATGGTAGAAACTGGAGAATTATTTTTAAAAGAAAATTTAAATAAGATAATAAATGTAAATTGTAGAAAAGCATTTAGAATATTATTCTATTTTGGTCGAGGGCGCATTTCTGCGGATTTTGGTTTTTAATTAAGTACTAAGACTGTCAGTGGTTTATGTTTTTCCCGTCAAATCGTGCTTCTGCGCCGAACTTGGAAGACGAGTTGCCAAAATGGTGGAATATATCTGTACTTTCCGCCATTTTGAATCAGAAACGATGTACGGTAAAATAGCGGAAGTAGATACTTTGCCGTATACGGTTAAATATCCACTTTGGTTTTTTTTATTAATTATTTTGTGGGGTGTGTGTGTGTGTGCGTAATCTTAATCTGATGGATGTGCTTGTGGTACATATACATGTGGGCCTACTATAGCACTTCCTAACCCATCCTCTGTATCCCCAGTGGTCTCATTCCATTCCACATATACGTTAGAAAAGTAACTATAAGCTAATCCAGGCCTTCGACAAATAACATTAACATAAATTGAAAGTATAGTCTGTATTGAGTAATTAGGTTACCATGAACACCAGCCCATTTCTGTCGACAAAACAGTGAGGATTTTTCTCTTCTAAATACGCAATCATGAATGTGCCAGGAAATAGCTTAGAGTGAAGCAATTTGGGGGGAGGGGAGCTTTTAACCCAAAATCCACTCTATTTATACTGTAAATGTATAGTCATTTCTTTCTTTAAGTATAACGTATTCATTATTTGTTGGGCACAATGCGTTATACTTTTTGTTTTAAAATGGATCCAAGTTAATTAGTCTGTAGGCCTACTAAACTCTATTTAGAGAGAGAGTGGGGGGGGGGGGGCTGTGGTGAGTTTATAAAATGTCAAAATACGGGTCTTAATACGAAATTCCAGTTATCGTTCATACATCACTTGAAAGTATGTTTCTATGGCTCTTTGATTTGAATCTATCAGTTAATTCCTGGCACATTCATGATTACATACTTTAAAAGAGAAAAATCCTTGTTGTGTCGAAAGAAATGGGTCGCTGTCCACAGCAATCTGAATAAAATACAGATCTATATTTCGTTTCATTTTTTTATACTTTGGATGGTCTCTACTACATGAAGATCTGATTGGTTGTAGTGGAAGGTCATTTCAGGGGTCATACGAGAGGCTTTTGACCCTATGACGTTAAGACATTGGATTCACCAATCAGCGTGGATGTTTCTGATGGGTTACAAACAGTTCTGTGCACTTTAGGCCAAAAACTCGCCATAACAGACTGTTTCATCCAGAACATGGGTTATATAACAACTCTTGCAGATCCTAGTGTAGTAAAGACAAGTAAAATGAAATTTTAGAAATAGGATCTGTGTTTTAATCAGATTGTGTCCATAGTAACCTACTTATTAAAAATAGACTATACTTTCAATTTATGTTATTTGTCGAAGGCTCCGATTAGCTATACCAATCACATGATTTCATTGCACTCATGGTCGTACAGCAAATTTCTTATAGCGTGCCAGCTTGATTTCTGCTTCTCGTGTGGCGAATATCGTCTTAGTGTGTTGGCTTATATAGTGTGCCAGGTTGATCTCGGCATATTGTTGTGAACGTAAACAATGATTGCTAAGACCAGTTTCTAAACTGGGTTTTTTTTATTGCTTCGCAGACTCAAGCTACGATCAAGGGCAGATAATTTGAATATGTGAATACCCCAAAGATTAGCCCAAGGTATAGTGGAGTAGCACGGAATGAGACCACTGGGGATACCAAAAATGTTCCTAACCTAATGCCATGTAACTTGTGTAGTGATATTCGGTAGCATAAATAATAACAACCATTTTCCTATTCTGCTAAAGAATACATGTACTAATAGTAATATTTTATATTTTCTAATTTAAGGAGTATCTCTTGATGGCGGAAAACGCTATACACAAATAGTGGAAACATCATTTCATATATCTATGGCAGCTTTAGAACAATCAACAGGTAGGGTTCAGAGAATTAAACTAAAAATAAATCAATTTTATTTCAACTCGGCACTTCTTGATAATCATCAATTTAAATATATGCGTGTGTATATGGAAGTATTTATTAATTAATTGTCTGAAGAATATGGCTTTTAGTTTTTACATTGATTGATTATATTGATGATTTTGGTTCTAACACGCTGATGTCTAAATGTACTTTTCATCTTGCAGATGAATTGCCAAAAGGTAAAAGATCAGTATCCTTATGGATTCAACATGAAAAAGCAGAATTTTTATTGTGTACACTAGAACATAACCGTATTATGCAACAACCACTAGATTTAAATTTTACAGAAGGAGAAGAAATAACATTATTTACGACAGGTTGCAATGGTAAGCTTGTAGATCTGCATCTCTTATATGTACATATTAATATTACTGTCCCCAAAATTTATGGAACACATTTTGGAACCCAATAACCCAGCTACTAATTAAGGAAGAACCTTCAAACTTAGTGTACATGTAGGCGTTTTTGCTAAGACTACATATAAGTTGAGTAAAACAATTTGATTTGCCAATGATTTGATGCACAATAACTTCGATTCTAAAAGAGTGAGAGTGATGAAATATTGTGTATAGTTTCATTACATCAATACCTTGATAAACTTCGAACATGAGCATTTCCTGCTTAAGGAGCAATAAGCAATTTGATTGGTCAAGACTTTAATCTGCTTCTAATTGAGATATAATGTTCAAATTTAGTGTAAATGTTCATTAGATGGGTTTAGTGATTAGCATTTTACGATACAGCCAAGTCAGAATAAGTGATTTAATTTGTTGAGACTTTGGAGGGCATTACTGAAATTGGTGACCTTGAGATATTTTATCATTGATTTCAGACTCTACTATCAATCAAAATAATACATATATATATATGTTCATCTCTGGTATAATTTAGCCCGCTAGCCTGGTGGTCGGGTGTTCGATACCAGCATTGGCCAAGAAAGTTCATCCAGATTTTCCGGCGTGGTTCCTCCCTTGTCAGTGATGCAGGAAAAAGGGCCCGACAAGAACAGTTGTCTAGTCGTTCGGATGGGACGATAAACCGAGGTCCCGTGTACACATTGGCGTGCACGTAAAAGATCCCTTGGCAGTTGGAATTGGATATAAGAGTAGCAAACTGTATGGCGTAAGCCCGTCTTCATTAGGAGTATAGGAGCAGAACAGTAGGATGTTAAACCCCATTTCATTTCTGGTATAATTTCAAAATATTTGATTGGTATGATATAATTAAGTGCATCATAGTTTAATAGGAAAGTAACAACCATTGACCAGACACAGTGGACCAGGCAATGAGTCTGACTTGCATCAACATATGACTTGTGGGACTTCTCCTTTATTCCTACATTATATTACTACAGGATCCATACACCTTTCTGGTTATTTAATGGATGAACCAGATATTGAAAATGAAATGCCTGAAATGAGTGAAGAAGAAATGAGTGACGAAGAGGAAGATTCCGAAGGTTAGAAAGTTTTTTGAAACAGTGTTATCTGTCTCACTCTTTCTCCCCATGCCCCACCCAAAATGCATACTTAAAAAATGCCTCAGAATTAAAAGCCTCAATATCAACTTTTGTTTAAACTGTAAGCAATGCATGCTGTCGATTAAATTTTACCATATCAATATTTTATCTGGTGTGGGGGGGGGGCCTAAATAATATTGGGGAGTTTGTGGGCACCCCAAGTAATCTCAGGGATGGGAGGCACAAAGTAATTTCGGGCACCATAACTTTTGTGTTTACACCAGGTAGAAACAATATCAAAATTTTCTCTTGGCATGCCTCACAATCAACTTGGTAGTAACTCAAGCACCTACTACTGTTATTAATTTCACTGGGAATGTACTAAATGAAAACCCTGCCCCCCACCATCCTATTTCTGTGTTTGCTGTTACTTATACCTGGGCACACACCCAGTTAGCCAGTACTTGGCTGTGCCACTCCTCATTATACCATAATCCCAATGATAGCCTGCAGACAAAAGATATATTTTTAGAACACTAATTAAATGAGATTTTATTTGTTTTAGCTGAAGTACCAGAATTATTGCCAGTAGAGGATGATTCTTTAATAATTCATGGCACAGGTAAATCTATTTACACAAAATATCACTGTAGAAGCCTACAGTTGGTATTGTTTGATATGATTAGAAAAAGAGTTGGTGGAAAGGCTGTCGTCTTTGTACAATTCTAATACCCTAAAGTAAAGACATGCGCCATAAAAATAAATAGTATGTAAAACAACACTGATGATATTGTCATTATGAAATGAGTATGCTATGAAAAGCCACCATGAAGAATGGGTTGGCATCCGTGAAAAAGATAGCAGAATTAGGATAGTGGTTTGAAATTAACAGAAATCAATGTAGACTTTAATTGATCAGAATTAATCCGTTTGAATGATTTTTAAGCAAAAATGTATTGTTGAAGCTATGTTTATAATTATGTATGTTTTAAAACTTTTTATCAAACATCTTTTAGTCACAAAATAAAGTGTTTAACATATTCTATGTCCATTTCACTTCATTCCATAAATTTAATGTTTGCATTTCTTATTTATTTTAGGAAAAAAGAGAAAAATGCTGGAGGCACAGACTAAAAAGAAAAGACAGAAAGTGGTTGGTCAAGATTCAATAATTTTATACGTCCACATGAACACTGTAGAGATCACAATTTTTATCCGATTTGGTTAGACTTGAAATGTATTTTTATAACCCACAGATCTCTGTTTCTTTCGATATTTGCGCATATTGGACCATAACTTCCTGAATTATGGTCCCCTGATTGTACGGAAAATCGCGTTTTTAGCTTGTGGACCCTATAGAGGTTGCAATTTCTATCCGATTTATATCACCGTTACATCCTAAACCTGGTTGAGTTTGAATTTCGTGAAAATCAGACCGAAACTGCTGGACAAAATAGCCGCCGCCCGTTTGCAAATAATGTCAAAATATTGTGTATCACTGTTAACGTTGTGGACCCTCTAGAGATCACAATTTTGTTCCGATTTTGATGAAACTTGAAATACAGATGTATATCCCAAAGATCTTGGTTCCTTTCGCTATTTGCGCATATCAGATCGTAACTTCCTGGATTATGGCCCCTAATTGTACAAAAAATCGCGTTTTTAGCTATTGCACCCTCTAGAGGTCATAATTTTTTATCTGATTTTACAAAAAACGTTTCAATATATCACCATTGCATCATTATGATGGTTGAGTTTGAATTTCATAAAAATCAGATCGAAACTGCCCGATAAAATGTATGTAATACAAAGGTTGTGAACCCTGTAGAGGTCACAGTTTTTATCCGATTTAGATGAAACTTAAAACATATCTTTATACCCCAAAGATCTCAGTCACTTTTGATATTTGCGCATTTCAGACCATAACTTTCTGGATTATTACCCCAGATGGTACAAAAAATCCTGTTTGTTTTTAGCTTGTTCTCTATCCATCTCTTGCAAAATGTGGGCGTACCCTAACTTAATATTTATCACAAAAATAGATTTACAAATATATTTTACATGTTGATAAAATTGATTATCTGTTCTCATTGTCACCATTACGCTCGTATTATTATATTTAATTGCATATTATTTGTGTATTGCAATTGAACATTTTATGAAAGTAATTGTTGAAAATGTTATTAGATAGTAAATTGATTTTTGCTTGTTACATTGTCTTAAAACCACTGTGTGCATAATGTTCAACAAACACTTCCTGTTTAACACAATTATCTGTCGGTTGAAATTTGTGGAACACAATAACTCTCCTTCTAATTGAGCGGGAATAATCAAACTTGGTGTAGGTGTTTATTATCTCAATGTCTTGATGGAGTTTGAAGATGAGCATTTTTGGCTTAAGGGAAGTAGAGATAAGCAATTTAATTGGTTGATGCAATAACTTTAGTTCTAATTAAGTGAGAGTAATGAAATATACCTTGACTGAGTTTGATATTTATGGTCCAAATATGTATAATTACTTGTGTATTAATTTTAGGTTGTACAAGATGATGGATTAGATTTTGATAGTGATGATGATGAAGAAAATGATGCTGACTATACAATAGAAGATGAAGATGGTAATATTTTCTGTAGTATGAATTTAAGGGTTATAAATGTCATATGAATGGCACATTGAAATACACAAAACATGCACCAAACTATTGAAATATTGTTCTTAGATGAAAACGAATCTGTGAAAGTGTCGTCTAAAAATAAGAATGTAAACTTTTAATATACTAAAAAAAAATTGTCTGACACCCTTGTTGATTAATAGTAAAAATATGTTGGTTAATTATGATTTTTCCCCCTCTTATATTGAAGTAAGGAGTAAATAATTTAAGTACAACTAGGTTGCCAAATCATTTTTACAGATGTCTTATTGCTTTTGTTTATTGTCCCCCGCCTTTCAAAGAAAGCAGGGGACTATTAAAATGGGTTTGTCTGTCTGTCTGTCCGTCAAACTTTTTGGGACATAATAACTCTCTTTCTAATTGAGCTAGAATGTTCAAACTTGGTGTAGGTGTTTGTTAGGTCAATACCTTGATGGAGTTCTAAGATGGGCATTTTCCGCTTAGGGTAAGCGGAAATAAGCAATTTGATTGGTTGATGCATTGGGACACGATAACTTTAGTTTTAATTAAGTGAGAGTGATGAAACTTGGTGTATAGTTTCATTACATCAATACCTTGACTAAGTTTGATAATGAGCATTTTCTGCTCAGGGTAAGCAGAGCGATTTGATTGGCCAAGATTTTGGAACACAATAACTCTCCTGCTAATTGAGCTAGAATGTTCAAACTTGGTGTAGGTGTTTATTGGGTCAGTACCTTGATGGAGTTCGAGGATGAGGATTTTCTGCTTAGGGTAGGCAGAGATAAGCAATTTGATTGGTTCATGCTTTTGGGCACGATAACTTTAGTTCTAATTAAGTGAGAGTGGGGACACTTGGTGTATAGCTTTATTACATCAATACCTTGACTAAGTTCGATAATGAACATTTTCTGCTGGGGGTAAGCAGAGCGATAAGCAATTTGATTGGTCGAGACTTTGGAACACAATAACTCTCCTTCTAATTGAGGTAGAATGTTTAAACTTGGTGTAGGCATTCATTAGATGAATGTCTTGATGGAGTGCGATGATTAACATTGTCTGCTTACGGTAGGCAGAGAAAAGCAATCTGATTGGTCACGATAACTTTGGTTATAATGAAGTGAGAGCGATGAAACTCTGAATATAGGTTCATTATATCATTACCTTGACTAAGTTCGATTGTGCGAATTTTCTGCTTATGCTAAGGAGCGATAAGCAATTTGATTGGTCAAAACTTTGGAACATAAAAACTCTGCTTTTAATTGAGGTAGAATGTTTAAACCTGATGTAGATGTTCATTAGGTGAAGCTGGGCTATTCAATTTCATTGGTCGATGATTTTGGACAAGATAATCTTGATTCTATCTGATAGAGAGTGATGAAACTTAGTGTGTAGTTTGATTGCTCGATACTTTTGAAAAAAATAAATGTGCGATTAATTAATATGTGTCATCTATTTATTTTGGGATTTCAGTGGGGGACATCAGCCTCACTGTTGGCTTGTTTATGTTGAGTTAGAACCTTGGAAACAATGTGAAATTTTATATTAAGAAAATTGTGCATATTATCTTACTTTTTGTTACTCCTGAATAATTGGCCCATTTTAAAAAGTCTTATATTGTTTATTTCAAAGACAATGACTTATCAGAAGATGACAGTGATGATGATGAGGAAGATGATGATGATGATGATGATGATGATGGTGAGGATGATAGTGATTTAGATGATATATTTGATGAAGATGGGGAGGAAGATGATGACAGTGAAATGGAAGAAAAGGTAATTTTACAAAAAGACAAGAAAAATAAAACACCTAAGAAATCAATTGAGCCAGTTAGAACACCAAATAAGTCTTCACTAACACCCAAAAGGTCTTCCGAAACACCAAAAGTAAGTTCAGATTTTCTTATTTATAACTTTCTGATTGTATTTCTTTTTCTCCATTCTACAGGAAATATGTATCATTTGGAATTTAAAGAGGCATTATGGGAGATTAGATAAAGAGCTGACTGTTCTTGCTATAATAGTTAAAAAATAGATAACGTAAATTTGAATTTCAAGCCTAGCCTCGATCATCATTACTAAAGTCGGTACGATAAAAAACATAGTCTCGATTATCCATTTTTGGATTTAATCATCAATGAACATTGAGTAGCAGGTTGGATTCAAATCCGGTGAAAATCCGACATCCTGGGTTGATTATGGTTTGGACAAGTTAATTAATGTCTAATTAATTGTTAATTATAACATTTCAGGCCTAATGTTTAATCTAGATACTATTTTATGCTTTGACCATGTAAGATCACATGTTGCAGTGGGACTAACTTTAGCATTAGCATGCTATGTCATTCATCTAATATAAGCAATTGGTTGCTTACGATTATGTGGAAATATTGTATGATGTAGAAAGACTCAAAACTTCATACCTGTATTCAAAATTGAAAAGCCTTACTTGCAGAAGTTGTTACAAAGGAGAAAGCAGTGATGATATTGTAGGGCTTGACAATAATTTCAATAAATCAATATATCGCAATATGTAAATTTTATTGTCAACAGCTTCGGCGTGATGGGCGAACATACATATATATACGCAGACATCTTTGATTTGATTTATATAGATAATGTTTTTAGCATTAAAGATACTGCAATAATCCAATATATAGTTTGACTCTTTCTCTCTTAATGATATTCTCTGAAGTATTATTATGTTTTATTTTAAACAGAATGTAAGCCTAACCATACAATGATTCAAATTACATATTTCTCATAGAAATCTTTTGAGGGGTTTACCAACTCTTTTCAATATGTTTTCTTGAAACCTTATAATATTGAAATAATGACAATATATTGCATTAATTTTATATCGTTATCACAATAATGCAAATATCTTCCAGTCCTATGATATGGGCTGTTTCCAAATAACACAAACACAAATCACAAATACTTAAATTATCTGAATATCTGCGAGATTGTAACTGTGAACAGATAATCAGATATAAATTCCAACACTACAATCTATGGTTAATTGTAAATATTTATAATTTCTGTATAGACACCAAATATAAATGGAACACCAACAGAAAGTGAAAGTAGCAAGAAAAAGAAGAAGAAAAAGAATAAAGATAATAACACATCAATTAATACACCTAGTCAATCAGAAAAGAAGTCTAAGAATGAAACGCCACAGAAACCGAATACCCCTAATAGACGTGTTTTAGCTGAAGGTTTAATTGTTGAAGATATAAAAGTAGGCAATGGTCCACCAGCAAAGTCAAGTAAAATGGCAAGTACCTCTCTTTCTCTCAAAACTGGGAGCCATGATGGCTTGCTGAGTGTTTGCTTGCTGACCGGAGATCTCGTGTTTGATTCTGGTATTGGCCAAGAAAGTTCATCTGGAATTTTCCGGCGTGGTTCCCCCTTGTCAGTGGTGCAGGAAAGAGGCCAATATCTATATTATTGCACATTGCAAGACTGTTGGACTTGGGAGTAACAGTGGCTCATTGTGCAAGGAGTTGGCTCACTAGCCCGAAAGTCCCAGCTTCGGTACCGCTGTTGGCAGAGAAAGTTCTGGAATTTCAAAATAAGAGTAGGCCATAGTAAGCATTGCTGTCTGGACAAAATCACCCCAAAGCACACTGCATGCACAGATGAAGCAGATAAGTAGGACACTAAAACCCCATTTCATTTCAATGTAATATTATAAAATTGGGTTGGGTGGCCAAGTGGCTTATGCTTTAAATCGTGAAGCCTGAACATCTGTGCAAATTATTTGTTAGATCACTGATATAGTGAAGGGTACCTTATCTGGCCATATTTTTGCCCTGAAATAACCTGGTTAGTATTGATTGGATGTTAAAACATTTCTCTCTCTTCAAAGTAAAGGTGTGTTTATGAAGCCCTAATGAATGTACTGAATCCAATATATTAATTATTATCACCCAATAATACATTCTACAGTAGATATCGCTTGTGTGATATATTTCATAATCTACTGCGATATCTCCTTAGTTGAAAAGGAACTACTTTTTTTTATTTTCAAAGAACAGTTCATTTCTTATTAAAAGTAACTTTTTTTTATTAAAAATGAACTATTGTTATTCAATTGACCTTGATGGAAACACTGGGTCAATATAAAGGACTTTGCAATGGTTGAATTGCTGTCAAAAAATGATGTATCACTACGCCGTTATGTTCAGTAAAAGTGAAATCTACAGCAAAGAACCTCGTTTTTTGTTACTTTATCAACTTGTGTTGATATTTTTTGATATCAAAAAAGACTGGTAGGAGATTCTCTATTTAGCCTTGATATAGATATTGACTAAAAATAGGAATTTAAAAGATTGAACTATTTATAGATAAAATAATATTTGGTATATTTTTAGGTTCAAATGTATTATGTAGGAAAGTTATCAAATGGTAAACAGTTTGATTCTTGTACTGGTGGTAAACCATTTAAATTTCGTCTAGGGAAACAAGAAGTTATAAAAGGTTGGGATGTAGGGGTCCAGGGTGAGTAGTAAATCTTTATCCATGTATCATTAACAAGTTAACCATTAATAAAGTTATATGACTACTTATTATCTTGGGGTGATTATTATTTTCAACTCTTATATAACAATTTTAATCCGGATGTAAATAGGGAGCCAGGGTTTGCTAAGTGAGTAAGACGGTGGCTCACTAATTTGGAGGTTTTGCGTTCGATCCCTGCATTGGCCAAGAAAGTTCATTAGGATTTTCCGGCGTGGTCCCCCAATCCCATTGTCAGTGGTGCTGGACGGAAGACCTGGCAAGTCTCAATGTATAGTCATTTGGATGGGATGAAAAACGGGTCCTGCATAAACATTGGTGTGCACATAAAAGATCCATTGGTAGTTGGAATTCGATATTAAAGTAGGGCGCAGCACTTTTGTCAGGGCAAAATTTACCTACAAAAATAAATGTTTTCAGGTGGGATTTTGAAAATTTGAAAAGTAATCTTCCTGAAATCTTTTGTAGGGATGAAAGTAGGTGGGAAACGACGATTGATAGTGCCTCCAAAACTTGGGTAAGAATTATTGTTTCTTGAACTGTGATAGTCTTCTTGTGTTTTGATATTGTTTTAGTTCTTTATTTTACTTAATATCTTTCCTAGTTTTATTTCATGCTTTATTTCATGCTTAGTTGAAGGTGGGGGGGGGGGGCTAAATAAATTTTATAGTATAAATAGTGTACTGCTGTTTATTGATTCTTTGTGTGTTCCTAGTGTACAGGACAATCATATTTGTTGCTTCAGACAAATACGTTTTGTAGAGCTTTTATGACAAATTGACGATGAATTTAAATAGGTTTTCCGTCTTGTAATCAGTTTGATTATCAAGATATTACAATAAGGGATCTCGGATTTGTAGACACATGTAGGTTTCATTCCTCTATAATGTAGGGTGACATTAATGATATTGAAACTTATGTGATTTTAAACTTGTTAACTTTGTAATTTATGTGTATTATTTTCAGCTATGGAAATCATAAACAAGGACCTATTCCTGCTAATAGTACTCTTGTGTTCGATGTAGAGCTCAAATCTGTCAGCTGAAAAACAGTGTATATACAAATTTTAATCATGGACATTCAAACATTTTCAAATGTAATAAAATATGTGATATATAAAAATGGTTTTACATTTTTTTGTTACTAATAAAGAATTCTTGACCATTACAAGGGCTGCATTGAGAACAATTTTCCCAGCCTACACTTGGGTGTGCATGTAAAATCTAAAAAGAGTACTGGTAGGCCGCTTCTCTTACCTCAAATTGGACTGATAAGCATAGAAATAAGTATTGCAATAGGTTTGTATCAATATGGAGCCCGCTTCTATTGGCATTGTTTGAGTACGTCATCCCTTGGGATTAACACTGTTTACATTATTATCATTATATTGCCTGTTTCAATAACTTAACTTAGTTTGATCAGAGTGATAAACAATTTGGGATTAAGGCAGGCACATCAACGTCACTGGCATGTTTATTAGACTTTAAAGTTCTCGTAATACTATGCTTTCCCAAACTATTCTTGGTTGTCGGAACAGTGGGATTTGTTTTTCTCGGGTTTGGGGGATTTTAAGACACTCAAAAAGAAGCAATGTAGTATGAGCTTGGAAGATAATTCAGAAGGAATACAATAACATCATATTAGCAATAATATTAAGAATATACATGTATATAATACAACATTATTTGATATTAAATCTAAAGATATATATAGTGTAACATAACCAAATTAGCCGAGAGTTGGTTAGTTCTCACTATAAGCCACATTTTAAGTCCCAAGAATACTTATTCCACCTATGTTTTGTAACTTAAAACCGTTTGAATATATCACACGGTTACACCGGAATGACGGTTGAGTTCGAATTTCGTGAAAATCGGACCAAAACTGCCGACAAAATGGCCGCTCCTTGCACGCAAATTGTGTATAAGTATGTTATACAAAGGTTGTGGAACCTATAGAGGTCACAATTTTTGTCCGATTTTGATGAAACTTAAAATATATCCTTATATCCCACCGATCTCAGTCGCTGTCGATATTCGCGCATATAGGATTGTAACTTCCAGAATTATGGCCCTTGATTGTACGAAAAATCATGTTTTTAGTTTGTGGTCATAATTTTTTATCCGATTTAAAAACAAACGTTTGAATATATCACCGTTACATCCCAATGATGGTTTAGTTTGAATTCCGTCGGACAAAATGGCCACTCCTTGCACGCAAATTGTGTACATATATGTAATACGAAGGTTGTGGGCCCTATAGAGGTCACAATATTTGTTCGATTTTGATGAAACTTAAAATATATCTTTATATTCCAAAGATCTCAGTCCCTTTCGATATTCGCGCATTTCAGACCATAACTTCTTGGATTATGGCCCCTGATTGTACAAACCAGCGGCTGCCAGGCAGGATACGCCCACATTTTGCAAGAGATAGAGAACAAGGTACAATCCGATATGCGCGAATATCGACAGGGACCAAGATCTTTGAGTTACAAAAATATATTTCAAGTTTCATAAAAATCGGATCAGAGTTGTGTCTTCTAGATGGTCCACAATCATGATATACCATATATTTATACTATTTGTGTACCAGGGGTGGCAATTTTGTCCGTCAATCTTGGTCTGATTTTCAGGAAATTCTAACTCAACCATGTAACGGTGATATATTCAACGGTGATATAACGGTGCGTACAATCAAGGGCCATAATCCAGAAAGTTACGATCCGATATGCGCAAATATCGAAAGGACCCAAGATCTTTGGGTTATAAACATGCATTTCAAGTTTCATCAAAATCGGATTAAAATTGTGACCTCTACAGGGTCCACAACCTAGATATACCATATTTTTACACTATTCGCGTACAAGCGGCGGTCTTTTTGGTCCGATTTTCACGAAATTCGAAGACAGCCTTCATTACGGTGTAACGGTGATATAATCAAACGGTTTTTAAAACCGGATAATAATTGTGACCTACAGATGGACCACAAACTAAAAAAGGCGATTTTTCGTATAATCAGGGGCCATAATTCAGAAAGTTCCAACCCGATATGCGCAAATATCGAAAGGATTCAAGATCTTTGGGTTATAAACATGCATTTCAATTGTCATCAAAATTTTGGTCCGATTTTCACGAAATTCGAACTCAACCGACATTACGGTGTAACGGTGATGTAATCAAACTTTTATTTTAAATTGGATAATAATTGTGACCTCCAGAGGGACCACAAGCTAAATAAGGCGATTTTTCGTACAATCAGGGGCCATAATTCAGGAAGTTACGATCCGATATGCACAAATATCGAAAGGAACCAAGAACTTTGGGTTATAAACATGCATTTCAAGTTTCATCAAAATCAGTTTAAAATTGTGACCTCAGTAGGGTCCACAAGCTATAAAAATGTTTTTTGTGCAGGGGCCATAATCCACGAAGTTTCGATCCGATACGAAGTCTGTGAACCTTCTAGAGGTCACAATTTTTATCCGATTTTGATGAAAGTTAAAATATATCTTTATATCCCAAAGATCTCGGCCCCTTTTGATATTTCAGACCATAACTTTCTGAATTATGGCCCCTGATTGTACGAAAAATCGCATTTGTTTTATTTTTAGCTTGTTCTCTATCCATTTTTTCCAAAATGTGTGCGTATCTTGCCAGGTAACCGCTGTATTTTTAACAGAATGTATATGCGGCTACATCCAAGGTACAATTATCGTATATAGGGCCGATCTGATCTATTCACTGGTTAGACATCGATTTTCATCGGGATTCCAACCCGGCATACCTTAAAGTAGTCATTCATTTTCCAAGGATATTATGTCCAAAGCTGAGATACATCACTCAATCACACTTGTAGTTGGTCCGACAATTATCATCTGCAATCTTTATCAATTTTGATTTAGGCCTACTAGTAGAATATACATATTTATTAATATCGTGACTACTTGGACTATATCAATAGCATACCAAGAGGTATCGTATTATTATTCTACAGCGCAGTGTACGCTTACGACTGGCCCCCAAATCCATTCACTTGATTTGATATTTATTTCTTGCAATGTCTGTGTTTTGTCTTGTCCGTGGGTTTTTCTTGTCGGTTTTGTTTTGAGCGTGGTGCGGTTCTCTCACACTTTCTATTATCCTCTGTTGTGTGGAAAATCAACAGATGTTGGCTCATTTATCTCATTAGTCGACATGTATATATTGGATTGATCCTGATCCTAAACATATACTATTAAAGACACAGACATAAGCTGAGAAAAGTTATGTCAATATAGCGTTTTAACATATTTTGTTCAATAGCCTAACATGGATTTGAAGTTGAGATGAATTGTCTGGCGATTCTTTGACATTACCAAACACGTTACATATTTATCATGTTAATGGTGACATATCATTATGTAAGTATCGGGATAATGAGGAGTGGTATATGCCAGGCTGTGAGAGAAATTGTGCCCGCACTTATTTCGAATCCAAACTGCCGACATATCACGGGGCTTCGTTTTCCCCGGCCACCGATTAACGACCTAAGTAGACGCCGTTCCTTCCTTCCGAAACCACACTGAAAAGTCAAGGATAACGTTCTCGGCCAACACCGGGATCGGACCCTTCTGGTTAGTGAGCCAGGGCATTACTGTCTGAATAATCAATGTGAATCAATCGCATTAATTTCCAGCCCCCCTTACAAATGAAAGAAATGCCCAATCGTTCTGTTGCAAATATGTTAGCGCGTCATGTTGGTCCCACCATTATGACGTTCCGGTTCTCTTGTTTTCTCTTCATAGTGCAGAAACACACGACACAGGACCTTGACATCGTGAAGATGCTAGTTGTTACTACGTCCCATATAAAATTGTTGTTTTACTTGTGTAAACAACGGCTAGGTTTAATCCCAATATTAAATTGGCAAGAACAGAACTTATGAATACGTTATAAAAGGAATATATTGACCTGGGGCCTGTTTCACGAAATTTTAACTAAGATAAAAATCCAAATTTTAGTAATTTGATTGGATAATATTAGACTGGTTGTAGTGCTTAGCCAGTCAAAATTGAAGTATCTAATAAAATTCGGATTTTATCTTTAGTTAAGATTTCGAGAAACAGGGCCCAGAAAATAAATGTAATTAATTTTGAATAATATCACATCCAAATAATCAGGGCTGATCTACTTAGATTGTGGTAATTTTATGAGAGCTCGCTAAACAGGCTCATTTTAGTTTTATGACTGATTCCAAAATATTCAATTTTAAGCATACTGAATGATTGACTTAAAAGTTAATTAAAATTAATAATATTTTCCGTTAGATTTTAAGGTTAAATTTGTGGTATTTGAAAAAAAAACTGCGTAGGCTAGCCTACATTGTATTACATAATTAGATGAGTCTATTTGGTTTCTGAAACATTGCAAATTTAATATATATTTCAGTATAAGAATGAGTGCAGTTGTACCATTGTTTATCTTTTACATTATAAATATAATAAACGGTATAATATGTTCTTCTTACTTTATATCTATTTGTATTTCAAAAGCGAACAGCAAAGTTTTTGTTCTTCCTGATTTGCGTTTTGGTAATAGGGTGTTACTGTATGACCGGCACAAACTTTTTCATATTACGCCATTCGATACACGAAGATCATACCCAAGCATTTAAACAGAAACAAAACAAAGATCAATATTTAGATTTATCAAGAAGTATTTCCAATGATGATACCAACATACTCCAGAAACAGCTGAGAACTTTAAAGAAGAAATATCAATCCAGGCATCTTAAGGTCAACAGAAGTCTACCATTTCAGGTACGAAAATAACGATTATGTTCTTTTATGTGAATATCAATATAGCATCGTATCTATTGAACAAATTATAAGAAATGGCTCCCCTGGGTTCATTGCTTTTCAATTTGGGGGGAATCAACGCGGTAGTCTACTATTTCCTCCAGAGCCTATGTTAGCCACAGTACGCTATGATTGTCTAAATCAGCAATGATGTGATTTGCAATTATTGAACATGTCCAGAACCTTTAGTTAAAAAAATAAACGTTTCAGCTGTTGTTGCATGGATTGTCATATCAAGGAAAATATGTAGGATTCTATTATAACATATCTGGTTTCTGCAGCTGTCGAGACCGAATCATTGGGGGAGCTGAAGATTATCCCCAATGCAAACCAAATCAGTCATCAATTGATGTGTATTTGTACGTTAGATATGTTGGGCATTAAATAATTTAACCGGGGTCTTTAAATGGAAATGTTATGTGGTTTGAATTTTTCGGCCAGCTACCAGAATCTGCCCATCGCTCACACGTGCTGCGAAAAGTGATTAGAATTCAGGTAAGCTGTCAGAAACCTAATTATCCAGCTAACAGTAATGTATAAGAATGCAACCCATATTTGAATTTTGCAAAATAAAAACATTGTAAGTCAGACGGAATTCAACCGTAGACAGAGACTAATCATAGACACATAGACTGACTCAATCCAAATAAAGAAAACACAGCTATGAACTTATCAGTAGACACAGTGAATACTCAATTGGGATCACCTGGTTTTTCACATTTTCTTGATATGACACACTTAGGAAGATCTCGCGGCACGTGTGCCGCGGCACACTGGTTGTGAATCATTGATCTAAACATTCTAGGGCCCCTACAGTTTTATGAAGAACTACAAGAACCCGTGTTATAGAGTTAACGATAAAGTGCAGTGTTTGCCTTATTTCTATTTGATTGGTGTCCCAAAAGCTGGTACCTCTGATCTCTTCGCTAGAATATGCCACCACCAAGATGTGATGCCACCTCTTAAAAAGGAAACACAGTTTTGGCCAAGGACGAGATTTAAAGGTACTGGAACTAATTCTTTTAAATCGATGGATAACAGAGACTCCGAAAAAACCTGTGGACAAAATCAAAATCTTGTAATTAATCCAGAATTTATGACCGTGTAAAATACTTTTGACTGATCCTGTAGATACTTTTAAAGGGTCCCACGGCGGGGCGAAGCAATTAAAACGATACCATTTACATGCCATCTACAAAGTTTCGTATTTAGAACACCAGCAACTTCCGAAGCTAGGCCCCTGTCCATCCTCGGTATCCCCAGTGGTTTCATTCCGTTCTACTCCACTAACCCCTGAGTTAATCTATGGGGGACACACGTTTTCAAGTTACCCGCCCTTGATGATTGTGCTATTTTTATCGACCAGTGTTAGCCTAAATGAGTGAAGTCCAAATTATTCTAAATGCGTATTTATTAAAGATACATTATGGGAGATTAGATAAAGGGCTGGCAGTTCTCGCTATAATAGTTAAAAACTAGATAATGTAAAGGTAATTTGTTGAAAATTTCAGTCAAATTGGTCCACTATGAACCGAGATATCAGCTTTGTAAATTTCCGCCTATCCTCGTTCATCATTACTAAAGTTGGTACGTTAAAAAGCATAGTCTCGATTAACCATTGTTTGGATTTAATTATCAATGAGCGTTTGCAGCATATAGGATTCTAATCCAGTCGATATCGAAGGCTAGCCTTGACATCGAGAGTTGATTGTGGTCTGGATAAGTTAATTAATGTCTCAGGCCGAAAGAAAGACCTGCGATAGGCAGATTTAGCTCTTGCATAATGCATGTTTAACAACAAATAATGCAATATTACTGAAGACTGGACGTTCATATACATGTATGGTCAAGAGTGTTATTGAGAATCGTTCGTTCCCGGAGCTTTACGTCCACGTGATAAAATTGCCAAGTATATTTCAATAAAAATAAACATTACAGAATGAAACATTTCAGACAAAGAACGAATAGTAATAATAATAACAAAAGTCAAACATATAGATGTTATACATATTTGAAATCAGCGACACATACTACAGATTTTGATAATACAATTAAATATAAATGAATTAGAAATATATACATTATTTACATAAATCATTCAGTAAATGGACATGAATATGGTTATCTACCCTTATAAAAACGAAGGCGAAACGACAGGTTTGTAAACTGTTTTTTGATTAATTGTTCGTAGCTACAATCAAGGCCATGGCAGATAATGTAATTTGAAATCGTGGAAACCCTATGGATTAACCTATGGGTATAGTGGGATAGAACGGAATGAAACACTGAGGATACCGACTATGGTCCCCTATCATGACTTCTACTATTTGGGCCAAATTCTCCTTCATAACATTGCACACACAAACACAGAAACAGAAATAACTGTATGTTAGTCTCAAAATGAGCGAAATGTTTGTTGTTGAGTAGTTAATTAACATTCCTATTTTTTATTCTCAGAATTTAGTATGATAATTTCTTTTTCTCTCTTTCTGTCTTTCTTAGGTACATCGTATGATTTGTATCTTCAATATTTCCATGAAGCATCACAGAAAATCGACAGTTTAACAAATATAACTGAAAACGGAATGATTTATCATTATGCAATAACAGGTATAACTGAATAATAATTCAAAAACAACAATCACGTAAGTCAAAATCAATAATAACATGTGAAGACAAGCCAAAAACAACAATAATGATATGTACGCGTTCACAACGTTTTCGGCAAGGGTGCATGAGTGGGGCGGAGGCGTAGCTCCGGAATGGAAGGTCACGGAACGCTGAATATCTATATATGGCTCGTCCTCTTATGGCCTAAATGTTTTAAACCAAATTTGAACAAACATCTGGTGAAACTATAGCCTCTGTAATGTTAACAATGTTTCGGTAATCGGGTGATAACTCAGGTACGGTAAGTTGCAGAACTAGGTGAATCGCACCAAATTGTTAAAAGATCCGTTAAAAACTGTAGCCTAAATCGCGTTCACAGAGTTTTTAGCAAAGGAGGTGTGGCGGTGGGGGTAATCCTCTCGTAATCCCGATGATTCGCACTAAATATGAACAAATGTTTTTAAAGACTATATCCGTTATCGCTAATTGTTCTCTCTTCTCAGGTACCGCGACGCCATCTGATTTTTGGGATAATGACCTTTGGCATTACGATATGTATAATACGCATCTCGACGAACCAGCTATCATAACGCCTCACCATCTTTACCATATCAACCCAAAATCCAAGTTTATTATTATCTTCAGAAATCCAGCCGAAAGGTTAGTTTTCAAAAATGCTACCATATTTATAAGGCGAACGATCAAATATAACAGAATATCATGTGTTAAACCCTAGCCTGGATTACAAATAGCAGTTTTGTTTATTCTCTAAAACCACAAATAATATCAAATCTTTATCAAAAATTGTATCTATGTATCTACTCCATATCTTAGATAACAATTTAATTTTCTGTAAAGACCTCTTGTGTTGTTATTCCATTTTTTATTGATTTACTTCTAGAACTACAAGAAATAATGTAATTGTAGATTTAAAAGAATTGTATCGGCCATGAACAAAATACATGTTCTCTAGATCTCAAGTAGTTTTTTTATTGCTAGATTTAATGTACGTGTATTTTTATATTTCTAAAACCAGCACACAAACCTCAACTTATTTCTAAAGAATTGCGTGGATCTATATAGGAGTCGTCTACCGTCTACTTATAGTTAAGGGTAGAATTGTTAACAGTCTTAAGAGCAAAGCTCTAATGAATATTAGAATTTAATTGAAATAAATCATAGGGGGTGCGCATTTTTATAAGTGTGTGTGTGTGTGTGTGTGGGGGGGGGGGGTAACGTGTGTTGTAGTACCATGGGTCTTTCTGTCAGACGTGGAGAGCAGAGAACCAAATCCGGTCGCCACATCCTTATACGTATGTCCAATGCATCTTTTCTTACTACATATCTCAGTAGCCTTGTGATCGTCTTTGCTTCCGCTTCACGTTGTGTATTTTCTTCCTCATATCTATCTCATTTAGTTAAGACGTTACGGCACCAAATATAATATGTAGTACCACGAGTCTTTCTGTCAGACGTGAAGAGCGGGCCACCAAATCCGGTCGCCACATCCTACGTATGACCCATGCATCTTATCTTACTACATATCTTTATAGCCTTGTGATCGTCTAGTATTTTTACTTGTTGTCTTTGCTTCCCCGTCACGCTGTGTATTTACTTCTTACTGTTTTCTCAGTTAGTTAAGACATTTGTCTTACCAGGAATAACAATGCAACAGTTCGTTTTTACATTTTATATACATGTATCATACCTGCTTACATATGGTACAATGCCTAATAGAATAAAGTCATTCTCTCAAACATCATCCAGCCAGACTCGCTGGGCGAGTCTGCTGGTAGAAACTGCTACATCCTATGGTCTAGGAACTCAGATGGTAATCTCTCCGGAATCCAATGAAATCTGCCTTAAAAGTTTACCATGATTTCTTTTATAGGACTCATGGACATATCGCACAGACTATAAGACTATTCATGACCCTGAACCTGTGCAATTACTGATGTGTTTGGTTACTTTAGCCAAATGATGCAATTCGTAAATTTCCAATCACATGTAATCTGGTGGTATTTTTTGACACATAGAATCAGCTATGTTTTGGTTCTATAACTCTTTTTATGTGTTTTATGTGTCAACCTGTCACTTATATTTTTAGTGCACATTTAGTACAATTGGCCAAAGACATTAATTAATGAAATATAATGCCACCATTAATTATAAGAGCAAAAATTCTAGCAAAAGTCTTACAGTGTGTTAGATCATAAGTTCTGCCATTGAATCAAGTATAAGTGTGGTTTCGATGCCCTCATGGGTTTACTTCGTGTCCTTTGTCCTGGTTTTCTACCGCAGCTAAACGTCTTATTGACATAAAATTGAACCATATATATTTATCCCGAAATAACCTAGCTTATGTCGAATGGACGTTAAACACTCTCTCTCTCTCTCTCTCTCTCTCTCCCTTGCACATTTTGATCCATATGTTCGTCAACACAGTGTGGAGAGATGGAGTGAATCCTCTTGCACACTTTTCTGACAGATTCGGTCTAATAATCAAAGGATTATTATTATACGTCTAATTATTGGCAGGTTGTATTCTGATTACTGCTACAGACGACATACACGACCTACAGCAACATCACAGCGTTTTCATGGAAACGTTACCAGAGCTATAAAAATGTACACTGACTGCTTTTCTAAGTATTCAATTAGGAAATGTGTGTATGACCGGAATCTAGCAAGAGATGCCGTGGTAAGTAGTAACGCCCTTCGCAATCTCTTACAATAAAAAAGACTAAACGGCAAACTTTAGGTATATTTTTGTGAACTGATATAGGGTTTATAGCGTCCTACTTTTCTGTACCTAAACCGGGCTAATGCAGGCGGGTCCACTTCATGCCGTGTGCTATGAGGAAAACTTTGCCCGGACAGTGGCATTTCTGTGTACGTCAACAAATACCTCGGATCTGGGTTTTTAGTACCACCCGAATGACTAGACACTGTTCCTCGTCAGCCCCTTCATTCTGCACCACTACCAGGGGAACCATGCTAATAAATCCCAAGGAGCATTCTCGACTGAATCAGGGACATCCTTGTTAGTGAGCCAGTGCTTTATATATATATCCGTGAGCCACCGGCTATGTTTTGTAGTAGTCGAAATAAGCTACGACAAAACACATGTTTTGAATAATATTATGGCATTAGTCTTTCTAAAGCATCTGATGACAGCACTCATGTAAAGATTTTACATGCCAAACAAAAAATTCTCATTGTATTGTGCTACACTTTGAATTTGTAGGTATGGATACGACTAGGATTATATAATATTTATATGATGCATTGGTTAAAAGTGTTTCCAAGGCAACAATTTCTGCTATTAGACTACGATGAATACAGAAAAGACAGAAAAAGATCATTAGGTCGTGTTTACAAATTTCTTGAACTTAGTAAGTTTTTATTGGATTAATTGGGTGTGTTATTTCGACAAGTGATGAGGCAAGTTGAATGCGATTGTTTACTAGATTTAGTTTAAATTTTGGCTCACTGGCTTTATCTACGGTGTTTATACAATCCAAAATGCAAAATCAAAAACAGGGCTCAATCATTTTGTCTCACAAAATGGTTATCAGTTCGAAAAACATGTTTGGTATTTGCCGGGATATTTCAAGACGAAACAATATTCTTACATTGACGGCATTCTTCTTATGGTTTCCCCATTTCTATTGCTCCGAATGAAGTGAAATGAAATGGGGTTTAACGTCCTACTGTTCTGCTCCTATACTGGGCTAATGAAGACGGGCATACGCCATACAGTGTTCCATGAGGGAAATTTTGCCCGGGCAGCGGCACTATCGCCTACTCTTACATCGAATTCCAACTGCCAGGGAATCTTTTACGTGCATTCCAATATATACACGGGACCTCGGTTTTTCGTCTCATCCGAAGGACTAGACAGCTGTCCTTGTCGGAAAATCCTGACGAACTTTCTCGGCCAATGCAGGGATCGAACACCCTTCTACTGCTCCACTCACATACCACATATGCCTATATATTGGTAACTTGACATTGATTGTACATAGTGCAGCGTTTAGGGGTTCTGGGAGTTTATCTAAGCTGCTAAAATGTAAAATGATGAACACGTATATGCGGGTGGAACGCGGGGTGTGGGTTCTGGGTGATCCAATAATGGTTTCTACCTCCGACGATTATAGAATAATTCGTTTCGATCTTTTCATGTTTCATCACGTTTCACACTACTCTGTGAAAGAGTTGAAATTTTTTTGATGTTTACTTATTTATTTCTTTTTAAAGGAACACCAAATCGAAAACAATGGGAACAAATTCTTCAGGGTGTCGCTAAAAATACAAATTTTCGTAGAAAAAAGAAAGCTGGACCCATGCTTGAAGAAACAAGGCAGTTATTAAATAATTTTTATAGAAATTCCAGCACAGAGATAGCCAAATATTTTGGTGAAGACAGACCCAAGTGGAGTAAAATTTGAAAAATCATCCATAATATATTGTTTAATCATTGTATAAAATAATGTTACAATTCTACAAATGTGTGGATTGGGATAATATATTTAAATTTCCCCATACAATGTGCTCTTGTATTGACTTATAAAAGAACTCATTCCAATCTTGTCCCCAGTATGGCTAAATACTAGATACGCAACGGTTCTCGTTCTGATAGGGTCACAAAAATGTTACACGCTGTAATGGGCCGGTTGTGATCTGGTGAGCTAGAGATAAACGTCCTATATTTCTGCGCCAATACGGGTAAATGAAGGTGGACGTGTAGTATGCAATATGGGGCATTTTGCGCAGACAACGGCGTTTCCATCAACTCTTCATTGAATTCCATTAAACATGTCTTATTTGACGTTCACGCTAACATATAGGAAAGTCAACAGGCTACCTCGGTTGTTCGACCCATCCTAACGACTAGACGATTGATCCTTGCCAAGCCCCAAGTGATCATGCATCACAGACAAGGGCGAACAAGGTCAGAAAATCGCAAGGAACTTCCTGGGGATAATCTGACGGTGCTAAATTAGAATTTTGGTAAATAATGGCGCATGTAATAATGACAACCCTGATCTTTTTTTCCGTGCAATTATTATCAATGAAATAATCACCAATGTCATATTTAATTGTGCCATTTTTTCTGTGCCATAATCACCAATGACATTTTCCGTGCACTACTAAATTCAATAATAATTATATATGCTTTCCATTTTATTTACAATATTTTACCAAAGGGAATAGTTTCACATTAATAAATAATACCGTGTATTAAACTTATCGCATATCATTTGTTCAACAAGACACCAGTCTTATAGCGGCTTTTCTCACATTAACACATTTTATCCAAATACATGGCAAACAAAATGATTTTAACATAAATAATATTTGTGCGGCCATTTGTATCCAACAAAAGGCATCACAGCTATGTTCGAGTGTAGGACACCTTATATTGTTACCGAACACCAACATAACAGCAATGGGTGTGTAAAGTAAGATTGTCATAAAGCTGGCTATGCAAACATCGGTAGGTGGCACCAAGCTCGTGTACAGGGGGCGCATTTCGGATACCCTCATCATCGACCGCCATTTAAATCTATAGGTGAAAACTGCCGCTAGCGCCGAAACGATCACTAGAAAGGCGGCGGGGAAGAAACTTAAAGCCAAAAAGAGATGAAGAAGTCGATTGATGTCGAATAAGAATGAACACGTCCACAAACTGTCCAGTGATAGCAGAAAAAGTGGAATCAGAACACCCAAACACAGTATCCATGGCAACAAAAGTAAAATAGTCCGCATCACATTTTGAAGTCTGCCGTTTATGTAACAATAGCAACCAATCGTCATAATGTAATCCATGTTCATTACTGCCACCGCCATCGTTGTCACAAATGGAATAATGATAGAGTAAGTTACTTCTAAGGCTAACTGCGCATGACATATCATTGGACGATTCCATATGGACACATCTATTAATACCGGACCGATATACATACCAAACAATATGTCACCAAGAGCCAAACTGGCCATTAGTAAGTGTTTGCTAGAATAACGAAGTAATTCCGATGAAAGAATAACGGTTAACAAAATGCCATTTGTAAGTATAATAAGTATGGTGAAGACAATCATCAACACAATGTAAACTAAATCCATTCTCATAGTGAACTACGTACGTCTGTTGTGACTGCTGGCAGAAATTCTGAAAAGAGAGGAAATAGAAAGTCTGAACACATAAACATTTAAGCATCTGACGATAGCCTACATAAATATTTATAAAAAATGACATTAAACGCATGTAAACGGTCTATTGTTTGTCTATAAAAAGAAATATGACCTTTACAGTGACAATAATATATAAAGTTTAATAAAACTGTAAGTTGACTCATATTATTAGTAGCTAAAAATGGCTCGAAACGGATAAAGGTGTGTCTTACAGAGACATACATGTAAACCTTTATGGTCAAAGGGGTGGGGTCAAAAAAAGGTAATTGATTTGAACAGATATTGTCAGGCAATGCAATATATGAACAACCAATAGCTTCGCCATGCCTATCACATTTGGTCAAAATCTGTTTCACAGAGGTATATCGAAGCGGACTAGCGAATATTCACTGCTGATCAGTGTGATTTGGTCATTGTAAATAATAAAGTTTTCAACAACAAAAGAGGGTACTTAATTATTTGCGTATAAAAGAACATAATATTTTTGTTGATAAAAATTAAGATACATGGGTGGAATGTAATTACAACTCTTATTAACACTTAAATATTTAGCGAAACATTTTCGTCAAGTAATCTTATACAAAAAAACATCTTGTTTTCGAAAAGAGTGGCATAATCATCAGGTGATATACATTAGAGGTAGGCACCCTTTGGTGCGTTAAAAAAAAGAAAATCAAATTTCGATAAAATTCCGGCCTCGAGTAAATAGACGAAACAAAAAATTTCATAAAGATGGCGAATAACTGCGGTGTAATTATTTCTACACCTTTTTAATAAACCACAATGTATACTATTCTAATATGTTGCAATTGGAAATTGATCATGGAAACATGTAATTGGATGCTTCCCATCACAGCTTTATTGAAGTCAGAAAATATTACTGTCAATGTAATGAACTATAAAGATGGAATGGAATAATAACTATACAGACAAACTAAAATGTCATAGCGACAAGCCCTTCATCACAACCACATAACAAAAATTTCCTACAAATACTGATGAACAGGTCCGTAACTAAGGGAGGGGGGGGGGGGCAGGGGGGGGGGGGGCTTCGCCTCCCTCTGTGAAAAAATTGTCGACATAGATATCCATTGTCCGTCAGTTTTACAGCACCCCTGAGAACACTTCCCGCCCCTCGTTGCTTTGAGCTAGTTACGACCCTGCTGATGAACAGTAGTGGATGCAGCGCCAGCTGCATGAAGTCTGTCACATTAGACCCAACATTTCTAAGACAGTTAAAACAAGATAAGATACATATGTTATTGTCATTGAATAAAAACGCCCACATGGCTATGCTGTAAAACCTGTGCTATAATACGAAAACTGGCTGTGCAGGCAACATCACCCTAACTAAAGTTAGTTAGCTATCAAAGTGATTACACATATTTTACAGAAGTCGCAATCTATATTATATTCTGATGTCTATAACAAAAATGCGGGGTTATCCAGGCTACCTTATATTCCATTCAAATAAAATAAAGATAATTTTGAAAATATTTAATAGAATTTACTTGCTTTTAGCAGAAATAACAAAGAATTTGTGTTCAGATTATGTTATACGGAGAGGCATCCGAGCAGCAGGCTTTCAGGCTTACCTATAGTCCATAGACCATCTGGTTAACATCAGTTTGGCATAAAGAAACTGTTATCGGTCTAACTTTCTTAAATAAGATAGGTCGTTTCGGTGTAGTTTGTACACAGAGGAAAAAGTCTGAACAGCCAAAAGTAGGTCAAAAATACAATAATGATTTTATCCATGAGTGGATATAGGGAATATTAGGAAATAGGTCATCATTAAATGTTATATCCAGACACTAAATGTACATTAACATATCCACGGAGGATGCCATTAAAAGTTGAATTGACTTAACACGTAATTCTTGTTACCCCCGCTAAATCTTTCTTTTATATACATGTGTGTATACACACACAACAAATACTTACATGTAATTATCAGAATTCCAACTTAGTAACAGGTTTTCGTGTACCGTACTTAATATAGCATATAAATGTTCGTGAAGGTTAAACGGCTATCAAGAATTTATCCACTGAAAAATGTCGACAGTAGCCGTCTGGATTTATATATACATTAAGCTTTCATCCACCGTGTTCCTTCCTTGTGTGGAAGCTAAATATAGTTAACTTTGAAATGGTCGGTGATCGAGGATAAATTTCACCCGACTTAAAAGTTTACGTTCTGTACTCAAGCAGCGATGATATTAAAGAGATTCTCGAAGACAAGCGTCATCATGTTTTAGTTGTAATATGAGGCGCGGATTATTTTATTATATTCTAACATTTATTTTGTTCGTGAAAGTGATCATGCCGCTTTTTTTCAAATTAAAACTTTAAGGGTTAAAAACGTTTTCTTTCGATAATATACTATTCAAAAAAAGTAGGGGATATTTGATTTTGGGGGCATAATACTAAAATATGCAAATGACTACGAAAAAAGTCACTATAGAACCTAACAGAAGAAACATTTCCAGTTACATGTGACGCCCAAACGCACCAATAGCTACCGCATGGAATGCAGGTGATGCTTGGGATCATCATGGGGTCCAACCCAAGATTTGCACGACTATGACTTTGAATGTTACAGTCATTGTGGCATTGAATTCCAGGGTGGAAACATCAGTTTAATTGTTTTAGTGACCAGAAAACAAATTTTGATATGCGTCGGCTTACCCAAAATGAAAGGTTACGTGCCCTTGGCATGCTACAGATCGGCACAACACAGGCGGTTGTGGCGCGGACGATGAATGTTTCTCAGTCTGTCATAAGCAGGCTATGGTCCAGATACCGTGATACACAATCTGTACAGGACAGACCACGCTCAGGTCGACCAAGGGCGACAACTCATGCCCAGGATCGATTTATCCGTACCTTGGCCTTGAGAAATCGTGTCATCACAGCAAATCAGATCAGCGCTCGTCTTCAAACAGACACTGGTGTGAGAGTGAGTGGCCAGACGATTCGGAATCGACTGCATAGGGGTCACCTTCGCGCCCGACGTCCTCGCGTGATCCCTTGTTTGAGAGATCATCACATTCAGGCAAGACGTCGTTGGTGTAGGGATCGTCAACACTGGGATAATCGACGCTGGAGCAATGTGATGTTTTCAGATGAGTCAAGGTTCACTGTTGATTTTTTGGACAGACGTAGGAGGGTGTGGCGTCGTCGAAACGAGCGCTTCCAAGACGTTAACGTCATCAGACATGATCGATTTGGGGGTGGTTCTGTTATGGTGTGGGGAGGCATCACTGTTGCTGGAAGAACGGCTTTACATGTTGTTGCAGGGCGTGTTACAGGCCAGTACTACCGGGACAACATCTTGGCAGTCCATGTTGTGCCGTTCGCACGACGTCATGGCCGCCGTTTCATCTTCCAGGATGACAACGCAAGATGTCACAGGGCCAGGATCGTTACAGGTTACCTCCAACAACAGAACATCACCACATTACCTTGGCCAGCACTGAGTCCCGACCTCTCCCCCATCGAGCATGTCTGGGACATGCTTGGACAGAGGTTACGTCAACGTCAACAACGTCCTGCCAATGTCCAAGAACTTGCTGCTGCGTTGCAACAGGAATGGGACAATCTGGACCAAAATGACCTTAGACGTCTCATTAGGAGTATGCCACGTCGGATCAATGCTTGTTTGGCAAACAGAGGAGGATTTACCCGTTACTGACTTGGTTGTGATGCTGTGGTAACTTTGCTGTTTGACCCCGGGTATCATTTTACCCTTATAATGGTCAGTCTGTGCCTTACTTAGTCTAACGATCATTTGGAATAAATCGATGAATGTGAACTTCATTTCATTTTGTCATTTGTTTCTTCGTCAGTTTCATTAGGTGACTTTAATAACACTTAAAAATCAAATATCCCCTACTTTTTTTGAATAGTATATAATGTTCTGCTCACTTTGTTCTATAATGTAAAAATTTTCAAAAAATTTGTGCAAGCTAGGTAAATTTAAGACTAATATAACATTTCAATATTGGTTCTCCCGAAGGTGTCGGAAATAACTCATGTTCAAAATGAAACGAAATGTGGTTTAGACAGTTTTGCTGCAAGCGAGCTGGTGAAGACGGACATACACCATACAGTGTGCTATGAGGGGAAATTTTGCCTGGACAGCGGTTGCCTAGGGATCTTTTATGTGCACACCGATGTGTACACGTATCATACACAAACGCGTGGGATAGACAGTATAATATAGTGGATTATGGACCTCCTGTGACAGGAGCCGCGAGTCCAATAGAAGCGCCTCGCAGTCCAAGAATAGGGCCACTTTGACTTCATTGCAAGCCCCCCCCCCCTCCCGAGTCAAAGACCAAGAACCCCTGTGCATTTGTCCAATAGTAAGGCCGATGCGTCACCCCATCGTTCATCAGTACCGTTCTCATTTGTTTTTTTAAAATATCTTTATTCAAGAAGCTGCGTTAGGTTCACGTGCGGTGCGCTGAATTCGGCGTCTGGATATTCGTTAGCGTTCGTTTAGTTGTTTATGTATGTCTGTGTATATATTGTGTGTCTTGTCCGCGTCTTTGTCTTATTAGTGTTTTTTATGTGTGGTGCCATCCTCGTGCACTTATTATTAGCTATCAAGGTGCCCAAACTGTAGCGGAGAGGGTACCCGTCTACATAAGTCCAGAAAAATGGCGTACTAGTGTTGTGTAGTTCTTAGTGAGGTGGTGAATTAAGCCATTGCCTGCTGGTCCATACACAGATCCTATTTTGTTTCGTTTTTTATAGTTCAAAATTTCGTTTTAATTGTCTTTACTACACTAGGTTGTGTAGGCCATCGAAAGTATAAAAAACGAAACGAAATATGGTTCTGTATTTTAATCAGATTGGGGCTACTGATATGATTGGTAGGTATTTGCCTTCTAATTCTAATTGTTCTGCTGTGGAATTTGCTCGATCAGACATCCCTTCTCGACACGATACCGAGAATCTCTCCTTCTTGTCATAATCTGTTCAACTCCAAGACATGATCCCTGAAAATTAAAGCTGAAAATTGGTCCAATCAAATTGTTGTATTGAGCAATCTTTGTATTAATTCTCTTGATCTCAAATTGAGCACAAATGATGATGGATGGTCACCCTACACTTGATTGTGCTGAAAAGTCAAAAAGTAAGCTTCTCGGTATAAACAAGTGGACCAGTTTGTTTCATATTTATATGGCTGACCAAGGCAAGCAGCTTGTTAAAGTACATAACTTTGAAGTAGCCTGGGGGCTGTTTCACGAAATTTTAACTAAGATAAAATCCAAATTTTAGTAATTTGATTGGATAATATAAGATTGATTTTAGTGCTTAGCCAATCAAAATTGAAGTATCCACTAAAATTTGGATTTTATCTTTAGTTAAGATTTCGAGAAACAGGGCCCAGGTCTTTAACTCAGTTTTATCCACAGTCATCGACATTGCAAAATTTTGAAAATTGACAACCGCAAACCCATTTTCCAAGCATTTCAGACCAAAGCAGAAGAAGCCAATTTCCTGATACAATTAGATAACAGAATGATCTAAGAGCACTCTCCTTTCTTTCTTCTTTTTTTTTCTTTCTCTTTTTTCTTTATAGGCATAGGCCCACTTTTTTTTAATGAGCTTAGGCCCACCTGTCACGGACACGTGGGCCCAGTCCGGCACTGCTGTCATTCAATTTGAACTTTTCGCGTATTTCGCCGAAAATAACTGATTAGAAATTACAGTAAAAACAGAAAAGATTGAATGTAAATCAGTTTATAAACATCCATATTACATTATTATAATTATGCGTTGTAAGGTTCGGTAACAAAATGGCAGACATGGATGGAGATTGGAGATTTTATGATCAGCAGTTTCGCATGATTAAAGCCAATAAACCAACCTGTCTTCGGACCAAGTGGAGTGGCTGTTGTGGCATAAGTGTCGTAGCAAGAATAAATTGGCCATTTTACAAAAACCTATGACTTCAAATTCCCCAGTCCCAGGTAGTCTGGGTGTTTGTTCTAATTAAAATAGGAACCAGCGGCTGCCAGGCAGGATACGCCCACATTTTCGAGAGATGGAAAGAGAACAAGCTAACAAGAAAGTGATTTTTCCTACTATCAAGGGCCATAATTCAGGAAATTACAATTCAATATTCGCGAATATCGACAGGAACTGAGATCGTTGGGTTATAAACTTACATTTCAAGTTTCAACAAAATCGGATAAAAATTGTGACCTCTATAGGGTCCACAACCTTGATATACCATATCTTTACGCTATTTGAGAACGAACGGCGGCCATTTTGTCTGCCAATTTTGTGCCGATTTTCACGAAATTCGAACTCAACCTTACTTAGGGTGTAACGGTGATATAATAATACGGTTTTTTAAATCGGATAAAAATTATGACCTCTATAGGATCCACAAGCTAAAAACGCGATTTTTCGTACAATCAGGGGCCATAATTCAGGAAGTTACGGTCCGATATGCGCGAAGATCGAAAGGAACCGAGATCTTTGGGTTATAAACTTACATTTCAAGTTTCAACAAAATCGGATAATAATTGTGACCTCTATAGGGTCCACAACCTTGATATACCATATTTTTACGCTATTTGAGAACGAACGGCGGCCATTTTGTCTGTCAATTTTGGGCCGATTTTCACGAAATTCGAACTCAACCTTCCTTAGGGTGTAACGGTGATATAATAATACGTTTTTTTTAAATCGGATAAAAATTATGACCTCTATAGGGTCCACAAGCTAAAAACGTGATTTTTCGTACAATCAGGGGCCATAATTCAGGAAGTTACAGTCCGATATGCGCGAATATCGAAAGGAACCGGGATTTTTGGGTTATAAACTTACATTTCAATTTTCAACAAAATCGGATAAAAATTGTGACCTCTATAGGGTCCACAACATTGATATACCATATTTTTACGCTATTTGAGAACGAACGGCGGCCATTTTGCTGTCAATTTTGGGCCGATTTTCACGAAATTCGAACTCAACCTTTCCTTAGGGTGTGGTGATATAATAATACGGTTTTTTAAATCGGATAAAAATTATGACCTCTATAGGGTCCACAAGCTAAAAACGCGATTTTTCGTACAATCAGGGCCCATAATTCAGGAAGTTACGGTCCGATATGCGCGAATATCGAAAGGAACTGAGATCTTTGGGTTATGCGCGAATATCGAAAGGAACTGAGATCTTTGGGTTATTAACTTACATTTCAAGTTTCAACAAAATCGGATAAAAATTGTGACCTCTACATGCCAATAGCGAAAGCAGCCGAGATCTTTCGGGGATAAACCTATATTTCAAGTTTCGTCAAAATCGGATAAGAATTGTGACCTGTAGAAAGTCCACAAACAATTGTGGACGGACGGACGGACGTCCGGACGGACGGGGGCGACGGCATAATACGTCCACATGAAAATGTGGGCGTATAATAAAACATGCCCTTGAAATTGTAAATATAAACATGTATGTTTATTATGTTCGGGGCTTCATCCAAAAGTGTTATGCCGCATATCGCCAGGATACAGATAGGTACTTTCTATGTCAGACGCCCCATACCCACTATCTTCTCATACCAGTCCATCATTTCCACCTCAAATGCAACCCAAAGGCAAATATCGTAAATAGTGTGCAATTAAGTTATGGGGTACTCTAGTCTATATGCACGCGTTTTCTGGGGTAGTTTCTAGACTGGCGTTTCCACGTTTGTATAATCATGGGTCCGCTTGTAGTGGTATGAGATGGTTGTGGATTTTACTACTTATGTAACATGTAACTTCCGCAATATAGTGATACCTCAAGCTATTAAAAATCCATTTTTAGAAGCCATGCTTGTCACCTAATTTGATTGAGGGAGAGCCCATTTTTCATAATGTATTTGTCATTACTAACTGTCCATTCACCATTTAAGTAAATTTTATTTTCTGCCAACTTCTTTTCCGCCGTTTAAGTGCAGAGCCTGTTTTACATATATACCCCTCAATGTTCCCAAAACCACCTATAACCATTCGATCAATAGATAACAACCCCTCCCTGGGTCAAGCTGGCAGACAATAGGCCGTCAGGTTGCCAGTTAGTGATACCCTGGCATGTGATGGGATCATCCTCCACATTAATACTATGTGTAAGATGTATCTTCAGCCCCATACAGTGATGGGGTCATCCTCGTTGCTTTAATACCTTAAGATGTACCTTCTGCAATATAGTGATGGAATCATCCTTGTTTGCAAAATTCGTATGTTTAGGTGTGCCTTCTGAAATATAGATATTGTATCATCCTCGTTTGCATTAATACTTATGTAAGATGTACCTTCCGCGATATAGTGATAGGATCATCCTGGTAACATATGTTTATGTAAGATGTACCTTCCGTCATACAATGATGGGTCATCCTTGTTATTGGACATGATCAGAAAACTACTATTGGTGTTTAGATAATATTCATCACCTACAGTTGATATTTGTATTTACAATTTCGCAGGTTGATATTATTAAAACAGTGTTTATTGTTGATGGTTGGCCTCATGATAGTTGTTTTGTTTTATGAGCTGTTCGGTCAAACAAACCTGGGTGGCGGCGTCTCATCACTGTTCATGGCGGTTTCGAGCAGATTGTGCTTGTACCATCAGTCTGTTGGTCAGGTCTAATTTGTTTCTGGGCCTGGGATTGATCCGGCTGCGCCGGTGGTGGATGCTGAAATAGCAGTGGAGATGGTGGTACACCAGATAAGTGGTGGGGTGGGGTGTTAAAGGAGTGTACATCTTTTATGACGTATTTCAGAGTGGTCGCGAACTGTAGCCCAACGGTTAGAAAGTACCAATTAAGAAGTATTGTACCCGTCAATAACATTGTTTTTAATTGGAATTGTAAGTTGTGGTTTCATTGTGGACAGGAATGGTGACACACACATTGTTAACATTAAAAACAGAAGAAACATAAGCTTATAGCCAAACAAGTCTGTTAGTGCTCCAGTAACCACCGAAAATGTCAATTTTCCCAAAACCTCAAAGGTAGCTAAAGTTGTGTAATGGGTCGCTTGTACATTTGATGGAGCCCTTTGTGAACACTGCATCATGAGGGTAAAGGTCAATGTTGTTATGGTACCACTGATTAATAATAACACAGACATAAATAACACCGCTAAACCTGAAAGTATACAAAGTATTGAAAAATCCTATGATATATTCATCGGATAGTCAAGAAGAGACTTTTAATACTTCAACGTCGCAATATCAGCTCTGGTTAACTCCGATTTCTTTGTCACAAAGTATTTGACTGAGCAATACAATGTGTAACGAAAGATTCGTCTATTCCAGCGTCGAAAAGCTAATACAGTGCTTGCAAAGATGTACTACCCCAAGTAGCTTTGACAAGTAATCTAATTTATACCTATGAACTTATGACGTATTTGCATAATTATGTATCGCAAACTTTCCCTTTCTTTCATCTTGGCTGTAGTTTAACCCTCAATTATATACCTCCCCGCAGCTAACAAAAGGTACCGACATAAATATTGTTCCGATTGATGAGAAAGCAGTTTGCTTTATGTCACCTAATACAAAACAACTAACTATGATGCCAAGAAAAGCGGCTTGTCGTTGTCGGTGAGAGAGAGAGAGAGAGAGGGTTTAATGTCCACTCGACACAAACTAGGTCATTTCGGGACTAACATATGGTTCAATTTTATTTCCATAATTCGCTTGCGCGTAGGGGTCTTTAGCAGCGGGAGGAAACCGGAGGGTCAGGAGAAAACCCACGAGGTTGGACAGGCGACCCAACTCCTTGTCACGTACAACCGGGAAATCGAAACCGCGCCAGTTGACTCAATGACCGACCTATTGATACAGTGCGCACGTGCTGACCATTCAGCCATCCAACCCCTCGTCGTTGTCGGCAACCATGAAAACTTCAAATTTCATTTTCTCGTTTCTTGTCCTGGATACATTTCTTTTTAAATATTATCGAAACAACTTACCTAAATTTACATTGGAACCCCAAAAACCTGCTAATGATTGCCAGAAAACAACCAGAAAGCACTGACAGGACAATAAAACTATTCGTGCATTCTGTGTAGAATTCAGTGATTGAATAATTGGCACTCTAAAAAAAACCCATAATAATATGAAACAACTTTAAATAAATTTTCATTAAGAAGCGAGAGTTCAGTCATTTGGAGACTAACATGCTGTTATATTTGTCTTTGGTCACGTGTGCAGTGCTAGTTACGATCATTTTGGCCGGACAGATTCGTAACCCCCTACTCTTCTTCGTGTTCTACATAGACAGACCATAAGGTGAGGTTAGCTGTATCTTGCTTTATCAAATCACATTGCCCAATATTACCTAGCGACTAAAACCGTTGAAAAGAAAAACGTAAGTATTTACAAACAATCTGTTATAAAATTGTGTTTCTTCAAATAGCTCTCAAAATATTTCTGATATTTTTCCGTCATCTTTCGGCCAGTGTCGCGCATATCTGACAACGTATCGCCGATGCTCTATCGGGGTGTGCATGCGCCCACAAATAATCCTTCTATCGGTTTGAGATAGTGTAACCTTAAAACTTACTTTTTATAGGAAAACAGCCAGCCACCAACAACAGAACCACAGATTGAAACAGTTTGTCCAACAATACCAAGCCAAAAACCCAAAACCGACGTTGATACACCATTATCCATCAAGAACAAGGGCGTCATACTCAGGGTGCCTTGCTCGCCTGAAATAAATTATGACTAACTACAACTACAAAGTTTCTGTAATCGGCTATGTGAGGATTAGGTCAACTGAACAATACGTCAATAATATAAACTCTGAAAACTGAGAGAAAGAACGTTCTATTTTAATTAGACTACCAAATTGGCTTCAGTAAAAAGCTTCTCCAAAATAAATCAACTTCCACTTACCCAGTTTATATATAAGCACATAAATTATTATCCACCAAGTATCTTCTGTATTCAGAACATCCGTTAAATGTGTTCTAAGCCAGCCTCCTTCACTGGAGGTCTTAATGTCACTTGTTTGTTCACTTTGTTGATATTTATCATCCTTAGATTTATTTTTAGTAATTTTCTGTAATTTATTCGGCAAAAACGAATAAATGACAAGAACGGCTACTCCATACACAAAGGCTAAATACTGGAACACAAGAGTCCAGCTAATATAGTCAATTACGGAGGTTAGCAAACCGCCTCCAAATATGGCTCCGAATTTATACCCAACAACTTGAGCTATATTGCCGTAACCTAATTCTGACGAGGACAGAATCCCTATAGCAACCCCGTCTACAGCTATATCTTGTGTTGATGTGAGCAGATTGAACATTAATAAAACGCCGGCCAAATAAAGCAGACGACCAGAATCCAAGAAAGCGGCTACAAAACAAGTCAGCATTAAACCGACCATACTCCATACTAACCATAATTTCTTAGTTCCATGACGATCTACAAGAGGTGCCCACAACGCTTTCAGCATCCACGGGGTTAGCAACAATTTAAAGAATCCCACATTTGTCAAAGACATGCCATGAGTCCTAAAATATGCTGGAAGAAAGCGGGACTGGAGACCATAAGGAATGCCTTGCACGAAATACAAAAATGACAAAAAAGTTAAATATTTTGACATTGTGCCTCAGGACCTAATCACACTTCTTCAGAGCTTTGAAAGAGAAGATACGCCCACACACAATTCTTTGCATTTGGTAATCCCGCTCATCAAGATAGATTCACAGAATTACGGATTTATTTCATAAACAGATCTATGCATTAATAATTCGGATCAATTTGGGCCCGATTTTGATCTTCTATTCAATTTCATGTTTTAACAACATTTATCGACCCTTTTTGCTGAAATAAAAGAAAAGAGATTAATAAATTTTATCACGATATACACTTGTCTGAAATAACCTATAGCCGTTTTGGTGGGTATTGAAATATGATGGTTAGCGGCTAAGAAAGAGTCAGGACGATAAGTTTCCGTTTCTTGTCAGTATTCCGAACCTTTGAGGATTTTTTTACAAAGATTCTCTCCGTGTGACAACTTACATTTTAAATTGGCCGAAAGGTCTTTCCAAAGATGCACCCTTTCTTCGACTTGTGCATTGGAAGTTAAATTGTGCCCGCAACAAAATCTCCTATCTATAGGCCTACCGGTACCGTATCTAACTAAGGAGTGTCTGAAAAAATAGGACCATATTCTCGTGATTCTCAAATGGCCGCAAGCGCTCAAAAAAGCTATAAAGAGTAGTCTGTGGAAGCTATGAATGTTCTTTCTTTAGTGCAATATTGGGACTTTGTAATGGTATAAATATATATAGGCTATATTGACAAAATCCGGTAGTCTATATTATATTTAGCCTATAAAAATTAAACGTTGTTTTTCAAGACATTTTCTCTTTAAAAAAAGCTGAAATAAACCATTTGCTTTCTAAAATTAGGTTTCAAAGATTCCTAGCTAGCATTTTTTTTTTAGAATACATAGCAAAACTGATTGATTTTGTCTAAAATCTTTTAGTCACTTATAAACGTACAAGTTAGGTCTATATTATATAGGTCTATAATATAACTTGTACGTTTGTTGTACCGGTACTGTAGGCAGTAGGCCTACGTATAGTGTAAATTAATCATAAAGTCAATAAAGTGGCAGTATAACTTTAAACTTGCTAAATGATTTTAGACAGTTTAACAAAATCAGTTTTGCTATGTTTTCTAAAAAGAATATTTAGTTTAGGTCAATTCGCACTGGAAGTGTTTTTAAAATAATGTTGCTCCTGGCCGCCTCAATTTTCCAGTCGGGAGTCTTCGGTTGTTTCTGCGCGAGATGATTATGAGCCGTGTGGGCTTATTCTTTGAATGATGTGGCAGACTTTTGTGATAAATAAAAGATTCATAAACGTGGTTTGAATTACTATCTTGTTATACAAAATCGCGGTTATAGAAATACCTTTGAAATTATAAATAAACTACTTCTTGGGTGCAATACGCTCTAAAAGCCCTCTAATGGACGGAATCCCCCGAAATGATATTGATAACACCTTGTCTACCGCTTACAGCATTCCCTGTCAATATTACTGTCTATTTTTATAGCATAAAAATACCCAATTTAAACACTTTATCTTTTCGGGATAGTTTAGCACAGTTATAAAAATAGAAGTCGACAAAAATTCAAGAAAAATCTAAGAATTTTTTAGAGGAAGTAAATGTGTTTTGTCATAAGCGACAGCAATGCAACAACATGGCGGGATAATCAAAATATTTTTAAAATGATTTTTATAAAGAGTCTTATAGAATCACTAAAAAACGATAATTTAGAGTAAGTATTATGCATGACAGGATGTTTTCCTGTTGCCGCCAGTGATTGACAAATTCAGATGGGACAATTGAAAAACAGAGGTCTCGGTGGCATGCACATAATAGGCCTAACCAATTCAATTGCCTTTGACTTTGATTCAGATTTGACACTTGGTCTTGGACGGAAACGCCGCTTTTGGGACAAAATAAATTGTCCTCATAGCACACTGATGGCATACATGAACATGTATTTCATTAGCTAGATGATGTCGAAAAGTAGGACATTTTTGACATATAAAATACATGTTATATATATATAGCCTTGGGATACATGTCATGTACCGGTATCTTTCCCATATTTGCTCACTTTAATAATATAAATATTATATAAATAATTTCTTGTTTTGCATTATTTTCTTTTCATATAGGAAAAGTCATTGTTATCTAGTAGATGGTGCTGACCCCAATTATGTTATACCATCAGAGGGTGTAGCTCCAATTCATCTAGCTGCTGGTCTTGGAATCAAAGCTACAAGCTTATTATTAGAATATGGAGGAAATCCAAATGTCAGGTATTGAGGTATTAAGATTTGTAAACCGAACAGCATACTTTTGTTCATAACCAAGTTTATGAGCAGAACAGATTACAAAAATTAGTTTTCTGGACAAATTCATGAAGATGTCCAATTTCCAGATCCACACAAGTTTCAGTTTCCTGTTATTATAGCTAGTGAAGAATTTGTTACTTTTGACCACCGTACATGTACGATAAATATAAAACTTATGTATTGATTCTACATCTTATAAATATTTTCTGTAGATATTTATTCAAATATAATCCCTTACAAATGCTCTTACTTGTACATGTAGGTCTAAGCATCCAATATTTATTTGGGATGATTTAAAGGGCCATTCCCGATAATATTTTGGAGAATAAAAGTGCTTAATTTTGTGTTAAAATCCTTTAAAATCCCCTACCTTAGAGCTGAGCAACTAACTCAATATATATGTGATACATGTATGTTTTCAAAAAATTTAAACCCATCAGTCTTCATTTGCAAATGGAGACCGGCGTCCCAAGCTGTATTATACGGTGTCTGGATAAAACCAGACTTTTTTTTATAAAAATAATGTGTAGGTGATAATTACCTTTCATTATAAAGTACAGCACATGGGTCATTCATTGTATAGACCTCTAAAGGAATGGGAATCGATTATCAGGCCACCCAGTGAAAAATTGACCCGAAATCTAAAAGGGTTACCTGTCCAGATAAGCAGTTGTTACATTCACGTCCAAAGAACTCAATATTTTGAGCTGAGATTTTAAGACAAAGTAAATACACCATTCCTCTATATTTTGGCGCCTGACTTTCATACGTACTCAGACTTCTATTTTTTAGAATCTGTTCAAATCGGGATAGTCCCTTTAAATTTAATTGATTCTAGAAATTATAGAATTATGATGACCACTCAAGCAATCTGAGACAGGTCTGCATTCTTAAGTCCCAACAGCTTCTAAGAATGTATACTGAACTTATCTTTTACTAATAAACATGATGTATCTAATTGTTTTAATATATGAATTATTAATGTTATTTTGTAGATCTAGTGATGGCTCAACCCCATTACATGTTGCTGCAACATGGGGCGATGAAGAATGTGTTAAACTCCTACTACAGAGTGGTGCTGATCCACATGTTAAAGATCAGGTATCTGTACAAAGAATATTATAAACTACCATGGGGAGGGAAAATTTGTGATTAATATTTTTTTTTACCTGATTGTACAATATCAATATTATTCAGTGAACAAGTCACTAGATTCATTTTATGATATTTATCTCCTTCAAAGCTGTTTTGCTTCTTACTTAGTTGAGTACCTCTTAGAACATATGACAAGTAGGAGCCCAATATTTCTCGATGATTCTCCTCAACGAATTTTAACAATTTGCCAACAATGGTTTAAAAGTAAATATAAAGTACAGAAACTCCCACTAAAACAGCACATCTACGTGATATCTGAGATGTAGTGATATTTATTGCAGCATATTGCAGTGGTTACAAGATTTTAATGTCTAGGCATTCATATTGTTGACATAAGTATTATAACCCTTTGTTGTACCCTTTAACCGATGTGTGAATTGAATATCTTAGAATTATGTCCTTGTCTTTCTTAGGATGGATATCGTCCCCTTGATGTTGCTAAAGTATATGGCCATGATGAGGTTTTTCTATACTTGAAGTATTATAGTTTACTTCTGTTATCAGAAGATGATGAGCAATCTGAAAAATTTACAAGTAAGTAGAATTGAGTTTAAACTGAACTTAAAAATAAATGTTATGTTGTTCATCACACAATATGTGTGGTATATGTATGAGACAAACAGTTAAAGTTATAAGATAATATGTCGGATCTGACCTGAATGTAACCTATGTTTTCGCTGAAATTATGTTTCTGCTTAATTTCTAATGAACTTCAAAATTTAAGTGAAGTAATTATTGGTTCAGTAGCGAAGTAGCTGAGAAAAATGTATTTATACCAAGGGTCTCCTTCATAATGTTGTATTATTTGATAGTGTGGGGCATTTGTCCACATAGATGAAGCCCCATCTACACCAATTGTGGATCATAGCCCCCTTTGATTTTAATAGGTCAAGGTGTACACACGGATGGCAAATTTACAGAATTTGAAGTCTCCCCTCTTCAGTAGATTTCTTCATTGATATTTATATGTCAGACACATGATTACATTTACATATCGATCATTACAATGTTATGGTTATGGTATCAATATTGATGTATTAATACTGTAATAGGGAAACGCCAATGTAATGGCGTTTCCGTGTTATTTCCCTTTAAGTAATAATTTATTGTTTATTTAATTATTTTTTCTAAACTTTCAGGATACAGTGTAGATGATGGTTTGTCTGATATAAGAAGTAATGGGAATGGCTGTAACGATAGCTACGATAGTGATGAAGCCTCGAATTTACTTGATACTTATATTTATTCACAAAATCCAGAATACATTTTTACAAATACTATTAATGGACAATTGTCTCACCATTTAAATCAGGGTAACAAAATTCTTTTTGACGTTACATCACCAGACAATCCATACATTGACTATAAATATAAAAGCAGTGATGATGAAAGAAACAGCGATCTCAATAGATATGTCTTATCTCCTGTCAGTAACAAGTTAAACTATAAATCAGATGCATGTGGACAGAAATATAAGGAATCAAATACATCACATGAAAGGAATTTATCACCAAGAACTTATTTTTATAGTGATGAGCTTAACCGATATAATACTGACATAAAACCAACAGCATTTGTAAAAACAACCTGTGATCATATTCAGAAACATAGAGATCTCAATCAAACACCTACAAGATCTCCATTACCAGAATTCCAACAAATCATGAAACATATTAATTGTGATCAGAACTGTAGAGATCGCGATCGTACACCCACAAGATCTCCATTACCAGAATTTCAACAAAACTTTAAACATAGTAATACATTACAATGGGTTTCTGATCATGCTAAACTACACTCATCATATCAACAAAACAAACATCAAAATAATGACAAAACACCAATAATTTCCGAAAAGCAACAGAAATCAAAAAGTGTACATGGTCCTTCATCACCAGTGTTAAAACCAAAATTATTTTATTCTGATACAAACCTTCATAAATCAATCTGTGCTCATCATGATAATAAATTTTCAACAATAAAAACCCCAGAAAAACATTTGTCTGCAAAGACTGCCATCTTTCAACCTTATTGTCCAGATACAAGTCATTCTACATCATTTACTTCCGATTCAGATAAAACATTGGAAAGTAAATCTTTAGATGCTGTGAAAGAATCTTCTGGTTGTCAGTATTCTAAAAGACAATATATTAAGTCTTCGAGCAGTCAGATAGTTCCAAGAAGATGCCGGGATGACAGAGACAAATTCAACTCCCAGTTACATAATGGAGAATGGTTTCAAAATGAGCAGACGGTTGATAATCCGTCCTTCTGTCAGCAGACACAGAGTTTCAATTTTGAAGTATGTAATACATGTAGTGAAGATAGTTTGTCACATTATACAGATGCAACTGACATTTTATCAGGTTGTGTTCCGTTATGTAATGAAACAGGTTTTGTTGTGAATGTCAGTGATATTGAAAGAGAAAATAGACTTGCTTATAGACAAAGATTACTAGATGATAAATGTCAGTGGTATTTAACAAATTCTTGTCGTCATGTAAACGCTGAAAATCAACCAACCCCAAAAGCAAGAAATGGATGCGGAAAGCAAAATTTAAGGACAGATTTCATGCATCAAATTCATACATGTACATCACTCCATAGAAAACCATCAGATCAGAACGTATCTCCTGAACCATTTAGTGAAACTTTGAATAGCTCGGTTACTGATTCTGTTAATTTTAACTTAAACGCTGCTCAGTTATCAAACATTGTTCCATCTGAGTGTTTTAACAATTCACACATACCAAAAAGTCATATGTCCGAACATTTTACCACAGAAAATATCATAATCAAACCTAAGTTAGAATGTAGGTCAAATAAACGACGAGAAAGTGACTCATCTTGTGACACTTTTGTCACATGTGAAGATGGCATCTCAAGTAAACCAGTTTCTCCAGATCCAGTAATTGAATTATCAGAGCAGACACACAAGTTATCTTCTGGTTCTACTAAACCAGTTTTCGATGAAATCAAAGTAAATCCAATATGGTTGCCTCCTTCTACTCCTAACCTTGATCAAAGTGACATATTTTCATCAGACAACAGTTTTATAGAAAAGAGGAAATCTGTAACAGTTAGAAAGAAAAAACAGTGCAGGGACGTTGAACAAATGGTAGATCTTGAAGACAGACTTGAATCTTTTCAACTAGATAATCCCGCAACTGGGACACAGCCGATTGCAGCCAAACCTCAAACAAACAAGACATCATATCAAGAACCTAACAGATTGTCCATAGCTTCATCAGTATTTGACACAGCATTCTATGGTGGGAATCGTCCATCTACAGATAGTATTTATAGTAATATATCTGTTAAAGAATATGTATACCAAGATTTGGACAGAGGTATAACACTTATTGAACGTCATGTTCCATCAGAATGTGGTAACAGTACTGGTCGTCTGTCTCTAGATTCTGTAACTAGTGCTAAATCTGTTGATTCACAAAAGACAGAAGAATATGACTGGAAAACATACATAAAGCCTAAACAAGACATTATTTCTGTTGATGATTCTCGAGATGAAGATGACAATGAAACTGTTCAACTATCAAAACAATTCAGCCAGTTATCGAACGAAGAATTAAGAAATAAATTAAAGACAATGGGTGATGATCCAGGACCAGTTATAGCCAGTACTCGACAGACATATTTGATTCGACTTGCCAGTATCAGCAAAAATCCTGGATTAGTGATGATGAGCAAAAATGGCCCAGGTAGCTATTCATTGATTAAATTTTCAAGATGATTAGATATAATTCTATTACATGTAAATACATTGTTGTATTTCTAGAAATTTCTTGCTTGAAGGGAAGAGAATGATATTGTCAATAATATTTCAAAAACAATATAAGCATCAACATTAATATTTCTTCTGTTAGTTCAGTCCTAAAAAAATCCTCTCTAATAAAAAATATTTTCATAAAACAAAAGAAAACACTTGTAAATCTTTACACTCTGTTTTCTATGGAAGATTTAGGTGCCTTTACAATAACTTTGCTATTGATTATTTTGAATGGTTGATAATATTCTTTCCAGACTATTCTCTTGAGTTACGTCAAGCCATGGAGGGCAAGTTTGACATGGGTGGTTTAGAAGAATTAGAAATTAAAATGATGGATTTGTTTAATAATTCTAATGGCAGAAGATGGAGAGAAGGGGCCTTAAAATCTTCATTCAATTATTTATTACTTGACCCAAGGGTTACTAAAAATTTACCATTGAGGGCTAAAAATATGGGTATGTAGATATACTACTTCTATTTTGATGTAAATATGAGAATATCAGAGTGAAGCAGTCTACTGTGTTTGGAAATACTAAACTGCATGTACTATATATGGACTCTTTTGTAATAAATGATGCAGCTTTTCCAAAAAGAAAAGTCATTTATGTATGCAGGGATGTACATAGTAGTATGTGAGCGTTAAAATGTAAAATGTTGTTGCTCCAAATTAATGAACCACTAAGTGATATGGTACTGTCTCTCAAGCCCTTAAATTCTTCTGTCGTTGTGTTAAAATTTTTAAAGCGCAGCATCCCTCTCTGGTAACTAAATTTTCATTTACAAGATCACAATTCCAGGCCATAATTTTGTAGCTACTATTTGTTTTGTATCAAGAATTTTATCATTACTTCGTGTAATTACAGATTCTACTGTATGTCAGTTTTTGTGGATATATTTTTTAGTAATTTGCAAGTAGCCTACTAACTTGGGAAGCTTTCCAAATGGTGATATCTAGACAGTTAATTAATCTCAAAGATTGTCATTTAAAGTGTAGCCAAACTACTCTTACGTATTTTTTGTTGAAATTGAAGCTTAGCTTATTCTTCTGTTTTAGGAGACATAGATATATTTTGCACATTTGTGGCAGCCATATTTTACGTTGGAAAAGGCAAAAGATCCAGGCCCTATACACATTTATACGAAGCCATTTCTCAGATGAATAAACCAAAACCAAATGTATGTAATTATAATTATTTGATATCATAAAATATATCTAATTGATCCTGCCTTGTCTGGCTGTCTCTTCCTACTTTAATTATTAAACTTGTTAAGACCATAGTAAAGTGTTGATGTGTAAGTTTAAATCTCTTTGATTTACTGGCAGGAAATAATCCAGAGAAATCCACATTTTAGCCATTTTAAAGGCCTGATGCATCATTTAGCGCTAAAGGAATCCCTTGCAAAATATAATATTGTGAAAGTTTAATCTCAAATAGGAATATCAGTTCAAAAAGGATTCAATTCTGTTCCCTATTTACAAAATATTTAGAAAGTTCTATGCTGTTCGAGCATAACAAGAATCCACCATCTTTTATGGGTAGTGGAGAAACCTGATGGGCCTAGTTTTAATCCAATAGAATCCAATATGGGAGATTAGATAGCTTTGGTTTTGTTTTCTTAATTAAATGTTAAATAATCAATATAAATACATATTTAGCTTGTATTAGGCTGTGATAAATTGTATATTTTAACAAAAATGCAAATGACCCATCAAGCCTTTAAGTATTAATATAATTTATTTCATATATTGTACAAATATATTATTTTTAGGTTAGTGATAAAGTTCAGCAGATACTTGATATCTGGTCAAGTGGACAAGGTGTTGTCTCATTACATATATTTCAAAATATTATACCTGTAGAAGCTTATACTAGAGAAGGATGTATTATACAAACCATCAGTGAGTCTATTATACCATATCTATATTACTATTTCATTGTTCTATTACTATTATATGTGACCCATGCTGGCAAATTGAGTTGCAATGAAGAAATTTTGAAAATTGAGTTATTGTTTTTTTTTCCACATTCTCTGACTCAATACCATCAAAATGGTGTATAGTTGGTATGAATCGGGTAAAACTTGACTGAGCTATAGCCGTTTAAGTCAGAAAAGATAGTTTTGAGAAAAAGCAAGTTAAAGATGTTGGTATGATCTAAAACAAAATCACATACCAACCACGCCATATATTTGTTATTTTTTTTATTTAATATTTCTTTAGAACAAAAGAGAATAGTCCATACATTAGTAATCTAGGTTTTGTATATTATAACTTTTGTGGGAATAACTTCTGTTGATCTCGTACCTTATATTAGTGGTCAGGAGATTAAGATTGTTGATTGGGTAATCAATTTTAGTTTCTTGATTATCAAAAAAGCCGCCACAGCTATATGTGTGTTCTTTTATCTTCGTCACACGACTGAATTAAGGTTTTGCTTGTACAATAGATCTACCATTATTTTCAGGTAGCGTAACGGTATCAGAATCTGAACTCCTGATAGGATGATAGAAATTTCAATTCCATTTGTAAGACTAGTAACAGAGGCTTACGTTCACTTTAGTGTATTTTGGCGGCAGTATAATGAAACAAATTGCGGACCGAAATACCAAATAATCACTGCTTGGATTAATTATTCGGAGTAAATAATGACTTGGGGAAGGCTTTATAAATATCATTGGCAATTATCAATCAACGAATCATTAATCATGACAATTGATTAGTATTACTCAATGACAAGATCCAGATTTTCAGCTAGTTTATTAATTTATGGTAATAGTATGCTGTCACGTGGTTTTGGTTGACATTCAATGGCAATCTATATACGATTAGAATTTTAAGATTTTTTTCTGCCACTTCTAGACAGAATCGAAAGTACCCGAAAACATTATTGCCCAAATCAATGTTTTATCGCCACATTATCGCCATCCATGATACCACAATGCTCCGTCTGGGAATTTGTTTATGTATTGTATGGGTTTTAAAACTCATTTGTATTTAATGAAAATGAGTTTATCGGTAATACTTTGGTCATATTTATAAACTAGAGAGATGCACTACTTCACAACATCGCCAAGCAGGGCTCACACAGTCGGTCGTCAAATCACAATTAGCGATAAATATCTGAAAGTGGCGATTAAAATTTTATTTTGTTGATAATCTTGGCGATAATGTTTTGCGATAGTGGTGATTCTTTTTGAAAACTGCCGGGAAAAAATCTTAAAATTCTAATCGTATTTATCCAGGATTAACCATTATTGAGTGTCATTCACATGGCGGGTTCATTTCGCCTTAAAAAAAAAATGGTAATACATGTAATAAAGATTGCTGACAATTCTTTTGGAAGAGAATTAAATATTTTGATATTTGGTATTCCGTTTACAGTGGCTTCATATAGGGCATGTAAAATATACAAGCATGCCTATCGGATATCATTATTTCAAATTATATTATCACCACTGGTCGAAAACGTAAGAACAAGATGAATAGTGACGATTCTTGAGCGAGAAAACAGTTCACCTTTTGTATCATATTATCATCGCCAAAATGCTCTAAAAGTTAACGACGGGTATAATTGTAAGCATCTCTTACAAATATAATTGAAATTTATATCATTCTATTAGGGATTCAGATTCTGATACCTTTACGATACCACATAAATTTATAGAAAATTGGCAATCCTTGTATTAGATTTGACGTGTAAATACTGAAAATATATTGGCAGTATGGTGTTCAAATAGACTAAAGTCACCAAAAATAAAATCTGATCTTATTAAATCCAAACTTTGCTAATCTATTATGTAAAGACAGTTTTTTAAAGTTTTGTATATTGTATTGTATATATCGCCAATATCAGTAATTGTTTTATTATAATAAGTCTAGCTGAGACATAAAATTGTTAGATGTTATCTTTTTTATCACACATTTTTGGCAGATAAAATATTCCAGTTGGCACAAAAAATATGAAATTTTTTTTTTATAAAAATTATCCATTTTAGCGGAAAAAATTGAAAGCCAGTGTGAGCCCTTATGCCAAGTATTACGTAAGGAGGTTGACCAATTTCGCTGAGAATTTTAAGAAAATAGAAAGATTTAAGAATAAGACTCTCTTACAAAAGAGATCTTTTGGGTCAATAGATAGTATATTTATAGAATCATTTTTGTGAAAATCTCAATATTTTCACCTGTTTTGTCTGTAGCTCATAATTAGACTTTGCGCATTTCGACTCAATTTGCCACTACGGGTCACATATGACTTTCTTTTCTTCCTTGTGTTTACTTTTCGTGATAATTGTCATAGTGATAATCATCAGAGATGATCATTATGGTGTTAAATGTTATAGTGAATAATCATTATGGTGATAAATGTCATTGTGAATAATCATCATGGTGGTAAATGTCATTTAGATGGGACAAAAAATCAAGGTCTTATGTACACATGGGCAAGCACATAAAAGAACCCTTGACAGTTGGAATTCGAAATAAGAGTAGGACGTTGCGCCACTCTCCGGGCAAAATTTCCCTCATTGCACACTGGAGCAGAATAGTAGGATGTAAAACCTCATTTCATTTAATTTCTAGATAACAAATATCATGAAAGTTTACAAGTTGAATAATTTTTTTAAAAGAAATGCTATTTAAATCATATCAAGAATATATGTTTGTAGAGCTCTTCAATTTTTAAAAACTAAATGCCATCTTTATCAACCCAACAAGTAGTAACTACCAAAAAAAAAAAAAAAAAATAGAATTGGACATACTTAAATCAATGAAGACTACTACATAAATGGTGCTATACAATATGAATGTTACAGACATGTAGTGCAATGAATATGATATAACTATATATAACTATATATATTGATAAAAGTATATCTCGGATCCCAGAGCCAATTTTATGTTTTTCTGAATTTGTATTTATATTCTTTTTTTAAGGTCTTGATAAACTTACTAATAAAAAGAAAGGAGATTTCTATGGTGTGGCATCAACATGGTCATTGAAAACTAAAAGACAGATGGGAGTGTATTTTTTAAAAAAAGCTTTACAGATATTTCTTGGTGAAGGTGAACGACAGATTTGTCCGCCTGATATAAAAACAGGACAGTAGATAGGTTATACAAAATAAATTAATAAATTTGGCCCAATTTAAAATTTGGAGGGAAAAATGGTAATTATAATGAAATCTTGGAATTGTCAACCCCAAATAGATCAACAAGACAAACCCCCTGTTAATTGATAAATTCAGTATGAAATATTGATGTATTTAATTTTTTGTTAATTTAACACTTTGAAAGCTGCCCTTGGGTAAAGACCATGTTTATTTGAACATATTACATGTAAAAGAACGAAATAATGAAACAAGATAGCTACATGCTAAATATTACTCTATTATGTGCCTTTATTCATTAACAATCCTAAATGAACACAGTAACAAAACATTATACATGTATATTACTATCTCTGTAAAAAAATCTTTTATATTTTGTGCATTATTAGTATTATTATTACGTATATTTTAGCAGGCAAATGTATTCTAGTCCATAATATCAGCTTTGCATATCATTTCCTAAAATCCACTTATAATGTAGGCTTTATGTTTGCTTGTGTATTTTTATGTAGAAGTAATTTAGTATTCTAATGTAAATGTGTAATTAAATACTTTTTTGTTATATCATGTTGTGCTGCAATGCAAATACCCAGTTATTGCCATGAACAATTTTGGTGATTTTCCTCTGTTCTTGATATTTCCTGATAGATTCATACTGTTTAGATTCTATATAGTTAAAGCTTTTGTTGATGTAATCGATCTTGTGTTACACTGTCAAAACCAGAAGCCAAAATTAGTAAACAGGCTAATGTCTGCCTAATCTTTTGGAACATATAATTTTCAGTCGTTTATTTTTACCCATTCCAAAGCAGTTTAGATTTTTTTTATATGCCCACATGGAAATGTGGTTGTATATTATCATCGCCCCGTCTGTCCGTCCGTCGTCCACAATTTCTTGTGAACACTCTACAGACTACATTTATTATCCGATTGTTTTGAAATTGATACACATTGTTTACATTAGTGAGATGAAGAAGCCTATTTAATTTTAATAATTTCCGTTAATTTCCCTCCGGAGTTATGTCCCTTATTTCACTTTATTGCATCTTGTGAACGCTCTTACAAGAAAAGTTATCATTCGATCTGTATGAAATTTATGTGCATCCTTTAAATTAGTGAAGTGAAGAAGCCTATTGAATTTCAGCAATTTCCGTTAATTACAATGTATGTCTAGAGTTATGGCCCTAAAAACAAAAGTTATCATCGATCTGTATGATATTTATATGCATTATTTAAATTAGTGAAATGAAGAAGCCTATTAAATTTCAGTAATTTCCGTTAATTACATCTAGAGTTATGGCCCTTGTTTCACTTCGTTCAACCCTGTGAACGACAACATTAATTTCCTCTGGAGTTATGGCCCTTGTTTCACTTTGTCGAACCCTGTGAACGATCTAACAACAAAAGTTATCATCCGATCTGTATGATATATATATATGCATTATTTAAATTAGTGAAATGAAGAAGCCTATTAAATTTAAGTAATTTCCGTTAATTACATCTAGAGTTATGGCCCTTGTTTTACTTCATTCAACCCTGTGAACGACAAAAGTTATGATCTAATCTGTATGAAATTTATATGCATTATTTGAATTAGTGACACGAAGAAGCCTATTAAATTTCAGGAATTTCTGTTCATTATGTCTAGAGTTATGGTCCTTGTTTCACTTTGTAGAAGCCTGTGTATGCTCTAACAACAAAAGTTATCATCTGATTTGTGTGAAATTTATATGAATTATTTAAATTAGCAAAACGAAGAAGCCTATTGAATTTCAGCAATTTCCATTTATTACACCTAGAGTTATGGCCCTTGTTCACCTTATTGAATCTTGTGAACGCTTGAATGGGAAAAGTTATGATCTGATCTGTATGAAATTTAAATGCATCATTAGAATAAGTAAAACAATGAATCGGATTGAATTTAGGCAATTTCCTTAATTTCTTCTGGAGTTATGACCCTTGTTTCACTTTTTTTTTGCACTTTGTGAATGCTTCAATGACAAAATTTATCATCAGATCTGTAGAACACTTGTATGCATCATTTAAATTATTGAAACGAAGAAGCCTGTTCAATTTCGGCAATTTTCATCTAGAGTTATCACCCTTGTTTAACTTTGTTGAACCTTGTGAATGCTCTAATGATTAACGGTATCATCTGATCTGTATGAAATTTATATGCATCATTTAGATTAGTGAAACGAAGCCTATTCAATTTCAGCAATTTCCAGTAATTACTTCTCAAGTTATAGGCCCCATTTTACTTGTTGCACAATGTGAACAACAAGTAATCATCCGATCTATATGAAATTTATATGCATTATTTAAATTAGTAAACGAAAAAGGCTGTCGAATTACAACAATTTTTGTATATTACTTCCAGAGTTAAGGTCCATGTTTCAGTTTGTAGCACCTTCTGAATCCTCAAAGGACGAAAATTATAACCTAATCTGTATGAAATTGTCTTGTAAATGCCCCCATTACCTACAAAAGATTAAATATGTGAAAACCCTTGTTGACTGTTCGGATGATTTAGCTGCTTTGGGTGTATGTTTCGTTGCCTGGCAACCTATCTTTTAATTAAACATGGTGTCTATAGACCATTGTCTTAAGTTTTGCTCAAATTAATTCATTCATTATCACTATGATATAAATCTTTGTTTTTGTTATCAAATTTTATTTTTGTTATTTTATTATCTTTATTGTAATTTATATAAACTGTAAAGACCATACTTATCTTAAAAATTAATGTTCTCTTTTGTCTAAGGTCAGTTTGAGACTCTCTCTACCAGCAGGTTATAATATTATTTTGCAAGTCCCTTTAAAATTTCATTTTTAAACTGGAGACAGATGATAACCGTTCCTGCTAAAAGAGTTTGAGATACTGATAATGAAAATTACTTTATTCTGAGCAAAGTTATGAATATCTTAAGTTTCAACAAGAATTGCATAAATTGTCTTGATTTTCAAGTACCATTGCTATGATAAAAAAAAAAAGTCTTGATTGTCCATTTAACAAAGATATGGCAGGCAGTGTCTAATGCACTTTATATCTCGGCCATTCGATTATCTAGAGAGTTGATTATGGGCTTGTCATGTGAATAAATGTCTAAATAATTTATATAACATTTCAGATTTAGCTGTTACATAATGCATTTTTATATTAATGTCAAATTGAGTTCCGTTGATAAATATATTTTGAGATCTGATGCCTTGTGATGAACTGTTTGAATACATGTTCCCTGTGCTACAAGTCAATAAAAAAACTATTTTAAAATGGGTTCGTTCGTCTGTCGGTTCGTCCATCTGTCTGTCTGTTCGGCCTTGATGGAGTTCAAAGATGAGCATTTTCTGCTAAGGGTAAGCAGAGATAAGCAATTTGATTGGTTGATGCTTTGGGACATGATAACTTTAGCTCAAATTATGTGATAGTGTTGACACTTGGTGTATAGTTTTATCACATCAATAACTTGACTTATTTCAATAATGGTGAAGGCATTCATTAGGTGAATGCCTTGATGGAGTTTGATGATAAGCAGAGATAAGCAATCTGATTGGTTGATGCTTTTGGGCACGATAACTTCAGTTTTAATTAAGTGAGAGTGATGAAACTTTGAGTATAGATTCATTATATCATTACCTTGACTAAGTTCGACGATGAGAATTTTCTGCTTAGGCTAAGGAGCGATAAGCAATTTGATTGGTCAAGAATTTGGAACATAACAACTCTGCTTTTGAGGTAGAATGTTTAAACTTGTTATAGAGGTTCATTAGGTAAATGTCTTGATTGAGTTCAATGATTAACATTTCGAGCTAAAGCTAAGCAATTTCATTGGTGTATGCTTTGGGACAAGATAACTTTGATTCTATCTGATAGAGAGTGATGAAACTTAGTTTATGGTTGATAATCATTTTGGTTGCTTGATACTTTTGAAAAAAATAAATGTGCTATTAATTAATGTGTCATCTATTCATTTTAGGGGACATCATGCGCAGCCTCACTGTTGGCTTGTTCAATCCAGTATTGAATCCACTTAATTACAAATGTTTGCATCAAGTCATTTTGGGAGGGGGGCAAATTCATAGATTGGAAATCACAATAAATTCTGTGATAAATTACCACAAAAATCCTTTAACAATTCAATTCAGATATATTTATCAGAATTGTTAACCTTTATTAGTTTTCTAACTTTTCTTATATACATTTTAAAGCCAGAAGAATATGATTTAGTAATAATTGTATACCAGTTGGTGAATTGATAATTGAATGAGTTAAAGTCAGATCATTATTATCAATTACATTTTATGATATACATGTATAAGAAAATATGAGTGTAAAAACTACCATTTCATCTTGATAAAAAAAAAAGTAATCGATCATATTAAAAATAATGCCTTTTAACATCAGAATGATTTTGTTGTACTTGTTATGGATTGTTATAAATTTGTTATAAATTTATTTTTGAATTGATTGTATAAATTATATCATGTTTCAAATTTATTTTTGATAATGTTTTGTTGCCTGGCAACCTATCTTTCATGTTCGTAATCATGTTAGCTGCGTTGTCAATTACCTAATTATTATGAGGGTATCAAGTTGTGACATTTTGCCATCATTGTAAAGGACTTTGGCTTCATTGTTAAAATCAAATAACTTTATGGCACAATTGCATTGCTTTATAAATCAGGGATTCTCTAGTCATGCTGATGTTGGGATCCACTGTTACAAACCTAATGAATTGTTGGGAGAAGCTTTGACTGACATTATACTAAAATCAGCTTGATGATAGTGAACTGCATGACATTGAGGTCTCAGTGTTTTTGCTTTAATTAATTACCATTGCATTATGTATTTTACTTATTTACATAGAATGGGACCTCTCTGTTATGAATAAATAAATCAGTGGTAATAAAATCTTAGTTTTGTTTGTTTTTGGGTTTTTTTTTTTTATGCAATGATCACAGTGACTTATAAAATATACAGATGAGAGAAAGGGAGATCATAAACAACCATTTATGCAATTTATATGTCATTAATTAGTGGGCCTTTTGGGGAATAGGGGTCGTCCAGTAGTAAATCTATTGGCATTGGAATCACTTTTTGCGGATTGTTTCTTTTCAGTATTGACTGTGCTCTGTTCAAAACTCGTAATTTCCTATGATCAGTTATACTTGAATAATGGTTGAAGGGAGATAATTTTATGTTATGCTCTTAAATATTGAAGGTGCGTTAGGTTGTCAGGTGTAAACAAAGTCAGAAATATTGAAATATTCATTGCTAGAAGCAGAACCAAAATAAATGGTAGCCAAAGGTTTTCATCATATAGTCATTAAGGAATTAATTTGGCCTTTTGTGGCTTTTCACAGAATGAGTGATACTTCATTTACATCAGTAAATGATAGTAGGCTACATTGTTATAACATGTTTTTCTGTATAAGTTATAACACAAGTAAAGAAATCTAAGAATAATAAGTCAGTGTTCTCTTTAGCACAAATTGTTAAATGTCAGTTTGCTATTTAAATGAACATGGAGTATATTTTATGAATAGATGATTATAGTAAATCTTATTTTGAGAGTTAATCTTGCAATTATCAATGTAAGTACAACAACATCAGTTTACAAACATGGGAATGATGTTTTCATGATCGCATTGTCACCACTGATCAATTTAGTGAAACTTTCGTCTGCCGACCGGTAGTCTATGCCAGACTTGATTTGGACCAATTCTGCAATGTTCTTTTAATTTTTGGTGCATTAAACATCAACAGAAGAAAAGGCGACTTAACTTTAAGTCCCGTAATGATGAATGTTATAATGACAAGTTTTCTATTGCTGAACTCTGTCAACTGTGATTCTCTTAAACAAGCTCGGGATACTGCAACTGGTCCAGATAAAATTCACTACCAGATTTTAAAACATTTAACTTTTTCAACACTCTTAATATTTATAGATCTTTATAACTGGATTTGGGTTGATGGGAATTTCCCTCCTTTGTGGCATGAAGCCACAATAATTCCCATCCCTAAACTGGGTAAAGATCCTACGAATCCTACCAATTATCGTCTGATCGTTTTAACTAGCTGCATTTGCAAAACCATGGAGAGATTGGTAACAACCTCATTACAGACCTCCAATGCGGATTTCGGTCCCAAAGGAGCACTCTTGATCATCTTGTTAGATTTGAAATGGTTGTCAGGGATGCTTTCATCCATTAACAGCTTATGATACCACATGGAAATGTGGTATCATGTGCGACCTGCATAACCTTGGTCTGCGGGGTCGTTTACCTATCTTCATTAAAAACTTCTTAGAAGATAGGTCATTTAAGGTACGTTTGGGATCAATATTCTCTGAGGAAATGGGGGTTCATCAGGGAAGTATATTATTAGTTATTATCTCCCACACTTCTTTCTGTCAAAATAAATACGATACTGACGTGCCTTAAACGCGGGTCGACGATGCTCTTTATGTTGATGACTTTCAGATGTGTTGTGGATCGACTTGTATGCAGACAATCGAACGTCATTTGCTACTTTGCTTAAATTCTATTCAACGATCGGCAACTGACAATGGATTTCGATTTTAGAAATCCCAAACTGTTTGTAAGCACTTTTGTCAAGAAGAGGTTTACATCCTGATCCAGAGCTTACACTGGATGGCAGTCCCATTCGTTTGATATTTGTTAAGAAATTATCATTTATTCCTCGTATTAAAACACTCAAGAAGAAATGTCTGAAAGCTCTCAACATATTGAAAGTCTTACCAAACACTGACTGGGGAGCAGACCGTAAGGTCTTGCTTAGATTATATTGAGCATTAATAAGATCAAAACTCGATTATGAGTATTGTGCATGGCCCTCAAAGAGCTTTATACCATACACAACCAAGGACTTAGAATCAGTTTAGGAGCATTCCGCACATCTCACGAGCCCTCATTGCACGACAGACGTGATAAACTGGCACTGCAAAATGCAACAAAAATATCATCTCTGCCTCATCATATTTCATATAATACCATATTTAGACCATAGCATGAACATCTGTATTTACTGAAAACTAACATTATTCCATCATTCGATATTCGCATCCAACCCCTTTTGTCAGAGGCTGGCATCAGTCACGACAGTATTGCGAATACCCCTTTGTTTAGAACTCCACCCTGGAGTATATCTCCACTGACGATTCATCTAGATCTAACAAAAAACAAAAAGAAAGATACTAGATCCACGGCATTTCAATCTCTCTTTTGAGAGCTACGGTCTAAATATGGTGATTATGCTCCCATTTACACAGATGGTTCCAAAGATGGTGATGGGGTAGCTTCTGCTACTGTCACGCCATCTGGAATCATTTCTGTCAGACTTCCACCTGCTGCTTCTATATTTACTGCTCCAGGCCATCTTTCAGGCTTTGGAGTTCATTCAATCCTCTTCATTGTCAAAACATGTTATATTTACTGATTCTTTGTCCTCTTTACAGGCAATAAACAACAAACTGCTTGTACACCCATTAGTAGCAGAAATTTATTGTCTGCTACTATGACACAAGTTCATCAGCAAAGACATTGTCCTTTGCTGGCTCCCCAGTCATGTTGATATTAAAGGGAATGATCAAGCAGACTTAGCTGCCAAGTCTACTTTAGATCTTCCCATATCACAATTTCTTTTACCTTTCACTGATTTTAAATCTTCCATTAACTTTTTCATATATTGTTATGACCGCTGGTAATGGGTCTTGGGATTCTGCAGGCACAAACAAACTTTATCACATTAAGCCGCTTTAAGGAGACTGGCCAAACTCCTATAGAACTAACAGGCGAGATGAGGTTGTTTTGTGTCGCTCTTGCATTGGTCATATTTTTTTATTTCATATTTTCATATAAAAATGAGAGCCTCAACGAGAATGTGAGCACTGTCAAGTTCCCTTGACAATTAAGCACATTTTGATTAAGTGGGAGTATCTCAAAGAAATAAGAAAAATATACTAATGTTGCCAGTCTTTGCACAATCTGTTTGCCCAGCTAGGTTTATATGGAAAACTGCTAGATGTTTTGAAAGAGACAGACTTTTATCATAAATTTTAAATTTTAAAAAATAGGGAACTATTAAAATGGGTTCGTCCATCTGTCTGTCCGTCCGTCTGTCCGTCACACTTTTTGGCACACAATAACTCTCTATCTAATTGAGCTAGAATGTTCAAACTTGGTGTAGGTGTCTTGAAGATGAGCATTTTCTGCTTGGGGTAAGCAGAGATAAGCAATTTGATTGATTTATTCTTTCTGGCACGATAACTTTAGTTTTAATTAAGTGAGAGTGATGAAACTCCAAGTATACACTCATTATATCATTACCTTGACTACGTTCCACAATGAGAATTTTCTGCTTAGGCTAAGGAGCAACAAGCAATTTGATTGGTCAAGACTTTGGAACATAACAACTCTGCTTTTAATTGAGGTAGAATGTTTAAACTTGATGTAGATGTTCATTAGGTGAATGTCTTGACTGAGTTCAATGATTAACATTTCGAGCTAAAGCTAAGCAATTTCATTGGTCGATGCTTTGGGACAAGATAACCTTGATTCTATTTCATAGAGAGTGATGAAACTTAGTGTAAATTTTGATTGCTCGATACTTTTGAAAAAAATAAATGCGCAATTAATTAATATGTGTCATCTATTTATTTTGGGATTTCGGTGGGGAAATTAGCCTCGCTGTTGGCTTGCTTTAACCATATTTATTGTTTTTTAGTTATAAGTAATGTACTGTGATATGTTTTTATAATGTTTTGTGATATGATTTTAATTATTTACTGAACTGTGATATCTTATTTTTGTATTTTTAAATATACATTTATCTTCTGATTACATTTAATCTGTCACAAATAATTCTCCATACGTCTGGCGCAATATAGCCCAGTTGATGCTGACATGCCATAAAACAACATTTCATTTCAATTTCTAACCTGTTAACCAAGAAAATTTGTCACAATTTTCCAGCATGGATTCACTTTGTCATTGGTTTAGGACGGTGGGCGTGGCAAGAAAAAATGTCTGATCTTTTGGATGGCACGAAAAAAATGAAGTCCTGCATGGGCCTACACATTAGCATTTAGCTGCATGTAAAAAAACTTTGACAGTTTGAATTTGAAATAAGAGTAGGCTGTATGTATTACCACTATCTAGGCAAAATTTGCCTGTCTTCATTAGCCTAGTCGGTGCAGAACAGTAGGATGTTAAACCCAATTTTATCAGGAAAATCTACATGTATGTATAAAGAAATGTAGTTATCCAGCAATATTATAATTGCCTCGATGATGCATCAATATTATTTATACCTTTAGAATCAACAAATGGATCGCAATCCGTCAACATCTAAACCATCACCAGATAAATGTCGTAGAATGATTTCTCCAGTCAAACGTCGATCATCATCATCTGGTGGTCGTTTTTTCTCACCTGTTGATTATAGTGATCAAGAACTCAATGATTTAGAAGTAGAAAATGTCTTTGGGGATGGTGAGTACCTACATTTGTATACTTTACAAACAAACTATACCCGATTGACATCATGTTTTAAATTATATCTACTTTTTGTTTTATCTTTATGATTCTGATTTTCTGCACTGCATATCATCAAACATAATATTCAGAGGGACTTATGTCTGCTGTATTATATGCATGTGACTTTAATGAGCTCATACATAGATCAGTAAACAATATTTTGATGTGATTTGCTGCATTTTTATTGGCTTTTCACCTTATACAACTACGAGGGCTGGCTGAAAAGTTGTAAGCCAGAAAAGGATAGATCAATTGGGGTGAAACAAACTTTTGCCACCAGCAAGTACAATCATTGAATGAGTCATAGACATAAGAACTGCAACTGTAGTGTTACTATTGTCTTCGTGCCAGAAATGGACAAAACTGGCTAAAGGGCAGTAATCAAGTACCAGCAACTAAAAGGACTAATCCCAACACAGATACATGCCGACATGATCTCCACTCTAGGGGATGATACCCCTTCCTTCCTTTTCCTCATTAAAGAAGTGGGCTGCAGAATTTAAGCATGGCAGAGAGAGTCTTGACAATGACCTGCCTCCTGGAAGGCCATCAACAGCAATCATCCAAGAAAACATTACCTGAGTGCATGACATGGTGATGGCTAATCAACGATTGACCACTCAAGATAATAAATATGCCAGTGATGTGGGTATGTCTCATAAGAGGGTTGAGCACATTATCGCGGAGTTAGGAATGAGAAAAGTTTCGTCCCGTGACAATCTGCGCCGTTTTGAAGCAGATACTGATAATCTTTTGGCCAGACTAGTAACCATGGATGAGACTAGTTTCCAGAAATGAAAAAGGAACTAGAAATGATAATGTTATGTCAGCTGTGAACGACTTTTTTTTAGGGTGGCAGAAGAAAATTTCTTCCTGACCAACATCCAGGGCAATCAAAAGTCGTTGGCAAAAGTGTGTACACCTTGAAGGGGACATGGATACCATTGACTTTGTATAGGTCTTTCACAGATAGGCTTAAAACTTTTCAGTCAGCCCTCATAAGAACATGTCATGCAGAACATAATGGGAGAGAAAATTAATTGAAAAACGTCTTGATTTTAATTGATTTAGAGAAATGTAGTTTTGTTTTATTAAAGTAATACAGCTGATAATGTATACCAAAATGTTATTTTAAAATAATGCTATCTGTATGTAACTTAGTATGTTCTTGTAGTTTATCGGAACATGTGTTTACTTGTTTCAGCTGATGATAGTTTCCATGGAAGTAGTGATGCTGATTCATCCCCAACTAAACCTAGAAGACATGAAACTCCTTCCAAAATTAATTATTCACCTTTTAGGGTTGGTATTTCCTCTGTGGTATTTCACACAAATTTTGAAAAGTATTTTTTATTAAAAAAACCCATTTTACTTTGATTTCACACTGACAAATAAAGTAAATAATTCTATACTTTTTTGACAAACCAGTTTATTATTCACAATTTAATATTTTATACTCGCATTTGGTTATGTATATCAGTCTTTAAATTAAAATGGTACATATTTTGACTATAGAGATACATGGCTTGTGCCTTTAACAAATTAACAATACTGCACATTGCCATAAAATTTAAATTACCAGGTATCTACTGTCTTTTTTATTCAACATTGTAATTACATCAATTTACACATACTTATTTTTGCCACAGTACCCTTAGGCCTTACCTCCTTAAACTTCCTGTATTCTAATCTTTTTAGCAATATTACAGGTTTATTAAACCATGAGATATGTCTTGTTTTTCAGCCATCAACTGTCATGTCTAATTTACAGAGAGGTAATGTTCAGACAACAACACCCTCTATTATACAAAGTAAGTGCTTAATCAATAATAGTTTACACATCAGACATATTCTTTTTACTTATGAAAAAGAGGAGTGCAACAATGATTACAGTCCTCTGATGGGCTTTATACATTCCTAAAGATAAATTATGCTGTCTGAAGATTCGAGTCCTCACTTTAAGTCTGGAGCCACTGTTGCTCAGTGAGTAAAAGGTCCTGGCTGAGAAAGTTCCTTTGGATGATCTGGTGGGTTCATATTTTGTGATACAAAAATCAAATTAACTGTATTTTAGCTGTGATCTCATCTTCATAAATAAATAAGACTTTTGATAGGATATATGTTTTAATGACTATTTAAATGTGTTGTAGATATGAGTATACATCAAATGGCTGCACAAGGAGAATTAGTTTTATTACAACAAGAGATCAAAGATGGTAAGATGACTTTAGAAATAATACAACAAAAAAACAATTTTTTTTATCAGGCCCTAGTCTCTGCAAGTCTTTAATATCTTTGTCTATAAACTGTCAACAAGAGTGTGACTGTATTTGACACCGAGACCAGATTACCTCCCTGTGTATTATTTAAATTTAACAAACATACACGTTACAAACAGAATGACAATCTGATCTGAAATCAATTCTTAATCGACTAGGTAAAATCATTGAGAGAAATATGAAATAAAGTTAAATATTAAAGTAGATTTGAAGTCCACCCGAGTACAAAGTGACAATTTAGTCAAGAAGAGTAACAAGTATTGATGCACCAATATGAACAAAGTCAATTAATTGATTTATGATTTTGTTTCATCAGCTATTGTAACCTACATTGATTGAAAATCAAACTGGATATTTAATAGTAACATCGTATTTTATTGGTGGTTTCAAATGGATAGACATATCCTTAATATTATTATAGCATGTTCAGTAACATCATCTTTCAGAGTCTGAAAGAAATCTTTCACATAATCAGTATGGAACACTTTGTAAGGCCCGTTTTCCATGTATGCATTTCTGCAGTAGGCAGACTTTTTTGGCAGCTAAAAAGAATAGTTGTGTGATGTAGCACTGGTATAAAGTGGATTCTGTCAAAGGGGGTTGGCAATATTTCTTTAAAAGAGTAGTAACTGGACAGGTCAGTATAACTGTGTAGCTGTTAGATTTATTACAGGATTTTTGGTCTATGACATAAATTTGAACTTTGCCTTTGCACAACAAGATTTTAATTCCCATATAATTTGTGTACTTTCAGGCTGTGACATGAATAAAACAGATGAATCCGGTTTTACAGCATTATTATGGGCGTGTGCTAATGGTCAGATGTCGAGTGTAGAATATTTACTACAGAATGGTGCCGATATTAATCTGATTGGAAATCATGGGGAAAACGCACTCCTACTGAGTAGTTGCTATGGTTATTCTGATATCATGTTAGAATTATTAAAACTTGGAATGGATATAAATTATAAAGATGAGGTAGGAACCAAATGTTAGGTTAATTGTTTTTTCTCCCACAGAATTGAAGGGGTCATTTCAGGATTAACATATAATATATTGTCATTTAAAAATTAGCTTTCATTTTTCACAGACGAGTCTTTAGAAGAGGAAATAAACCGAGGTAACCCATGAGATTAGGTGGGTGGGCGACCCTACTCCTTGTCATCTACTAACCCAGGATCAACACCATGACTTGCATGGATAACCCACCTTATGATCATTAGAGCACAAATTTCACCATTTGGCCGCCCAAACCTCTGCTACATAATTGGAACATGCAAATATGGTTATAAAGAAAACCCTTGATCTTTTGAATTAAATCAAGTATGAGCATACTCTAAGGATCAGAAACTAAGCTTGACATCTTAGAAATCATCTTGGAATAAAACACAATTGTCCAAGGAACAAACATGCCAAGTTTCATGTTGATCATACTTGAAATGACAGAGCTTTAAATTTTTCTGGAGAGAGAAAAATGAAATGAAATGGGGTTTAACTTCCTACTGTTCTGCTACTAAACTGGGCTAATGAAGACGGGCATACGCCATACAGTGTGCTATGAGCGAAATTTTGCCCGAGCAGCGGCGCTACGGCCTACTCTTATATCGAATTCCAACTTCCAAGGGATCTTTTACGTGCACGCCAATATGTGCACGGGACCTCGGTTTTTCGTCACATCCGAATGACTAGACAGATGTCCTTGTCAAGGACTCTGTCCTGCATCACTGACAAGGGGAAACCACGCCGGAAAATCTGGATGAACTTTCTCGGCCAATGCAGGGATCGAACACCCGACCGCCAGGCTAGCGAGCCAGCGTCTTTCTGGAGAGAGAAATAGGGCTGAACATCCACAAAACTAGATAATTTTGGGACTAACATGGTTCAATTTTATTTCACTAATTTGCTTGTGCGTATGGGTCTTTAGCAGTGTGAAGAAATCAAAGGACCCAGAGAAAACCCACGAGGTTAGACAGGCGACCCTATGCCTTGTCACATAAAAGCGGGGAATTGAAACCATTTTTCTTGAAGATCGTCGTCCCAAGAAAAAAGTACAACAATTAAGATGAGTAGTGCTTGGGGTCCAGTTCCTTGACCAACAATGGTATATTCCATTATGAATGAACCCAAAAACACTTTTGGTCACTACTTTGATTTCTGTGTCTACTAATCTTTAAATTGCTTGATTTTCTCCTTTCTAGAGTGGTAGTTCAGCTTTGATATATGCAGCCTTTAATAATCACACATCATGTATACAACTATTATTAGAATGGGGAGCTGATATAACTATAACTAATGAAGATAACCATACAGCATATGATTTAGCTGTTGGTCAAGGTCACAAAGCTGGTATGTTGAATATATCTACCATATTTTTCGGGGTATAAGTCGATACTTTTTTCTGCTGAAGTCTGGCCTTCGACTTATATACGGATAAAGGTAAAAAAAAAAAAAATGCCATCTTGAAATAAAATGTTTTTCAGTAACCGTCGCTCAATGATGCTGCACACACTATCGTCTAAGTTTCTTAGTTTGTTTATTTCTTTATTCAAAAACATACCCCCACCCCTTCAAAATATTATGATCAAAATAGAATCTTTTCTCAGATATTCGTCAAAATTGGCATGTTTTCATTTATCGTTATTTCATGGTCCTCGCAAGATTTCTACTTTTAGTTTTCAGTTAAATTAATCAATTATACTATACTGCATTGTTTTAGTAACGTACTTTATAAACACCTGAAATTCGAAACAAAGCCTGCAGTGTCTTATTTTTTAACAGATATATTGAAATAAAAACTGGTTCAAATAAAACAAGAACACAACTTGGAATATTATTCAAGTTAGTCCTATATTTATAAACTGATTATTTTATTGTAATTAATATCATGGGCCAATTTTTCTTGGCGTACACCGGTATGGTATTAGACTAGAATAACAGTCCTGAAACTCGATAACGATTGCTACCGTGGAGTTGAAAAACATTTGTCTTATATACAGCTTCGACTTATATATTAATGGAGGTCGGGAAAACAGTAAAATATGACGATTCGACTTATACTCCGTCTAAAGTCTTTATTTCTGCTATAAATTTAAACCACTGGATACCCACCAGTTCTCAATTATTTTGCAAATAAAAAAAAAAAATTATAAGAAACTTTCAGCTTTATTCTTTTAAAAATACATGTTTGTAGCAGTCTTTATAAGAAGCATGATGATGAGCATTAACAAAAATAGAATCTGGGTTCTTTAAAGCAGATGCACACCCCAAAAAGTATTTTCCTAATACTTGATAATTTTAATCTTCTTTTCTGTTTTATCCTGTCGATTTGGTAATCAATATTTTATTTATTTTTGACTTAATCAATTAACATGTAACTTTTTCTTCTTCAGCTCAACAAGTAATTGAACGTCACATGTTACAAATGTTTGAAAGTCCAACTTGAAAGATTTAATTTCAATAAAATGGTTAACATTAATGTTAATATGAGTGACTTGGGCTAGAATTGGCGTACTACATGCTGCTATTAGGTGCTTGAAGTGCTGGTGATACAATAATATTTGCCACGGTATGGGAAATGTACAGTCAAAAATGTTATCTCAATTGTCAGCACAGACACAGAAAGAAAGCAAAAGTATGAACTGAACATATCACTAAGCAACTGTTTAAACATTTTTCAGATGATGTGCTGATAGACTTTAATAAAGAGATTCTATTTCTTATAAGGAGATGTGAATGTTTTATAATAAATAAACATGTGTGAATTCAAGAAGTTTATGGAAATATTTTCTATAAGTCATAAATTAAATAATGTACAATGGTCAAAACAATTAAAAAAGATGATAAATAAAAACAAAATATATAATTTAAATAAGCAATGTATGCTTCAACAAAAAATTCTTTAAACATGAATACTGGACAGAATGTTGTTACAATAAAACCTGGTTCTACTAATATAAAAGCAGAATATCAAAGCCTCCTGATTTAAAATTTTATATATAAATATTATCTTAATTTTATATATCACAAACAATTTTATCACAGAAATGAAATGTGGACATTAGTTTTTCTTTTCAAGTGCTGCCTTAAAGGAGCAGTCCCAGGGTAGCTTATGATATATTGTAGGTTTCAGCATGCAAATCCACCCGTAAAATGCAAATAAATAGCCTAATCTGAAGTTCCGGTTCAAAATATTGAGCCATATAGGAATGATCGCCAAAATCGTTTAACTGGGGTTTCATGGCTCATAAAGAATTTTTGCCTATTGTGTACAGAGTAGGCTATCGATACCAAACAGGTGTGTTTTTTGAAGAATTATCAGAGGTTCAGATAGTTACATGGGACTAGCACAAACATTTCGAAAAGCTTCCGGCACAAATAAAGAAAAAAAATATTATTTCATTCGCTAAATATATATCTGGGACATCTCCTTTAATTAACAGAAAAATGTACATAAGTCAACATATTATCATATAAATAATGAGTTGGGCTTTAATTTTATTGCTGGTCACAACAAATAGCTGTATTTTGATTTTCTTTTATCGCTGCAATTATGCCTTGGAACTAGTGTACTGTTCTCCAACAAGTTTACACTATCTTATATGAAAACATCATACAATGGCAAATTCTCCATAGAATTCTGGATGGAACAAGCAAGCGTTTGACAAGGCCCACCTATAGTGATAGGAAGATTAACTGGTATTAACAAAACACTCCCTAAAATCCTCCAACATCAAACTGATTCATACTCTTTCTGCCATGCATCATATTTAGGTTTTAATAGTTTAGCAGATGGTTTGGTCCTTTCTAATGCACATAAAACATCTTTAGTTGTTATTGTTTCAAGTCTTATATGTAATAATTCACCTGAAAAATAAGTATCAAGTAAGTATTTCAATCTATTGTTCATCTTGACCTTCCACACGGTCCACTGTGGGGTATTAAAGTAGCTAAGTCTCTAACTCAATATCATCCAAAGTCTTACACGTTGAAAATACGAATTATTTGTCAATTCAAATCAAAATTAATGTTGTGATCTTACCAGGAAAAGGCAGGCTTCTGATATCCAATATTTAAGACAAAATAAACATTTTACCATTGGTACACGAATCGTGTACCATAGTGCATTTTAGCGTCATTTGCAACAAGTGACCCGAAAGAACGAAGCTATACATATTCAACTGTTGAGCCTGCTTAATAGACTGGAATAACCAGACGCTAGAAATTGCTATAGGGTTGAGACACATGCTGTATTTCGCTGGACATAACTGATTTGAAATTAGAGTCAAAAAGGAAACAATTGAATGTAAATCAGTTTATATACAATCAGATTACATTATTATATGCGTTTAGACCCATTTGGGTCAATTTCTCGGTCCTAAATATTAGCGATTTAGCTCCTTTAACTATTCCTCCAGCTGCTTTCACCACAATCAATTTTAATCTTTACTAAATAGCTTCAAATTTGTATTCCAAGAAATAAAGATGGATCATTCGACTTAGGTTTAGTGTTTCATACATTTTAAAACTAACAGTCATTTTTGTTATTGGTATGTTATTAGTTTCCAACTACCATACTCTTTTTTTGACATCAAACTGTCAAATAGCCACACAACTCTAATAGGCTACTAATTTATTTGTATTATAGTTTATTGTTCTATCCAGTTATTAATGCATCTAAAAGAACATTAAAAATAAGTTCAAACAGCCTTGGAAAAACTATGCAAATTCGAATATTTGTGTGAGCTCTAGTCTAAACTGTGTATACTTTGTAGATTTTAAGTATAATAGTTTATTAAAATCCTGACTCAATCCAGACAAGTCAGTATTTTATTATCATACCTATATTACTTCTCTCCTAATGTATTCTTACCTTCTGAATGGCCTTCTAGAGCAGCAAATATCTTTCTTACTGGTCTCATTGCTGCTTCTTTACATAATAATTTGATATCTGAACCTGAATAACCATCTGTTTTCTAGAAACGAAAGATAATTAGTAAATTATTTATAACATGAAGACACTGTTAAATTAACAAAGTATAATGTTGTTCATCTGTAAAAAAACAACACAATTTACCATAGAGACAAAAGCGGTGGTTGTCAACAACCCCAGAATAGCATGGTATTTCTAGCTTTTTCATTCTGATTCTGATTGAAGCCCATATAGTCCAGCAGAACTATGACTGAACCTGGAAATTGTATACAAAGTTTTTTTTATGATTGATTTTAGTAGTCTGGGGTGTCCTCTTTCAGAATCTGCCGGGTGAAGTTCAGTCACCCTTGAGCCATTTGAGAAATTCAACCATTTCAAATAATCCCCTATAACTCCCGTAGTACATGTATTTAGTCTAGGATGATAATTTTGGTGTCTAACCGTATAGTGTTGGGGCCAAGGAATACACTGAAATTGTTCAATATGTTGTGGGGCAATTAGATGATAGTAAAATCTAATATGCCAGACAATATGGCCCTTTAACTCTATAGCGGCAGTTGAGGGCGATTATTTCACCAAACTAAACTATATCTCGAGACAAACTATATATTTCTTGACATAGGAGTATACACCACATACATGACTATCAGGGGCCCAGGGCCACATGGGACGGCCCTGGAAAGGGGGGCACAAGCTGTCTTTTGAACATTAAAAAAAACAAATTCTACCCACAAAACACGAAAATAACCCACACAAAACTAGGTCTAATTTGGTTCAATTTTTACAGAGAAAATAGAAATTACACACATATATATCATAAGTTATAATACAATCTAAATATATCTTCTATCTTTAAGCTGTGTGATATTAAAACTTACTGATGCTAGTAGATCATAATCTAATTCAGATAGTAATTCTAGATCTCCTTCACCAGGATTTACTACTGGTGGTAAGAAATGGTGAATCATAGATTTACGGGCATCTAATGTTGGCATGTCTACCAGAATTCTTTTTTCTAATCTCCTTAACATAGCATGATCAAGTTCCCTAAAATATATTACATATATACAATTTACGATAATTTATATAAGTCAGAAAAAAAAGTGACCAGAAAAGACTGTCTTAAATTATGTCTACAGAAGTGACCAGAAAAAGACTGTGTCTTAAATTATGTCTACGTAACAATAGTTACTAGTATTATATGTGACTGCCATATTATCACTGTCTCATATATCTTATTTTAAAAGCTTACTTAATTATCTATTAATTATACATTGCATCTTGTTTGTTGAAACATATCAATATACACAAAATGAAAAAAAAGTTAAAGCACCCTCTGTTTATTTTACAATGAACCATTTTGTGAGCATGCATGGTTTGCAAGCCAACACCTATGACAATTATAAAACATAACATGTTAATCATGTTTTGAAATTTTAAACATGATTTTCACCAAACCTTTGGGGCAATGTTTTGCGCAAAAACAGTAGCCACAATAAGTATGGGAGGGCAGGGTCTGGAACACCATTTTGTTTCTTTTTGTGTATTAAGAACATATAAGTACTGCTAAAACATAATGTAATATAAAAAATAATATCTGCTGTACTTTAATATATGGAATAACAATTACCCATACTGGTTTATAAACATGCAACATCGGTATTTCTCAGTATTTTTTGCTTCTTATTGACTGGAAGGAAGGGTAAATAAAATATTACACCCTGGATGATAACCTACCATGGAAGGTTAGAAGCTGCTAGTAGAAAAACCAAATCATCTGTTTTAGCTAAACCATCCATCTGTACCAATAATTCTGTCTTCATTCGTCTGCTTCCTTCATGTTCACTGAAATTAATTAAGAAATAAAAATTTGTCATGCCTTTATTGCCCTTTCAAATATTCCCCAGTCATATAACCTTACAGTTATTTTTACAGTTATTTAAACACAGTATTCTGACAAGAAATGCAATAAATGGTTATACGTGTGGGTAAATAGATTCATTCATGACATACATGAAAATAATAGAACAACCACTTTTAAAGAGAGAGAGAAATGGGGTTTAACGTCCACTCGACACAAACTAGGTCATTTCGGGACTAACATATGGTTTAATTTTATTTCAATAATTCACTTGCGCGTAGGGGTCTTTAGCAGTGGGAGGAAACCGGAGGACCCGGAGAAAATCCACGAGGTTGGACAGGCGACCCTACTCCTTGTCACGTACAACCCCACTTTTAAAACTTACCCTCCACCACTCTGTGAACCTCTAATACTCATCAGAGATTCTAACTCATCTAAAAATATTGTTGACGGAGCATGGAAACGTGCTAATTCAAATAATACCTGTAGAAATAAAACAGAAAATGTTACCATCACATCTTTCCAAATAATCAATATTTGATATGCATTGCATTATTAGGGATGAAAAACACAGATTTTCTATACTTATCCCTGTCTCTAGTCCTTGTCTTCATCAATAAACACTGTATTTTTGTAATTGTGTATCTCAGGGATAGTCCAATATAAAAAATATGGTAGGAAAGAAAATCTTTGTATGGTGATAAAAACTTAACACAATTTTTCTGTTCTAAGAGAGAGGTGATGAAATGTCAGAGACAGCAGTGGTTTACTTATTCTTAAACATAAAACTACCACCTCATTTATGGGATTATTCCTTGAAATATAAAATAATCTGTTTATTTTAATTAAAATATACTTATTCTGTATTGGATATACCTGTACTTCATGATGCATCCTCTCCAAGCCTTTTTATATTGTACTTACCCTGACAAGTTTTTCTGAGTCACCCCTCCATTTACTGACTATACTAGAAGCTGATATATTGAAGAAAGTTGTGTTACATTCTGTAGCTACTGCTTTAGCTAATAATGTTTTACCAGTACCTATAGATAAAACACACAAATAATACAAGTTATTACTTTTCATAATGCATACAACTACATAAACTCACTCAAATGGCATTGATCCATTTTTGGGGTTATATGGACGCAACGCCATACTCAATTAGCCATTGTGATTCTGAACTAAATAGGAGTGTTAGCAAGAGTTAGTGTGGCAACACTGATTAAGATGAACCTTAATATTTTTCAATTGGCTATCTTGGACTATAAAATTATACACATCATTTATATTTACCTGGTGGTCCATACAATAATAAACCTTTCCATGGAGATAATATACCACGAAATAACTGAGGATACTGGAATTATACAAATAATACATGTTAAATCTTCTAACAACCAGTAATACAAATCAAACAATTTTTGTTGATTGCACTGACATTTGCTTATTTCTTGTAAACTAAGGCCACATGCCAGTAAGATTGGCCCAGTGTTTGGTATACTATATGTGAAATATGATTAAACAAACGTCCATATAACTTATTACAATAAAATTTAGGATGATAAGTGCTATGAAGTACAGAACAACAAAGTAGTAATTTCCAATGTTTATTGATTTCATTACCTTTATTGGATAAACAACAGCTTCTTTCACTAATCTTTTTGCTTCATCTAACCCAATTATATCATCCCATTTTACATTAGGATTATGAGAATAAATATCCTGTAAAACCAGAAGTATAAGGTATAAGCAGGTCACAATTCTAAGATATTATAATATATAAATGGTTCAATTTATGCTTACCAAAACAACATTATAGAATTAAATAAAAAAATTATTTGGTTTCATTTTTTGGTTGTACACTTCTTATAGGGTGCTGTCAGTAATGCACGATTGTGATTTGTCAACTCCTGATTAACCAATTCAATAGAAACTTGTGATAGCAGATATTCTGCAAAATCTTATGAAAGGCTTTGATTATCGTGGCATCCAACAACATTTTATTCTTAAACATATGTATGTAAATGGTGATGGAGTGACCAATCAAACAAAAACAACAAGCTGTGTTCTAATGACTGCACAACTTTAAACTTTCAAACATGTTGACAAAAATTGACGAATATCACCTCACACATTTACATTAAAACTGAGATTGAGAGTAATTAGAACTACTGTGATCACTTGCTTATAGTTGGTGGGACATCTATCTAATTAATATGTAGGATCTTTAAATTTGTAATATTAAATGAATTGTAACAAAATGATTTTAGAAAAATCTGCAGTGTGGGTGGATATAGATCAACAATATAATAATTCCTTAATCCACCTGAGTTAAAGTAGCCTAAGTAAAAATATACTTAGTATCATATATTATACTTACCCTACTTATAACCTGTGCTAATTCTCTCCATTCTGAACTATAACCAACGTAACCACCTAAAGGTTTTAAAACTCGGTCCTATAAAATAAATAAATTTGTATGTGTTATCAAACTGTACATTTGAATATTTCATTGATTACTTTAGCAGAGAATGTATGTTGATTTACTACAATAATGACATGAATAATATTTAGAGAGCAGGATTTGTACCCAAACAGTTGAAGGTTTGAGAATTGAATAAGACACATCATCCTTGTATTCCAGTAGACCTAGCTGTAAATGGATACCCATAGGATGGTGTATAGTATGAAAGACATTACATAAAACACTGTAGCAATCTTTGGGCAGCTTAAGTCGGGGCTCTTTCTTAGGTTTAAAGAGTTCAGAGATAAAAGGAGGTATTCAGACTTTAACTGTATCCTATAGTAATAATTGTGTTGTGCTTTGAGCCTAACCCTTAGTCTTGTGGAGTAAAGTGCATTATAAATATACACATTATCATTATTATCAATATAATTTCAGGTGCCAAAGCTTACTGCGTTTTAACACAAGTCTTGTGATCCCATGCAGTCTTAACATGTCTGTTTGGTGGGATTCTAATAACACTATACAATATGTGAATGTAATTTATTAACCCGTTTATTTAGAAATATCTAGATTAATGAAAGATATATCAGATAAATTAAACTTTGACTCACTGTACTGTCACATCCCTCCTCAGCATTCATCCTAGTGGCATCAGTGATCATTGCACGAATATCTATTATCTGACCAGGCTTCAATATAATTCATTATATGCTATATTACCATATTATATGCTGTATTTTTTTTGTATTACCACAGTTTTGCTTTTGGATTATAAGTATATCATTTGAAAGTCTGTACAAACAACTCAATAACTAAATCAAATATACCATATTTATTGTAAAACTAACAACAATTTATCCTGCTATAACAATTTTAATCCAAATAATAATGTACTTCCAATACATACCGTACATAGTTCATAGATAAACTAAATGTTGAGATGAAACTAATTTTGTGTTTGACTAATTTTGTGTAAGTCAAAAATGAAACTAAACAAGCTGTCTTTTGATTAATCTTTTAAAACAAATACAGCTATTAAACGATACAGCACTTCCCCCCATCACTAATCAAAATAATAAATCAGATCAACCCTAATCAATACCTATTTTTGAAGACACTTAGACCCTACTCTCACCTTTTAACCCCTTAACTGTGTAGTTTTTAAAACGTTAACTACCCCCTATTGTGTAATTAATTTGACGAACAACATCATTTTTGGACCTTTGTATTCCTGAATACAAACTATAGTAGTCTTAAACCATATTAAAACTAAAGGTAAATAGAGTTGTCTCCCTTCAATTAGATTTCCTCGACCAGACGTAATATAACGTCCTACACATGCTGCGATCGTATGTTCGAAGAATAGGTTGGGGAAAATACCTCCAGGGCGTTATATTACGTCCTACACACGATGAGTGGCAGTTGTCCTGGACGTTATATAACGCCCTATGCAGTTAACGGGTAAAATTAAATCAAAGATAAAGAAGTAAATACATATTTACCTTATTTCTGGGTTTAGCAGGAGTATTAGAATGTGTGTTTGTATCTGTATGATTATTTTGTAAACCTTGTACAGTTAGTCCTTGTAAAGCCAGTCCATCACCATTACTCTGTGATTGATTACCATTCATATTCTGTTGCTAAAATATAAGATAGACCTTGTATAAGTTTATACAATATTATTAACTGCCACTGGGCTTACATAAATGGATCAAAAAGGGGGTGCTTCTTGACGCATTATCAAATAAAAATATCAAGAATTATCTTGCTAGTTTACTAAATTATAGCATGTCTACACCTATATTAAACATACATTATGCAAGAGCTAAATCTGCCTATTGCAGGTCTTTCTTTAGGCCTGAAATATTATCTAAATTATTAATTAGACATTAACTTATCCAGACCATAATCAACTCTCGATGTCATCGCTAGCCTGTGATGTTTATTGAATTAGGTACCGATTTGCTGTTTGACTTCCATTCATGATTTAATCATGAAATGGATAATAAAGACTGTGTTTTTTTATCGTACCGATTTTAGTAATGATGGCCGAGGCTAGGCCGAAAATTCAATCGTTAAAATCTTGGTTCAGTGTGGATCAATTTTACTGAAATTTTCAGCAAATTCCCTATACATTATCTAGTTTTAACTATTATAGTGAGATCTGTCAGTTCTTTATCTAGTCTCCCATAATGTAATTTTAAGTTTATCAAATGTAAGCAAATGTTGTTTTCTTATATATCATGAAAATGGCAGTTTGATGCTTAAACAGAGCTAGCTAGTTATTATGTCAAATACAGGAATACTGAAAGTGAGATTGGACTTCATTGACAAAAAATGGTCAACAAAACAAGCCAGCACCACCTAAAATTAGTATTAATTTTGTTTTTCTTATTAAATGTTAAATAATAAATGTCAGCACATTTTAGCCTGGATTAAGGCTTGAAGAATTAGATATTGTCCGGAAAATGCAAATTATGATCAACGATTTTAAAGTTACAATGGATTATTTTGCAAAGAAGGACTCTAAAATATCTAGATCTAAAAATATTAATTTAATATATATACCATATTTCCATTGGCTGCATTAATAGGTGGTTTACGAGTAACATTTTTTGAACCAGTCCCAGACCTGGGTCGAGGTGGGGGACTAGGAGGTCTAGCTGTCTGGGGAATCTTGGGTAGTTGAGGTGTACTATTTGTCTTAACACTGAAATAAAAACATAATTCTTGTGACAAATAATCATTAATCAGTGGTTTGAAAGAGTTAATGAAATGGGGTTTAACATTCTACTGGGCTAATGAAGATGGGTATACAGTGTACTATAAGGGAAATTTTGCCCGACCGACAGTAATTAAATTTCAACTATCAAGGGTTCTTTTAGGTGCACACAAGACCTTGTCTTTTCAGCATGTCATGTGAATGACTAGAAGCTGTTGCTTTTCATGCCCTTTGTCCTGCACCACTGACAAAAGGAAAACTAATAGGAAAATTCTGGGGAACTTTCTCGACTAACATTGGGATCAAAACCCGGACTTTCTCATTTTAGCACCACTGCTCCCACTCCATGGTTTAATTAAACCATTCTATTTGCTTCCTAGACCGGTGATGATTTAACAATTTTTTCCATGCTAACAAAATCAAATTTTATTTTACAATTTAATAATTAAATAAAACATAAAATACCTGTATTCAAATTATACTAATTTAAATTACCTGCTACTTCTTGCTAAACTTCCCTTTCCCCCTCTTCCACTAACACCAGCTACCAAACAATATCAAAATATCATAATTAGAACAAATTTACTTATTGTAACAGTATTAATGTTCATTAACATTATCAAACCAATTTTGAATCTGAATTGGTGAAACTAAGTCTTTTATATTTGAACATAATATTAGGAGATAGTGATACATATTTATATATCAGAAGAAAAGTGGATCTGAGAATTTAAATGAAGAGAGTTGATATTTTGATTGGTTTAACTATCTGTAGTTAAATTATTTAAAGTTTTCAATAATCTACTTGTCATTACGAGAAATTTAATAATATCTAGATTTGATTGAAAAAGCTATTATTCTTCAAAATGAAAAATCAAATAAGATAACAACTTTATTTCAATATCAGTACCAACTACCAAACCAACAATTCATAACCAAGTCAAAAACTTGGATATTTCTATTTATATGTTCAAATGTATCAAAACACAGACAGACTACCATATTCATTACGGGCAACCTTTTTCATTGATCTACCAAGTTTGCTTGCCAACTAATCAAAAGATAAAACATAAGACACTAAAAATATTTAACAATCACCCATAATTACAATCTGATAATGATTAATGAGCTGCAGATATTCATAACCTTTGCTTCAGGGGTGTACTAGACTCGACCCCCTCAGGAGAATCTAATCCTTCACTGATAATTTTCTGTTTCAATCTTTGTCTATTTGATGTACCGTTAAACTAAAATTCTCTTGAATTGGATTTTAAACATTTAAAAATAGCCTATATATATATGTAAATGGAAAATATCTTTAGATATATTACTCAAATTCATTTTTTTTTTATTTTATGAAAAGCTAAAGCTTTCTCGCTATAAGCAGTATAAGTAAACTTGATAAAAAAAAGCCTTTTCATAAAAAGTAATAAATATTTTTGAATTAAAATATATAATAACAACACCATGCAAATATCTGTCAAATATTAGTGTAACAAGGGCAAGGATTATATATCAATCAAATAATATGCCTGAGTGTACCAAAGGTTAAATGTGCCAATATAAAATGGGTTTATCAACAAAACTTTGTGATTTAAATAATACCTGTTAATCCTGAAATCAAGTAGATATATTGTGTAATAGCAATAAATCAAAAAATATACATATTCTTTCTTTAATAGCATTCCTTTAATTAATAGATCTAAATAGTATGTAGTATAATAATCCTTGTAGTTGTAGTGTTCTCGGTCATGGGGGGGGGGGGTCACGATGGTAAAGTGGGTAAGACGCTGGCAAGCTAGCTTGGAAGTCAGACGTGTTCGATCCCTGCATTGGCCGAGAAAGTTCATACATATATTCTGGCGTGGTTCCCCCTTGTCAGTGATGCAGGACAGCTGTCTAGTCGTTCAAATGAGACAAAAAACCAAGGTCCTGTGTACACATTGGCATGCACGTAAAAGATCCCTTGACAAAATTTCCCTCATAGCAAACTGTATGGCGTATGCCTGTCTTCATTAGCCCAATTCAGAGCAGAACAATAGGACGTTAAACCCCATTTCATTTCATTTCATTTCATGTCTTCGGCCATTGTGCAAAACTGAAATTCAAGTGGAGTTGTCTCCTCTTTATATCAAGTGAGCATGCAATTGCTAGTATTGGTAATTTCCATGGTCAGCTCAACTGCTGCCATTGTTATCTCAAATCATGACTTACTCTAATAGTTCCGGTACAATAACAGATTAGTGCTATTAAATTATTATCACAAATTTAATTCATCTTCAATAACACAAGTCGTGTCACGGGAGATAATAACACGTTTCATGCCAATTTGTTCAAATAAACAGTTTTATAAAAATTTATATGGATTTAAACATTATATTTAGTAATCTATTGCCTTAACCTAATATATCATTATTCAACAATATGTTCTTTAAAACTCATTAACAGTTTAAATAAAAGTAGGTCGCCATGAATTAAGTAAGTCAGTATGAATTAAAATTATGGTATCAAAAATCCTTTACGGGCATTTAGTTGCTGTATGGCTCATTACACTATAACACATACTGGTACTTATGGAAGAAAAATTACCAATATTTATGGAAGACATTGAGAATGTTGACTACTCTTCAAATATCATAATGTAGAAAGAGAGAGATAAATGGAGTTTAACGTCCACTCAACACAAACTAGGTCATTTCGGGACTAACACATGGTTCAATTTTATTTCAATAATTTGCTTGGGCGTAGGGGTCTTTAACAGTGGAAGGAAAGCAGAGGACCCAGAGAAAACCCATGAGGTTGGACAGGCGACCCAACTCCTTGTCAAGTCATAATGTAAAGATTTTAGAATAGGTGTTGTGTGAGACGACATATTGGTTAGTGATACATGTATGATTCTGATTGCTGTATTCTGTACTTGATATTGCTTGTAAAGTCTGGTTTGATTACCCTAATCCCTGAGAGCAAACTGTTACAATAGTCTATTCTAGACAGAACTAGTGACTGTACTAGAGATTTGGCGGCATCAATCGTGATGAGATGTCGAATGTCACTGACGTTCCGAAAATGAAAGTAACAGGACTGACACAGTTTATCAACCTGCGTTTCAAATGACAAACAAGGATCTAGATAAACACCAAGATACTTCGCAGCACTAGCTGAATAAACTGAGTCTCTAATTTTAACATTTGTTTCAGATATATTCTGAAGGCATCTATTTGCTCCAAATAACATAGCTTCAGTTTTGTCATCATTCAATTTGAGATTATTTGAGGTCATCCAATTTTTGTACTGTTTCCAGAGTGATAAGCTGATTGAAACTTATCCCTAAGATTGTTGATATGTATGCACACAGTCTGATGTTTACAGCTTTCTCTAAATGTTTTGAAAGGAAAGAAAGATTGGAAACAGGACGGAAATTTTTAAGCACATTTCGATCAAGTGAATCCTTTAAATTAGTAATTATCCTTCCATAAGTAGCGTACATATATAAGATTCATACATACCACTTTGTGTTGTTAAGCGTTTTGTAATCTTAGGATATCTTGCAAACTTGACAAAATAATATGATTCGTATTCCATGAGAATGGTATCCAAGTCAATATTATCACATACTTCATATCTGCTGATGTCTATATTTGTTTCTTTTGACAAAGCTTGGGCTGATTCTCTGTATCTGAATGACAAAATTAACTGAATACTAGTGCATGGTTGCTACTTCGCCTGTACATTCCGGACATGACCTATGCGATTTTCCAAACGTCGCCAATCAGACATCAAGATATGGTGAATAATAATTAATATTCAAAATTCCAAAATATATTGACTGTACTGAGTATACATGTATAACTATTACTCATCTGGATTATCGCTGATAATAGGCTGCATTGATTAGGTAATGAAGTGATCAACGTATTTATCATGTTATATAGTCTATACACCTACCTTGATTAACAGCTTAAAGATGCATTATGTAAGAGCTAAGTTTGCCTATTGCAGTTTTTTTATTTTGGCTTCAAATGTTATATAAATTATATAAATGACAAGCCTATAATCATCTCTCCAGACCATCGGATGGCGCAGATGTAAACAGACAACAATACGATTGCCATTTAATGATTTGATTTGAAAATCGAGAAGCGAGGCTGAGTCTCGCCAACAAGTAACATTATTGCTGCAATAATAAACAATCTATGTCAAAACTTCAAACAGTGATAGCGTCATTCAGAATAAAGTAATTTGAATTAAATTTTCAATATATTAATTTTGAATTATCTATTTTGGAACTATTAATTATAGTAAGAACTGCCAACTCTTTATCTAAATCTTACATGATTCATCTTTAATCTGTCTTGATTGACTGACTTAATCTTTTGTGGTAGGTTCTATTCACCAATCTAATCCTGAAAAGAAGTCGTTGCTTCTCCTTTGTTGGACTATTTATCAATCCAGTAAGAGTGATCAAAAACTTAATCTATGTGATTACCTCATGGTTTCTCCATTGTCAGACATTTTAATCTCCTTGATGTCAGCCGACAGCATGTAACAACTAATCATAGATGTCACATATCCTAATAGCATAGAACACCCCAATGTATGTTTAAGGAATAAACATTTCTAATATGTATTCATTTACTGCACATGACATCACTGGCGTTTGAGGGGATTTAGAGTGTTTTCGATAATTAGGTAAAGTCGTTTTTACTGGAGGTCTATATTTGCGACTTAGAGTGAAGATGGCTCAATTAATTTCATTCAGATTGGTGTAAATTTTCCAGAAAGTGTATATAGTAGCCACTGGCTATGAGTACATCAAATTTTGCTTGGCTATTTTACGTGCTATAAGTTCTGTGTCGTCACACAATAAATTTCATTTGTAACCATTTTACTTCGGAAGAATTGCCACATGGCAACCCATTTGTAATTACACAATGTTTTTACCATTTTCCATTCACAGACCACAAAATATTCTGTACATATATCCATACGAATCGCTGCCTATTATTAGCTATTAATAAACACCTTTAATGAAACTATGACTCTATACAGAAATTCCCATCTACAGTGGCACTTTCCCACGATCTTGCTGTCGCATGAAATTCATCGCTTACCATACATACCGTAAGACATTTCTTGCTACGAAACTAGTAAATGGTAAAGGCATATTCTTCGCAGTGTTTCGTTTTATTAGACCTAATTCTACTCAAGCACTGGCGTAATGGAAGCAAATTTCTGTTCCAAATTATAACTGGTCAATAGTCCAATTAACAACCAATGCCTAACTGCATAACAATGTCATTCAGGTTTAACCAGAGCTCCACATTGTTCACATATTGTTACGTCATGACTCACAAATGTTTTACCCACAATTAACCAGTGCATAGCACAATATTGCAGAAAAACTAATTGCGTGACAAACGACGCTATCAACGGCTAAAATGTAAATAATACTGTTTGGAGACGAACAATACTTTCACCGTTTTTAATACCATAAATCACTGTCCAAAGTTTTAGGGAAGACCTCAGATTAAACGAAGGGCTGTCATGCTGCTGTACACAATATCCCTCAAAAGCTCAAATATCATAAGTCAATCCAGCAATGGCCAGAGAGGGATTTCTTGGGCCATTACTTCAGGAATATGTGGTAAAGGACACATAACACTAACAAAAAACAGTCAAAAATAAAAAAATCTTTGAATTTTCTTAAACTAAGCATTTTGTATAATCCACAGAGTGTTGATACTTCATACTAATTACTTAATGCATACTATATTTCTATATTTCACACCTTATATCTTTATTCATAATCATATTATAAAAATACTTACCCAGCTTCTGATAAATAATTCAATACCAAGATTAATAAATTTTTCTTCCTTGAGTCAGTTTTCACTTCATCCTTAAAAAAAACAAAAAACACACGTGTGCAAGATATTTCCTAGGATCAAAGGTTCAAGTATAAGCTGTAAACATCACAGGCACTATAGTAACACAGTATTATTGAGAAACAGCTTTTAATGAATGATGACAAACGGTGATATTTCAAAATGTCAAAGCAAGCTGCTTGGGTTTACGACTGGGTATCCAGGCAACTCAAACCAAATACCACTTGGACCAAGACTAGTCTGACCAAAACAGAGACCACTCGGACCATATAAAAAGACCACTCAGACCAACCCAAAAGACCACTCAGACCAATTAATCTATATTGTAAGACCACAATAGCTTTGCTACTCAGACCAGCCCAAAGGACACCTTGCACCAATAAATATAAATTACAGACAATAAATATTTTTTTGTTTATTTATTATTAAATCAAATTAATATGTTGCTATTTATTTATTATTAAATCATAATAATCACAATAGAAAGAGGTGAATAATTTATAGGTGAGTATATACATAACTTAATGTCTTCAATACGTGTAAGTACATAATATTCGATAATGGCGCGTGACATTACATTATTTTAGGGGTAGACTAATCACTGGAATTTATAGGTGAGTATAGACATAAGTTAACATTCAATACTGCGTGACATTACATTATTTTAGAGGTAGACTAATCACCGGAATTTGCTTATAAACCATAGTAATTGTTATCCATATATAGTGTGTTATTTGATCACTTATAAACACTGAAATTCACTTATAAAAATCACCAGAATTCACTTACAAACACCAGAATTCACTTTGAAGATATCAGAATTCGCCTGCAAGAATTTCCTATTTACTTATATTTTGCATTAATATTAATATTTAATTCCTTAATAACACTTAAAATCCCCCCAATTTTTTTTTAAAACATATAAACACCGAAATTCACTTTCAAAATATCGGAATTTGCACTTAAGACCTCAATAATAATAGTAATAAAAGCGCTATACTTATTCCTGTTTACTAATATTTTGCATTAATAATAAATTACATGTACTTTAAAACTCCTAAAATCACCTGAATTCACATTGAACAGATATAAACACTGGAATTCATTTTCAAAATATCGGAATTCGCACTTAAGACCTTTCTATTTACTAATATTTTACATTTACTTTAAAAAAAACGGAATTCACTTTGAGAAAATCAGAATTCGCACCCCAAGACAACTATATTTACTTATATTTTGCATTAATACTAGATACTAGAATGTACCTGTTGTAAGAAATTAAAAGAAATAATAAAAATCCTATAAAAATAAGTCAAGATCTCAACCCTTTTTAAGTGAAATTAAATGAAATGGGGTTTAGCGTCCTACTGTTTTGCTCCTATACTGGGCTAATGAAGACGGGCATACGCCATACAGTGTGCTATGAGCGAAATTTTGCCCGGGCAGCGGAACTATCGCCAACTCTTATATCGGATTCCAACTGCCAAGGGATCTTTTACGTGCATTCCAATGTATACACGGGACCTCAGTTTTCTGTCCCATCCGAAGGACTAGACAGCTGTCCTTGTCAGGTCCTCCATTCTGCACCACTGACAAGGGGAAACCACGTCAGTAAATCCCAATGAACTTTCTCGGCAAATGCAGGGATTGAACACCTGACCTCCAGGCTAACAAGCCAGCATCTTACCCACCGTGGCTCCCCTCCTTTTTAAGTGTAAATAATTTAATTGAATCAACCTGTCCATAATATCATATTTATTGTATTGGACGTTAAATCTATAATAAACAACAACAAATTACCTACACCTCACTTGCAATTATTTCTATGATGGTGCGCTTATTGAGACGAGTAGTAGGAGTAGTTTCCAAGTGAATTCCGGTGAATAATGATAGCTAGAGCAGGGGAACCCATAACATTATTGTGTGTGGCTGTGTATTTTATGTAATGTTTGGAAAGATCAAAAGAGTTATTCATTAGACAATGTAACATCTGTTATCATATAGCCGAAATGAATTCCGGTAGTCTTTCAAATAAATACACCTACAACATCTTCATCGAGTCTGTGCAGAAATCAAAATAGTTATTAGGGGCCTGTATGTATTATACATTTAAAATAAATTAGTTTTGTGGGAGGATTTAATGCAAAATATAACTAAATACAACTGTTTGGGGGGCGAATTCCGATTTTCTCAAAGTGAATTATGGTGATTTTCGGTGCTTAAAGTAATTTATTATTAATGCAAAATATTAGTAAATAGGAAGGTCTTAACTCATTCTGTTATACTTTCGCCAGGCATCGACCTAATTAGCTACTGAATTTCACCGGCTTACGCCACCTGTCAACTACCTAATGTCTAGTCACTTTTCCTAACAACAACTGTTGCTGGCCTCTTTGATGTAAAGTTTTATTGATCAAGAAAGTTATCACAAAAGGCCAATTAGCTTCCCAAAAGTAGTTATCCAATAAATATATAGTTTGAACTAATTACTGGAATTATAAAATTTGTAGGTCACATCAAAGGTTTAGGGGTTATAAAGGTCGTAAACTCACAAGACAATTTGCCCATCAATGACTGCTGCCGGCTTTCCAAAAGTAGTTATTTATCCAATAAGCGTATAGTTTGAACTAATGATTGAAATCATAAAACCTATGTCACATAAATGGTTTCGGGGTTATAAGGTTGTGAACTCTCAAGAAAATTCTTGTCATAGGGCGCCATTTTGTACGCAAGTTTAATATTTTCACGCACGTTCATCCAATAATTTCTTTGCTATGGAAAGTGATTCCGATTCAGAATTTGAAGGAATTTTATCAAAGGATATTTACATGTGAATATTAATCTCAGTAATGACAAATGTTCCGGGGAAAGTGATTTTTCCCAGATTTGAAACCCAGAAGAAGATACATGATATACAGCATACTAAATATGGCAGCCACTCGTCTCTTCGTCGAATTGTAATATCCCAGAGCTCACTCTTTTAATAATTTCTTCACTATGGAAAGTGATTCCGAATCATAATTTGTAGGATTTTTATCAAAGGTTATTTTAAATACAGTGAATATCAATCACAATAGTGTTCGGGAAAGTGTTTTTTCTGGGATTTTAAATGGAGATGAAGATGACCCAGATATGACTTCGAAAAAAAAAATCAAAATGTTGGCCCGTGGTCGGCGAATACAAAATACCGACTTTGTTCAGCAAACTAAGTTAAATTCAGTGATTTTTTCAACATTTTTAGGACATTTAAATAAGGATAAAAATAGTTTGACTTTTTAATTTGTTCATTGTAGTAAATCATGCACATTTTGATCGTCAATTACACAAATGCCTACGGCAGCATGTTATGGCCTGTTGTACAATGTGCGTGTGCTAAACAGTGTTGATTTTAAATAAAGAATTACTTTGTTGTTACTTTGTATTAGTGCTTAAAATATACCATTTTGATGCCCAATTATATATCTTCATATGAATATTTGAACATTTTTTGACTGGAATTAGTGGTATAATAGTTTGTGTGTTATTTTGTTTTCACTGCAATATATTGGATTAATGGATAATCCTTTAATTAGCTCCAGGGAGATAAGCTATTGTCTAGTTAATTGGCTTAGGGAGAGACAGGAGTAGATAATTAATTAAGTCTAGGGGTTAATGAGGTCTTAAGTGCAAATTCTGATATTTTAAAAGTGAATTCCGGTGATTTTTGGTGTGTTTAAGTAATTCATTATTAACATTAATGCAAAATATATGTAAATAGGAAAACCTTTTTGGCGAATTCTGGTATTTGCAAAGTGAATTCCGGTGTTTATAAGTGACTTCCGGTGTTTATAAATGAATTACAAGATTAGACTAGCCAATTATTTTAGCCTATTTTAGTATTTATGAACAGATATGTACTGGCTATCGATATAGTGTTGACGGTATAAGCTTACCGTACATCGAGAAATATGGATTGAGAGGAGGGATTAGGCGGAGGGGTATTTCCTGAATACTTTTATACTGAGGTGCAATGGCCATGGGATTTAGTGGAGGTTGCAACAAAAAAATCTTTCCCCTTTTTAATGTGGTGGTGGTGGAGCACAATACTAGATCTTTGTACGATCTGCGAAATATCTTTCTCTATGGCAGGGTTAGGGTTCGGGTTAGGTTTATAAATTACATGTCAAACGTACAAATTGAAGCTGTACCAACGGTGGATTGTGGCTAAACCTATTCTGAAGAGTTAGGGTTAGAATTGTGGGTATAAACACGGAAGAAATCAAAGATATTTCTCAGATCGAGAGGATCCAGTATCGTGCGGTGGTGGAACTCCTTTCTTTCTTTTTTTTTTTTTAACTGAGCTGGGTACTTAGATAGGATATCTACAACCTCTGCATTGTACTAGGTTGAGAAACTATGAGTCTGAGCATCAGTTGACTCATCATAAAGCCACAGGGTGTTTGTCTTTTTAAGTTTAAATAAAAATGTGGAAATCGGAATTCGCCTCTCTACTACACTGCCTAGAGTGACTAGAGGCTCTACTTTGCTTTGAGGTCTAACTCTAATTTACTTACAGCTTCACGTGCTTGATTCGCTGATCTTATGGACTGATAACTCAAGTCGCTCATAACACTCATTATGCATTCCGGTTTTCTTATCAAAAAGAGAGTGAATTCTGGAATTATTGTTATAAAGATGTGCAATTCTTTTAAGAATGTTTACTGTCGTGAAGGTGGCCGGATACGGAAGCAAATGTCTTTCCGCTTGTGAAACTGTTTTTACCCCCCAATTTCTCTGAGTATAGATTCTAATCCCTGTTTTCTTGTTATTTATCTTGATCTGATTACAATTTATTTTAGATAATATCAAGTTAATATTATAGTGTTTTTTTAAATAAAAAAATAGTAACGAATTCACTGTTTCATTTTCGGTTGACAACGCAGCAACATTCCTGAATAAAAGTAAGCTCTTGGGCAAATTCTTGGATGGACGAAAATATTATGCACCGATGAAAAGTAGACTCGATCGATAGACCAGTATCTGTATCTCGAAATTTTATTATTTTCCTATTCAACATTAAAACAAAGAAACCAATTTCATATTTATTTGCATTGTAAGTATAAAAGTGAGTAGATATATATTTAGTAAAACTCAACAAACAATGTTGTACAAATTTGTGTCAAAATGTTTGAATTCGCTCTGGTCCTGGTCTATCACACAAAATAGTGACACCACAAATGATATCAGAGATATGTGTTCTTTTTTTTAGGACTCTAGGCCTAATTTAGAGTCTAAAGAAAGGGATGTTATTTATCACTGCTGCAATTTATATGTCACCAAATGTCAGTCTAATCGTTTGTCAATCACTAACATCAATTAGTGTTAGGATGGACTTCATACATAAGGTCCATGGTCAGGTGCGCTAATTAATGTAGGCCTACTATCAGTACTAGGCTTGTGATCAACGAGTATTTAATTTAAAGATACCGCAAATGGGTCAAAAAGCATATGTTAATGTAATATAAGAGTATAAACTGATTTACATTCATTTTTTTAAAAAAAAGTTTATTATAATTTCTTATCTGTTCTGTTCATATAAATACGCGAGCAGTCCAAATTAATGTAAATGTGTCACTTGAATTAGTCCAGTCTACATTTGCAGTTGGGTCTACATTTGATATTTCACATAAGCTTATGCACTGACGTTAAACCTCTCTCATCAAGGCTAGACGGCATGTACTGGTGGTACCATATTTTCATGGTAAGAATCTAAATTATGTGGGCTAGACCAATAATTTGTGCCTGGATAATATTGAGTTTCAGCTTTTTAAAGGAGCTAAATTGCTTATATTTGGGACCTAGAAATTGACACAAATAGGTCGCAACGCATATAATAATGTAATATGAATGTATAAACCGATTTACATTCAATCGTTTCCGTTTTGACTCAAATTTCAAATCAGTTATGTTTGGCGAAAAATGCCAGAAGTCTCAGTCGAATAGCAATCTTTATCGTCTGGTTATGCCAGTCTATTGCGCATGCTCTCCAGATAAGAATATGGCATCAGCGCTTGACATGACTTACAGAATCTCTAGTCTCGTTCTTTCTTGTCCCTTGTTAAAAATGACACTGAAACGCATTATGGTACACGATTCGTGTACCAGTGGTAAAATGTTTATTTTGTCTTAAATATTGGATATCAAAAGCCTGTGATGATCAAAGGAAGAATGATGGGTCTCTAGAGAATATTTTGGTTTTGATCATACATTAGGGCTGTGCTTATACTGTTTATTTTCAATATTTTGCGTATTGTCGATATGACAAGGCAATACATGATACACATTGTGATTTACACATATGTCCAAATTATGCTCAAGCTTTCTTTAATTTTCAAACATACCTCTATTTTAAGCCTATTTTATGTTTAAATCAAACCTAAAGAGTTTATTTTTGGATGTCTATTATGGTAGTCAAAGACGAAAGCCGAAAGTCCCGTTAAATCCATCATGTGCACCTTGAGTGTGGCTTAGCAATAAATGATTAATTTAATCTCTATTTAAGACATCAATAAGTTTCATTGTCTCTCTGTACAACTACAAAAACAGTTTTCAAGGATACAGAGATACAATATTCTTGCAATTCTCACATCGATATAGATATTGCTTGAACATATCTAGAAATGCATATTGGTGTATCAGTGTATTGGCAACAAGATTAACATATATTTAATTTATGTAATACTGGTAGGCCTACCGGTATGTGTGTAGGGAGTGAGTAAAATTTTAACTGAAGAGTTTTTTTTCTACTTAATCTTGTTCAAATTTCAGCTGGCCTGGAAGCTCTGATGTTCATGTTAATGGAGGCTACACTGCTGGACCTCAGATTTTCGTCCCATCCAAATGACTGTATATATATGAGACATACTTTGCTATTCATCAGCGGGGGGTTGGATGGTCGAATGGTTAGTGTGTGCGCGCTGTATCCTCAGGTCTGTCATTGAGTCAACTGGCGTGGTTTCGATTTCCCGGTTGTACATTTACGTGACAAGGAGTTGGGTCGCCTGTCCAACCTCATGGGTTTTCACTGGGTCCTCCCACTGCTAAAGACCCTTATGCACAAGCGACTTATTGAAATAAAATTGAATCATATATATTCCAGAATATTTTGCAGAAAAAATAACAAACCTATCCAAATTTCACCCTAATGGCAGTTAATTGCAGACTTACATGTATTACCCCTGTTGTCTCAACTTCGACCACAGACAGGTCAGACTATACATAAATAAGCAGCTTGAACAACTTTCTAGCAGACTATCTCAGACAGTCATGCCTTAGAAAATATGGCTGCTGATTCTTTGCTTGATTTAGAGATTGCCTATAGTTAAAGGTTATCACTGCTGCTTCTTAATAATGATACAGGATGAATTTGTTTTAATTCATATTTTTCCTATGGTTTAAATTATTGCTGTTTATTTTCTTTCAGATAATGGATAATATACAATGTAATATTAATTAAGACATCTAATTACAAAAGTGGAGAAGAAAATGAGTGATTCTGCAGATGAGGATCTAAATGCTCCACCATTGAAGAAAGCTAGATATGAATGGCAGGTCAAAGGCTCAAGAGGTCATCATAAAAGAACTTCTGAAAAATCTCATGAAAATGGTAAATCAAGTCCAAATAATGAAAGTGATTTGACTTTAGATTCAGTACCAAAAGAAAACCAAGATTTGTCAAATGGACATGGGGTATTATTAAGAGAAGACGAATGCACACCTGAACCTTTGCCAATATCGAACACTATTGAAAACACAGAATTAATACTTGATACTGTCACCAAATTTGTTAATGGCCAGACAAAAAAAATTGTTCAAGATAAATTAAATCTACAAAATTTGATTAAGGATAAATATAGTGATGATAGTGATAACTGCCAACCACATACACAAACATATGCACCGTGTGATGCACAGAATGTGGGAGAAATTTCCACAGATACGGATCTAATTCCTAGTGAGAATGGTTATCAATTAAATCGTAATGTTTCAGAAACAAACAGTGAAGCCTCTAACATCAATAATAACCTAACGACAACAAATGCCAACCGACCCCCACAAAGTCTAGACTACATAACAAGATGGCAGAGTCAGCAAAAAGCAAAAGCCATCGTAGATAATGCAATTAATATGACTTTAGAGGAAATGGGTTTAACTCCAAATCTAGATCAAAATTTACCCATCCTAGAACGGTTGCACGTAGAGGATGAAAGTATTAGTGAAGCTATACGTCATAGAGGACTTTATCCACAAGATAATGAGGGAGACTCACTACAAGGAACAATAACTCCTTTATTACAACAACTGACTCAAGTTTCAGACACAGTATTTGCTGACAGGCTCAATAGCATGAGGTTGTTTATTACAATAAGACAGACAAATAGAAATTCGGATGACGATACTGATACACCATTAGAATGGACTGATGAACTAGCTATCCCCACTCTTCAGGCCAGATCAGAAAGTAGTATTAATGCAACTACTCCTAGTGATAATTCCACAAATATGCCCAACCCCAATCAGTCATTTCAGTTGTCTTTGAACTCCAATCAAACTGTGGCTAATTCAAACGATTCTACACTCAATCAAAGTGATAGTAATAATGAAACATATGATGCTCATTCCTATGAGGAATCAAGTGATCCTTTAAGTGTTCAGTCAGAAGACAACAGTACTGACTTCGTTAATGTAGATAATGTTGTTAATAGTACTGCAGCTGATAATACTTCATCTCAACAATCAGTAGAAGATAAAACAAGAGATACTGATGAGTTGGGGATGGATGATAGTGATGTAATGAATTTTGCTGTAAATGCTGCTATAAGTGCTAAAGGTCTAGCATTAAAAAATGAGTAAAATTTTGAGTACGCCTACTAATTCAGATTTATAATTTTTTCTTCAGGATTTTGTTCATATTTTTAGGTGGAGAAGTAATGATTGTCATATCTTAAAGGTTGTAGCTGTAACTCAAATAATTCAATATTGGTCCATTTCAATCAATATTGATGTTGTTATCTTACCATATTATGGACTAATATCCAATAATTAAGACACAATGAACATTTTAAAATCAGTTCCTGATGTCGGGTTCTCTATGGTCTTGAGCGCCATTTGTAATGAAAGGACTTGATCAAAGCAAAACCTTTACTTGCTATACCACAGGTCAATGTGGAAGTAATTACAAAAGCGAGAAAGAAAACAAATGCCATAATTATGCAGTTTAATTAATTTGAATTTCTTGCCATCTTTCTGTTAACTACTATAAGTTATTGAATAACTTTACGTGTATATTGCTTAACATAACAACAATATTTGATTTGTTAAGCAATTTGAATATTGTATATACGTGGTCCTTTGGGACTATGTGTAATACTTAGTATAGGCTTCATGTTGTGTGTTTATTCCATGCCTGGTGCAGCATTATAGAATATTTGTATATTATCTATACCATACATGTATGTGAGAGATTGTTTTATTCATACAGTAATAATTACTATACATAAATACTAAAGAGTTTTTGTGCTCACCTATGAATTTTTGTACTTCACATATGTCCTTGTTTATTTGGCTTATTTTGTCATTTCTTTCTTTTGTACATGTACAATGTATGGCATGGTGTGGATTTCAATTTATTCTTAAAACAGGGGTGCCAAAGCAATTTGGAGCAGTCCTTAGGAGTATCTTTGAATATAATATAAGAAGGGGCTAAAAAGAAGTGCTTCTAAAGTTATAATTTTTCTTTTCCTTTTTGTCTTTCTACAAATTGGCTTTTTCAGAATAAATTTCTTTTTCATAGACAAAAGGGCTGGTGCCCCCTTGCTTCCGGCACCACTGTTCATAACATCATATAAAAAATTTCACTTCCAAAGGAGCACTTAAATTTTAGTTCAAGGATTAAAATACTCTGAACAAATGATATATATTCTGATATATATGAAGGTAAATCAAATTTGTATATAAGAAAGGGTTTCAGGTGGTAGATATTTATATTCTTATTTAATTAAATAAATTTAAGCAAAATCTTAATGCACATTGTACCCTTAATTTTGGGAAGATTGAGACTAGAGCCAGATCCGCTTGAATGTGGTTGTTTTATGATAAATTTTTATGCTACCCAGTCATAGACATGTATTTATTTATATTTAAAACAATACAAACAGTGTAAATTGTCGCTTTTATTGCAGTTAATAGAAAAAGACATGGGCAAAACCATTTTCCATAATATACTAATACCTGTATGTTGTATTTTTCTCTTTTCTTTATGTAACATATTAAATGTATGAATTTTAATACAATTTCCAATGTATATACAGTAAATTGCTTCTTGATTAAGTACATGTTGTAATATAAAAAGTTTACAGTACCATGCTGTAGAGAGAAAATCCATATACTACTACTTTTACCAAGAAAATAAACAGGGATAACAAAATATACTGTATGTGTATGTATTATTTTAAAAGATAGGTTGCCAGGCAACGAAACATACACCCACAGCGGCTAAATCGTCTGAGCGTCGACAAGGGTTGCTGCATATTTATTCTTTTGTAGGTAATTGGGGCATTTACAAGACAATATCATACAGATCAGATTATAATTTTTGTCGTTTGAGGGTTCACAAGGTTCTACAAACTGAAACAAGGGCCTTAACTTTGGAAGTAATTTACAGAAAATTTTGAAATTTGACAGGCTTTTTCGTTTGACTAATTTAAATAATGCATATAAATTTCATACAGATCGTACGATAACTTTTGTCATTCGAACGTTCACAAAGCAAAACAAGACCCATAACTCTAGAAATAATTGACGGAAATTGTGAAATTCAATAGACCTCCGTTTCACAAATTTAAATGATGCATATAAATTTCATACATATAAGATGGTAACTTTCATCAATTGAGCAATAACAAGGTTGAAGAAAGTCAAACAAGGGCCATAACTCTAGAAGTAATTATTGTAAATTGCTGAAATTCAATAGGCTTTGTGATTTCACTAATCTAAATGATGCAAAATATATATAAATTCCATACAGATTAGATGATAACTTTTGGCATTAGAGTGTTCACAAGGTTCAACAAAGTGAAACTAGGGCCATAACTCTAGACATAATAAACGAAATTGCTGAAATTCAATAGGATTCTTCTTTTTACTAATTTAAATTTCATACAGATCGGCAGAAAACTTTAGATGTTAGAGCATTCACAAGGTGCAACAAAGTGAAACAAGGGCCATAACTCTAGAAGTAATAAACGGAAATTGCTGAAATTCAATAGGATTCTTCTTTTTACTAATTTCAATGACACATATAAATTTCATACAGATCAGCAGATAACTTTAGATGTTAGAGTGTTCACAAGCTGCAACAAAGTGAAACAAGGGCCATAACTCTAGAAGTAATTAAGGGAAATTGCTGAAATTCAATAGGCTTTTTCGTTTCTCTAATTCAAATAATGCATATAAATTTCACAAAAATCGGATAACTTTTGGCGTTAGAGCGTTCACAAGGTCCAACAAAGTGAAACAAGGGCCATAACTCTAGACGTAATAAAGAGAAATTATTGAAATTAGATAGGCTTCTTTATCTCACTAATATATCATATATCAATTTTAAAACAATCGGATCATATCTTTTGGCATAGAGCGTTCACAAGAAATTGTGGACGACGGCCGGCCGACATATTCACATCATAATTAAAATTCTGAATATGGGTCATATATACTGAAGTGCACCCCCCCCCTCCCCCAAAAAAACACATTTATAAAAAGGGTTATTATCAATTTTGTTTGAGAGATACACACTGCATGGTGGATGTGACTGCTAAAGGTGCTGACCTAAAGTTTTTAGGGCTATTGTGGGTGGTTGTTGATATTCCTGCGCTCCAGTTAACAATCATGCCAAAATCACTGCAAATGTGGTGCTTTCCATTGCATCTCAGTATATTTCTATCATCACTGTATATATAGGGTTGAAGATTCCTGTTATCTTTGCTGAAGTTTGTTGCTGAATGTCCAAAATTTGTGTCAGATGGTCCTTTGAAATCTAATCTGTCCAAAACAAAACCCCAAATGGTGGTTATTTCGAAGGTAATATAGGATAGAAGAACAGGTTTGAAATTTGATCTCACAATTCTGTGCTTCCCAATAATTCAGTTATCAAATATCAAATCAAGTGTTCACTGCGCTGTACAGTCCTGGGCCTTTAATAAGGTGCTGGCTCACTAACCAGGAGGTAATGGATTCGATCTCTGAATTGGCTGGAAATGTTTCCAGGGATTTTTCCAGTCTGATTTCTGCTGTCTGGTCAAAATTTTCCTCATAAGCAATGTATGGCATTATTCCCTGAACTGTAGGACGTTAAATCCCATTTCATTTCAGCAAAGGGATCTAATAAAAGTTATGAGGAAACATCATTGTAATGCTGTTAACCACATTGATTATTTTATTGTGTGAATGCTCTGTACTTTCTTTGCTTACATAACATAAAAGAACAATAATTTTTTGTTCTGCAGTAAAACTGAGTAAAGTGATATCCCCAAATTTGATCATTTTGCTTTAAATTCAAGGCATTGATTATTACTGAAATCTAACAAAATCCTTTGGTTGGAATAGGTTTTTATCTATTTTGTATAAAATATAAATGAATAAATTCTTGAGATCAACAGAATATTGAATTCAATTTGGCTGTTTTACACTCAGAATCATGGAAATGCACTAATAATATATTGTCTTTTGGCAGTGAAAGCATATGTTCATGGTTCTATATCTGGTATAATGCAGAGCTCTCTTGGTAGTTGAGGTTTGACTTCTTTATAAAGTCTGAAAGATTAAACATGAATCAATTAGGTTAAAATGCTATCTTTTTTTTGTTTTTGTTTCTGACTTTATCACTATATAAGATCTAATATATTAACACAGATCGGTGGACAATTTTTTGCTTGGTTTGGGGGTGGGTGGGTGCTGAATGGTTAATGTGTGTGCATTTGATCATATGGTTTGTCATTGAGTCAAGTGCCAGGGTTTCGATTCCCTGGTTATACGTGACAAGGGGTAGGGTTGTCTGTCCAACCTCGTGGGTTTTCTCTGACTGCTAAAGACCCCTATTGAAATAAAACTGAATCACATGTTAGTCCCAAAATGACCTAGTTTGTGTCAAGTGGACTGCAAATCCAATTTCCCTCTCTCTCTGCCTGATTTGAAAGGCACAGTTTTTGCAACCATATTGTCATGTGAAAAGGAAATATGCAATGGTCAATTTGTGCTACAACTGGTTGCCAGGCAACACAACCACCCATCAGCAGTTAAATTGTCCAAACAATTTCAAATATATTGTATCTAGGTTATTTCATATCTTACCATGTTCACCAATGGCCCACGACGTTGTTTCAAGACATAGTTCAAGATGAAGACGAAAATTATTTAAAGTAGGTGTAGCCGTCAGGAAATAAATATAGGTATGTTAAGTATAGTTTGTTTTTGATTTTATCATATCTGGTACTGACAAATTCCAGTGACAGAATTACATCATATTTAGCCTTGCAAGGCCATATTTAGTCTACCTTTTCTAGAAACATATTAAAATATTATTTGTCACAATGGTTGTCATTATTAAAGAGATATTTTCTATAACCTGTACATTTCGGGTTTTGCATACTGTCTTCATTATACTAATAAAGTATTTAATTTCCACAATAAATAGAATATAAACATTTCCAGGACAGCAAGTATTCCAACTTTAAACATCTAGTAGCCCAAAGCAATGTTATCTTTATTTAAAATATGAAATCACAACTTTTGGAGTGCTTTTACTACCTGTTTGCTGACCACCCAATATATATGTATTTTTAATTAACCCTTGGGAACTATAATTGTCCATAGTGGAATATCAGTCCAAAAACAGTTCAATAATTCCATTCAGCATTTACTGATGAATTGATAAAATGAAATATTTCACAACATTCGGCAACCTCTGCAGATGATATAAATAAAACAGTGCCACCTATAAGTGTTGGGTAAAACATTTTGATAGGCCTCTTTTCAATCTAAATGAATCTAAGCTAAAATGATTTACTTCATTTAAATTCTGAACTTGATTAAAAATAGAGTAAATCGACACTATTAAACCCTTTTGACTTTCTATATCAATCAATGGCGTTGCACCTTATCATCCAATAGAATTGAAAAGAGGAGATATTATTGTGGTTCTTGAAGACAATCCAGTGTAGATTTCATAAGCAGTCTAGGTCGGTCACTCTGTGTCAATCATTCTCAGATAATGGGGCATGTTAAATATGGATTTACTGTTTGTATTATTTCTAATTTATTGTTTCTGACCAGGTATAATCTACAATATCTGTAAAATAATTGTTTTCTAGAAAAACAGACGCAATTCAGCTTTACAAGTATGACATAAACAGCCAATTTGTTCTGCAAATGAAAATATTACAGGGAATGAATATATCAGAAATTGGTGAAATATTTTCTTATAACAAGCTATATGTTTAGACTTTGTGTAAATTACTTTCCTGAGGTTACATCAACTTTTAAAGTATTCTGAATTTATTATGTTAATAAATTCCTGTCACAATATCACACTGCAACCAACTTGAGAAAATCATCTTCACTAATTGGTTGTGTAACATCCGATCTTCATATGAAAAATAAAAATATAATGGTAAACATAGGTTGTCTGACCCACCAAATAATAATATTCTCACAAATAACAAAGGTTGTCCATGTCATGCATAAACCATTTCAAAATTCCAGCCAGGTTGCCAGGCAGCAAAACATATTCCCACATCAGCTAAGTCGTCTGTGCCGATCATAAACGTTGTCCCATGATGAATCTTTATTTAAATAAAAAGCAAAATCTTTATAATGTATAATATCATTGGCACATAGACAAAATTATATGATATAATCAAGGGCAATAACCCTACAAGTATTTATCAGAAATTGTTGCCATAATCAAAACAAAGGAATAAATTTGAAGTAAATCAGCTTGTGACTTTCACTTTCTACAAAGTAAGCAAGGACCATAACTCGTTGAGAGTGTTTACAAAATTCTACAAAGAGAAACAAGGGGCCTACCAATTTGAATAATGCATATGAAATTTGTATTCAACCACATTAAAATCTCGTCATTATTTGCACAATTTCTTGGGAGCACATACAACCTTCTACCACCCAATCTTTTTATAAATTCATTATGTTGAGACAAAAAATCAAATACATGTAAATTACATACCCAGAGCTGAAATTACCAGATGATTGACAGAAAGGAAAAACAAACAATGATGGGTTATTGTCTACATACATATTTTGTAAACTTGACATCTGTAACAATGCTGTAGTAATATAAAAAAAGAGTACTGTGTATATTCTATTTCCATTATTCATAACTTCCAAAGATGCAATAACTCTAGCCCCGACTATAAGCCTACCAGCAGCAAAGTTATCTGTGCTAGATTCTAATATTTTGTCAGCAATCAAGAGTAAGTTTCAAAAAAGTTTCGAAATTATAAATGCAATCTGATTTAAAAAAAAAATCCTATTTCGTTTCGTTCTTTTATAGTTCAAAATTTCCATTTAATTGTCTGTACTACACTAGGATCTGGAAGAGTTGTTATATGACCTGCGTTCTGGATGGTGTGAGGGCTTAAACAATAAAACCATTTGTTACGGTGACTTCTTGGCGTGCGATACACAGAACTGTGGGTAAACCACTAGAAACGTCAATGCTGATTGATTAATCAATGTCTGACGTCATAGGGTCAAAAGCCGCTTGTACGACCTCCGACGCAATCTTCCACAACAACTGGTCAGATCTTCATGTAGTGTAGGCCATCAAAAGTATAAAAAAAACAAAACGAAATATAGATTTGTACTTTAATCAGACTGTTAACAAGCGGTTGCCATGCATGATGCGCCCGCATTTTGCAGGAGATGGATAGAGAACGAGCTAAAAGAAAATGTGTGAATATAGAAATCAACTGAGATCTTTGGGATATAAACATATTTTAAGTTTCATCTAAATCGGACAAAATCCATGAAGTTATGGTCCGATATACATGCCAATATCAGCAAAGGGGCGGTAACTCCGGAATGGAAAGTCATAGAACACTGAATATGATAGGGTTCGTCCTCTCATGACCTTATTGCATCACACCATATTTGAAAAGAGTCTGTCGAAAACTACAATCTCTATCAAATTCACAAGGTTTTCGGCAGAGGGGGGATAACTGTAGAATGCTGATAATCGATAGGGTTTATCTTCTCATGACCACAATGCTTCACACCAAATTTGAAAAGAATCTGTCAAAAAACTATAGCCTCTATCGTGTTCACAAGGTTTTCAGAAAAGAGGGCATAACTCTGGTATGAAAGGTTGTGGAACTTGAATAACATTAGGGTTCGTCCTCCTACGAGAAAGATGCTTCACACCAAATTTGAAAAGAATCTGTCAAAAACTGTAGCCTTTATCATGTTCACAAGCCAATCTGTTAAAAAAAGTAGTATTTATCACGTTCACATGGTTTCTGACAAAGGGAGGATAACCCAGGAACGGAAAGTCCTTGAAAGCTGAAAATCGTTAGGGTTCATTGTCTCATGACCCCAATGCTTACAACAAATGTAGTCTCTATCACGTTCACAAAGTTTTCGGCAATGGGGTGATAACTCAAGAACAGAAAGTCGTAGAACGTTGAATATCAATAGGGTTTGTCCTCTCATGACCTCAACACTTCACACCAATTTTGAAAAGAATCCGTCACAAACCACAGCCTCAATCACGTTCTCAAGGTTTTTAGCAAAGAGGGGTAATACCGGAACGAAAAGTCATATCATGACCACAAATCTTCTCACCGAATTTGAAAAGAATCCGTCAAAAACTATAGCCTCTATCACGTTCACAAGCCAATTGTAGACAGAGGGTGACGACATAATACGCCAATAATGAAATGTGGGCGTATCAAAATACAATTGTACATAAGCTTTAATGCTAAAAACATGAACAGAACATAATTTTAACAACAAGCTAACAGTGAGGCTGATGTCCCCTTGCCGAAATCCCAAAATAAATAGATGACACATATTAATTAATTGCCCGTTTATCAGCCGTTTACATCACTCTCTATCAGATAGAATCAAAGTCAAAGAAATTGCTTAGCTCTGCTTAGCTTTAGTGAACATTGACTTAATAAACATCAAGCTTAAACATTCTACCTCAAATAAAAGCAGAGTTGTTAATATGTTCCAAAGTCTTGACCAAATTGCTTAATGCTCCTTAGTCTAAACAGAAAATTCTCATCAAACTAAGTCAAAGTAATGCTATAATGAATCTATACTCGGAGTTTCATAGCCCTCAATTAATTATAACCAAAGTTATCATGCCCAACAGCATCAACCAATCAAATTGCTTATCTCTGCTTACAATATGCAGACAAAGTTCATCATCGAACTCCATCAAGGCATTCACCTAATGGACGCATACACCAAGTTTGAACATTTTATGTCAATTAGAAGGAGAGTTATTATGTTTCAAAGTCTCGACAAATCAAATTGCTTATCGCATGCGCTAACCATTCAGCCATCGAATCCCCGCCCCAATATTGATATAGTAATTTTGGACCGATAACACTGGTAATGACAACATATATGTAGATGCAAATTAAATTTCATAGATAATAACGGGCTTTGAACTTACCTAGGGGAAGAGATAACAATTTATTTCCACTTATAGATAAGGTTTTTAGTCTTTCTAATTTAACTATTTGTTTTGGTATAAATTTTAACTTATTATGGTCTAAACACAGTGTCTGTAACTTTGCGCATTGACATAACTGTAAGGGAAAAACATGTAGATTGTTACTGACAGCCTCAAATGTATTCAGGGAAACCAATTCCCCCATCTCTAAAAGAAAAGAATCAAAACAAATTGCACATGACATATACGTAAAGCATAGAATTACCAGGCAATGAAACTTACACTCAACAACAGCTTTGTCAAGGAAGGCAAAAAGACTTATATGTGGTTTTGTGATTTAAAGACGAGAGAACCCTAGTCGAAACGTTGCTAAAGTAAACTTCTAAAGTAACTTGTATTCCCTATAATTGTTTCGTGCAAGATACACCAACATTTTGCAAGAGATGGACAGAAAACAAGCTAAAAAGGCGATTTTTTTCACAATCAGGGGACATAATCCAGGAAGTTATGATCCAATATGCGCGAATATCAAAAGGAATCAGAATCTCTGGGATAAACATATATTTTAAGTTTTCTCAAAATCATATAAAAATTCTGACCTCTAGAGGGTTCACATCATTGGCATACATACTTTTACACTATTTGCGTACAAGGAACAGCCATTTTGTTGGGCAGTTTCGGTCTGATTTTCACGAAATTCGAACTCAACCATCATTAGGCTGTAACACTGATATATTTAAATGTTTTTTTTTAAAATCGGATAAAAACTCTGTCCTATAGAGGATCCACGAGCTAAAAACTGGATTGTTTGTACAATCAGGAGCCATAATCCAGGAAGTTACAATCCGATATCGAAAGGAACAGTGATCTTTAGGATATAAACATATATTTTAAGTTGCATCCAAATCGGACAAAAAATGTGACCCCTAGCGGGTCCACATCCTTGGTGTTACATACTTTTACACTGCAGTTTGCATTCAAGAAGCGGCCATTTTGTCGGGTGGTTTCGGTCCAATTTTTACGAAATTCAAACTCAATTATCATCCATAAAAATTGTGACCTCTAGAGGGACCACAACCTTCATATTACATACTTTTACACAATTTGAGTACAAAGAGCGGCCATTTTGTTAGGCAGTTTCATTACAATTTTCCCGAAATTCGAATTCAACCTTCATTATAGTGGAATCGGGATATATTTAAAGGATTTTTTAAAATCTGAAAAAAAATTGTGACGTCTAAAGAATCTGCAAGCTACAAATGCGATTTTTCAAACAATCAGGGGCCAAAATCCAGGATAAAATCGGATAAAAATTGTGACCTCTAAATTTTGTACAAGCAAGGACCATACTTCAGGAAGTTACCAAGATCTGTGGGTTATAAACACGTATTTCAAGTTTCATCAAAATCGGATCAAAATTGTGACCTCTAGAGGATCAACAACCATGATATACCAGCAGATCTTTACACTATTTGTGTACGAAGGGCGGCCATTTTGTCCGACAGTTTTGGTCCAATTTTCACGAAATTTAAACTCAACCAACCTTACGGTGTAACGGTGATATATTCAAACGTTTTTGTAAATCAGATAATAATTGTGACCTCTAGAGGGACCACAAGCTTTAAACACGATTTTTCATACAATCAAGGGCCATAATTCAGGAAGTTAGGTCCCGATATGCGCCAATATCGAAAGCAACCAACATCTTTGGGTTATAAACATGCATTTCAAGTTTCATCAAAATCGGATTAAAATTGTGACCGCTAGAAGGTCCACAACCTTCATATACCATATTTTTACACTATTAGCATACGAGCGGCGGCCATTTTGTCTGGCAGTTTTGGTCCGATTTACACGAAATTCGAACTCAACCATCCTTACGGCTTAACAGTGATATATTCAAACGTTTTTTTAAATCGGATAATAATTGTGACCTCTAGAGGGACCACAAGCTGAAAACGCGATTTTTCGTACAATCAGGGGCCATAATTCTGGAAGTTATGATCCGATAAGTGCAAATATCGAAAGGAACCAAGATCTTTGGGTTATAAACATGCATTCCAAGTTTCATCAAAATCCACAAGATAAAAATGTGATTTTTCGTACAATTAGGGGCCATAATCCACACATGCCAATATCGAAAGGAACTGAGATCTTTTGGAGATAAACCTGTATTTGAAGTTTCGTCAAAATCGGATAAGAATTGAAACCTGTAGAGTGCCCACAAATAAATTGTGGATGGACAAAGGGACTGGGGCTACGACAATATACGTCCAGGAACTTATGGTCCAATATGCGCGAATATCAAAAGGAACCGAAATCTTCCAGACATAAACAGATGTTTTAAGTTTCATCAAAATCGGATCAAAATTGTGTCTACAACCTTGATATTACATATTTTAACACTATTTGCAATTTTGCATACATAGAGCAGCCATTTTGTCAGGCAGTTTCGGTCCGATTTTTAATGATAATCGAATTCAATCCTCATTATAGTGTATTGGTGATATATTTGAACGGTTTTTTTTAATCGGATACTAATTGTGACCTCTAGGGGGACCACAAGTTAAAAACACGATTTTTTTTTACAATAAGGGACCATAATCCAGGAAGTTGCGGTCTGATATGTGAGAATATCGAAAGGAACCGAGATCTTTGGGTTATAAACAAACAATTCAAGTTTCATCTAAATCGGATAAAAATAGTGACCTCTAGAGTGTCCACAAACAATCAAGGGCCATAATCCATGAAGTTTCAATCAGATACATGCCAATATTAAAAGGAACCAAGATTTTTTGGTGATAAACCTATATTTTAAGTTTTGTCAAAATGGGATAAGAATTGTGACCTGTAGAGTGTCAACAAACACATTGTGGACAGACGGGGGTGACGACATGAAAATGTAGGCGTATAAAAACTCTGGGTTGGGTGAATCTGGAATCATTATAGACCTCCTACCTATAGTATAACATACAAAAAATGCTCAATGATTTTTCCCAGTTACTGCCCTTGTTTAATTAATAAGCTATAAATTTCTCCTACCCATTGGTAGATGTTAGTCAATACCTTCATGCATACATAAGAGAATGTTTTTCTCAATGATAAAACATTATATAAACAGTTAAATGAAATATATATTACCTTTAGGCAGTATACGTAGTTTGTTGACAGAAACTACAAGTTTTTGAAGTTTATTTAGTTGACCTATAGTTTTTGGTAAATAATCAATGTAATTTGAACTGATATCCAGAAACTTCAAGTTTTTCATACCACCTATCTCTGCAAAAATAAAACATTTGATGAAAATAATGTAAAACATAGATGGGGCTTAGTCAGGCCCTCTATATGTCCACTAGGGTGTTTCACTTTTCACTTTTTTGTGGAGGTTATTTTCATATAAGTCCACTTATACTATAATATTTTCAGAATTTTCTTGCCAAAAATGGTTCTAAAATTGCAGCAATTTTCTGGATTTTTTGACATTTTGAGCTTGACAGATCACTCAGAAAGGTCAGGTATGGCTTGTAATGAGAGAGAGAGAGAAATGGGGTTTAACGTCCACTCGACACAAACTAGGTCATTTCGGGACTAACATATGGTTTAATTTTATTTCAATAATTCGCTTGCGCATAGGGGTCTTTAGCAGTGGGAGGAAACCGGAGGACCCGGAGAAAACCCACGAGGTTGGACAGGCGCCCCTACTCCTTGTCACGTACAACCGGGGATTCGAAACCACGCCAGTCGACTCAATGACAGACTTTATGATACAGGGCGCGCACGCTAACCATTCAGCCATCCAACCCCCCTGGCTTGTAATGTGTCTAGTCCATCCATTCCCACCATCTTAAATGAAATTGTCAGAATCCAAGATGGCGGAAATCCAAGATGGCATCCAAATCATATACTTTCTGACATGGAAAAGCACTTTTCAAAGATTATACATTTTTGCACTCATAAAATTCATTATCAGGGCCAAAATGATGTTCAGAATGACACTGATCTACATTTGGTTGAAAATGGCAGAAGGTAATGACTGAAAGTGAAGCTTCGTTGGAGTATATTCACCACACTATTAGTCTTGCAGAACTATGGCTGAACCTGGAAATTGTCTACAATTTTTTTTTTTATGATTGATTTTAGTAGCCTAGGGTGCCCTCTTTCAGGATCTACCGGTGAACCTTGGTCACCCTTGAGTGTTTTGAGAAATTCAAGATGGCGTCCATGACGGCCAGCATTTCAAATGATCCCCTATAACTCCTGTAGTATTTAGTCTAGGATGATACTTTTGGTGCCTAACCATATATTTGTGGGGCCAATGAAAACACTGAGATTATTCATTAGGTTGTGGGGTGATTAGATGATAGTAAAATCCAAAATGCCTGACAATATGACGCTAGAACTCGTTAGCGGCAGTTGGGGGCGATTATTTCACAAAACCAAATTATCTCTAGAGACAAACTATATATTTCTGGACATAGGAGCATATGAGTTATACAATAACACTACACACTTGCCTATCGGGAGCTCCAGGGTCACATGTATGGCCCTGAAATAGGAGGCACAAGCTGGGTTTTTTTAATATTTGAAAAAAACAAATTCTATCCGCAAAACATGAAAATAACCTCCACAAAACTAGGTAATATTCAGTTTAATCCTCTAGTCGTATTTCTTGCTGCAACCTGTGAAAGCACAATTGCAAAATACTGTATAATCTAAGCCATCACTAGTGCAGCTACAAGCAGAGGCGTAGCCGTGAAATATATAACCCTAACTCTATTTTAAAACACCTAAAAAATATAACCAAACACCATGTGGCCATGCTGTCTACACAACTCGTTTGCTGATTGGCCCACCGCGTGCAAAGTATTATGGTTACGTGGCTGGCTGATCCGGCGATAAATATTTGGTTTAGGCGATAATGTTTTTGGGTACCTACATGCAATTCACTCTGATAAGTGGCAGAAAAAAATTAACTAGACACAATTTTATGGAACACAGTTACTTTTCACTTCACACATGTTTCAAGGATGATTCTCTCTGTGTTTTATTTTAGCAATGTAAACCATATTGGGATATGTACAGGTTTTATACCAATCTGTTTCACGGAGATTTTTTTAATATCTCTGTTACAGATGACTGTTTCGACACGCGACGTCACATCACGCGGCGCCCATCATTGGCTCAATAGCGCGTGCATTGTTTACATAAGACGTCAAGGATTCGGGCTAAATGGTGAATTTTACTTATTTTAATACCCATTTACACTAAATAGGAAATGATTTTTACCTACAAACAATTCAAACGATTTTATTTATTTTTCTTTTAAAGGAAAAAATGTTTCAGAATTTAATTTGTCGAAAGAAAAAAGTTAATATTTTGTAGTCATTAAGTCGCATCGATGTCATCCTTATCAGTGATTGTAGCGGCCAAGCGAATATTCACTGCGGATCAGTGTGGTTTTATACAGATAGAATCTTAACTAACCCTAATAATTGTTGTAAATAAATAGGAGTTAAGGTCTACTATGTAAATTTTTTGGGAGGGTCCAAGATTATTTAGACCCCCCCAGAAAAAAAATTGGGGGGGGGGGGGTCCGACCCTCCCATGTGTGACGCCCATGGCTACAAGCTCGCGTACTATAAGCTGTCACTCTTGCATCCACATCTGATGAGCCACATGATAAACTCTGGTTGTAATGTTCTCTTAACCCAGCAATATAGTTCTGGACCAAGTTCCGGCGGATTACGATCTTCCAGTCAGCGTCACACAATAGCTTGGTGATGACATCTTTTTACCTTCCCTACAAGACTACATGGAGCAAGACTACATGCCGTTTGACATTGGTTCAACAACTGAGAAACACATGTCCAGTACCATTGAAATCCTGCCAGCTCATGCTCTTACTGGATGTGACACAGTTACATGCTGATCCTCGTGGGAAAGAAACAGCTTTCAAAATGGCGATAGCTTGATTGTATTCTCTCTCACTCATGAGAGTAAAAGACGCTCCAATAGAATCAATGCTTACACAGGTCAATGTGTATATATCAGCTGTTTATGGATATCCCAAACTGGAAATGTATCAGTATCATCCGTACTCAAACCATGTAGTGGGGAAAGAAACAGCTTTGAAAGTGGCAAGAGCTTGATTGCATTCTCTCTCACTCGTCAGAGTAAAAGACACTCCAATAGAATCAATGCTTACACAGGTCACTGTGTATATATCGGCTGTTTATGGATATCCCAAACTGGAAATGTATCGTCATCATCCCTACACAAACCATGTAGTCTTGCTCAACGAATAATGCATTTGCAGGGAACGTAAAATGAACTCATCACCATGCTATTGTGTGGCGTTCACTGGAAGATCGTAATCCGCCGGGAACTTGAACCGGAACTGTGTTGCTGGGTGAAGGCTACTAAATTGAGACCATTACAACCGGCCAACTTGCTCCAGAGTCTGTCATGTGGCCCTGGAGCTCCTGATAGGCATGTATGTGGTGTTATCGTAGCACTCATATGCTCCTATGTCCAGAAATATATAGTTTTTCTCTAGATATAATTTTGTTTGGTGAAACAATCGCCCCCAACCACCACTAACGAGTTACAGGGCCATAATGTCTGGCATTTTGTATTCTACTATCATCTAATCACCCAACAACATAATGAACAATTTTAGTGTATTTCTTGACCCCAAAAAACATACGGTTAGACACCAAAATTATCATCCTAGACTAAATACTATGTGAGTCATGGGGATTACTTGAAATGCCGGCTGTCTTGGATGCCATCTTGAATTTCTCAAAACGCTCAAAGGTGACTGAGGTTTATCCGACAGATTCTGAAAGAAGACACCCTAGGCTACAAAAATCAATCATAAAAAACAAACTTTCTATACAATTTCCAGGTTCGGCCATAGTTCTGCCAGACTAATAGTGTAGTGAATATATTCCATCGTGGCTTCACCTTCAGTCATTACCTTCTGCCATTTTCAACCAAAGGTAGATCAGTGTCATGCTGAACATCATTTTGGCCCTGATAATGAGTTTTATGAGTGCAAAATTGTATAGTCTTTGAAAAATGCTTTTCCATGTCACGAAAATAGACTGTTTTGGGTGCCGTCTTGGATTTCCGCCATCTTGGATTCTGACAATCTCATTTAAGATGGTGGGAATGGACTCTACATCCCTGAAAAGTATATAATAGACATATTACAAGACATATCTGACCTTTCTAAGTTATCTGTCAAGCTCAAAACGTTTGATGTAAGTTTGACCCCAAGTGGACTTCGGTGACAGGTTAGAAATTACGAAAAAGGTGAAACGTGAAACACCCTAATGCCCACCAGCAGCAAAACTGTACATTCTACATCTAAAATCAATATTAACAGCTACATATATAAAAAATCTTTCAAACACTCACTTGCATGGGCAAGGTTAGTTACTAAAGTAACTAGGGCAAGGTTAGGTTTTAATTTTGTTGAAAAAAAAAATAGTAGATATTTTCTGAAATCACAACATTGGATATTTTGCATTGTCAATGCTGTATTCGCATAATGTTTGTTTTATTGGGTAGTACCAGTAGACTAGAATGCCTGTTAGTATATGAAATATTTTTGTATTCTAAACAAAAGAAATACTCACCTGGTGGTAATTCTTGTAGTTCATTGCCAGAAACACATCTGTTTAAAAAAAAAAAATTACTGGATGTGTTATAGGGCAGTTATTATGGGGACAAATAAATATAACTTTACAGTTTTAAAATCTATTAAATTGTTAATCTTTATAAATATTGCATGAAGCCTACTTAATCAATGGTTTAAAATGGAATTATGTTAGGATTGAAATCAGTACCAAAGAAAGACTAGTATCGTTATATTATTTATTAATAGCATTATTCTACCTCAGAGGCTTATTTCTATGACATTCAATTTAAAATATCTTAGGACAATTCTCTTTTATTGCTTTTAATCTACTAAAGAGTCAACCAATGCAATGAAATGGCATTATCCTTAAATATTCCATGAAATAAGCCCAAGGTTGAGACTTTTTTAAAGCATGCAATACAGATACTTACAATTCAACTAGGCAAGTTAATAAGATAATTTCTTTTGGCTAAAAATAAGTTAAAATATAGTTTTATGATGTTTTTACCAAGGCAAATAGACATCAAAAAATACCTTTTATTCAGCCCAAAGATCAGTTTTAAATTGTTAGTTTTAAAAATCTAAGAAATGTAAATATGTCAGTATTTAATAAGTATTATCTATTTTTATATATGTCAGTATTTAAATTGAATTAGTATTATTTATTTTACAATTTTGCAAAAACTGGTTTTACAAGTTTTGAGTTGGAATATATAAAAATATGGTAAATTTACCAGTGTTTTTAATTGGTTTCTTTTTAAATCTAGTTTTTCAACATGTGCATTTTTCTTACAAAAATCTGTTCCTAACTCCAATAAACCATTGGGTCTATAATTCCAATGCTGTACAACACTCTTCTGCCTTGATTCAATATCTTTAGAAACACTCATCAGAGTCATCTCTTAACAAACACATTAGATTAGTCATGACAGAAAAAAGAACAAAATACAGACAAGTTTTGGGTTGTTGTTTTTGTAAAAATCGGTAACCTTTTACAATTGGACAATGTGGACAGGTAAAAATATATTACTTAATTTTGAGTTTTCCTACAAAAAAAAACAACAACTGTTTATGGTGGGGATATAATAGGACAATATTTTCATAGCCTTATATGCAATTTTATTATTTAACATATAATAATTAGAAAACCGCTATGGATATGCCCAATTCAAGGTATCAGAAAGAGCAGTAGTCAAACAAAGACTAGGTTCTAGGTTGGGGTGTAGTGGTGTAATGTTAGCTATTCACAGTGAAACAACTAATTCGGAAATATTTTATTTATGTCAAGGGTGATGACTCCACAAGTAGCAGATAATAATCTCTTGAAAAAAAAAAAAAAAAAAAAAAAGTTTTCAGAGATCTCATAACACAAATCTTTAATAATAATAAAATTGGATGAGATAAATAAACATTACTGTTTTTACAAGTTCTTTTACATATTTTCAAATCAAGCATGAGACCTATTAATAAAAAAAAAAGAATTTACCATATTCAATTTTGTATACCGGTAATATCAATCATTCAATTTTAATATGACCTTAAAACTTATATACTCACCTAATTATCGAAAATCCAATTTGAGCAAGTCATTATTATCACACACGTCTGCTAAACTCTTTGAAAAGACTACCATGAACTATAATGTGTACAAATCATAATGATTTCTAAATTATTGATTACTGTATTTCAACAACGATTCAAATTAGTACTGAGATTTATTGTCTCAAGACAAGAGTCTGATCCACATAATAATATATTATTTGTTTCAAAATCAAAAACTTAATCTTATCAAAAGTGTGTAACTATCGAAAATACAATATCTGACATAAAGTAGTCGGTATCACAACAAATTTTGAATTTAGATGCACAATAATCAGAAACGACACAGTCACAGGTGCACTTTCAGGATTTAATTTATATCGTGAGTGATGAAATTTTACCATATAAATTAGGATCATGTGACTGGGATATCATCTAACTATGGCGAGATTAAGAACGACAAAAAAATCATACAACGTCTATCCCGATTCTTGGTGGAGTAGGAAGCTAGAACAAGTAAATGCCAATGAATGATTAATAAGTTAAGGACTTTGAAAGGTTATACAGACTTAGTACCGGTGTATCAGAGAGTATGAGTCATGAAACCAAAAACGTCCTGTTCTTGTTGAAAACTACAGTGTCTCTCCAATTGTCAAATAGATTGTTATTTGAAACTTCCAAGAGTTCAGTGTATCAGTGGAACATGTGATGCTGCTTACCAAATTGCCAATATTAAACAATTACAAACCCTACGAAAACATTATCAAAATTGTTGTCTGCTAGTGCCGGTAAATCTATATTTCATTTCGGAAATAAACACGGAGAGTAAAAGAGAAAATTGGAATTAAAACTTTTTATTGTTTTTTATTGCACTAAAGATAAAGTTATAAATATTATTGTTTTTTATTGCACTAAAGTTAAAGTTATAAATATAATAGCATATATATGCTATTAATATGTATAATATCTTCTGTATAGTGGAAAATAAGTCACTTCGTATTTCGTATAAAAACTGATTTTTGTAACATTCTGAAATTTTATATCCATGACGGCATGATGGCAGCCTATGTGCGCGTGCAGGCCACTAGATCAGTGGTGCGTGCGTCTCAATGTTTGTTACGAAAAATAAAAATAAAAACGATTGTGGTGTATATACACTTAAAAAAAGTAGGGGATATTGAAATGCAAATACCTATGCAGGTTGTGATATGAAAAACATGGACACTTGACATGCTTTGAGACTGAGAGTTCACAGATGAAGAACTTATCGCCCCAACAGAACCACTGAGCCTGCATGTGCGACATGCAATAGCGCCATACACGTGGGAGGGTTTCATTGTTGCAAATTTGACACTTCAAGGAAGGGTTCATGAAAACTGCCGCGTGCTGGTTTATCTATCCATGTTTGCTTTCCTATCGGTTCTTGCATAAGATTTACTGTTTAGCGTAGGCTGCGTAGGCCTATCTTTGCTTTTAATTTTAATGTGTTACGATTAATTTGATCGGAAGACGTGTTATTAACGTCAACCAACAACATTGCGAGAATTGGCCGTGGCACTACAAGAGGCGTGGGTCAGATTGCCCCAAATCGTGATTGGACGGCTGATTAGGAGCATGCCACGACAATTGCTGAATGTCTGAAGACAAAAATCAAAAACGTCCATTTTCACTTTTGACGGTGTATCTCTTTGCGAGTGAAATGGGGCCCGCCAGTTAATCCGCCTATGGGGCGCCGTTTGTAAATTAATCATTTAGCGTTTTATATAGCAAAAAACACTAGATTTAATTTAAATTTTATATATATAGTTAAATCTCGACTTTTGTGCAAATTTTTCACTTTTAATATTTAAACTAAAAATACAACAAAAACTCAATATTTAACATAATATATATAAATATTTCTCGATTTGTCTCTATTTTCATATTTACCATTTAGCATTGAATATTAAGACCAAAACAAGAGATTTGATGATATATAAATATTTAGCTAAATATTTAGTTAAATGTTTAAAAACATTTAGCTAAATATATATTTAGTTAAATGTTAAAATATTTAGTTAAACATTTATATATTTAGTTTTAAACATTTATATATTTAGCTAAATAATATAGGGGCCTATATTTAGCTAAACATATAATATAGTTAAATTTACAAAGCGCAACCGTACCACGCCGTTTGTAAAATAATTATTGTTGTAAGCGACTTCACACTAAACGATGACGTAGTGTACAACTTTCCACTGACTGCATAACACAGTACTATCTGGTACCTGAACGCTCAGCTTAGTTTTCACCTTGACCACCTCATTGCCTTGATCTGTGCGAACGGCACGGAGTACCGCGGCCGTGATTCGGGTTACAAGTTCGTGGTCAGCTTCCATTTCTAATTGCTAGTAGGCCTATTGTGCCAAGGCGCACGTGTCGGGTATACGTCATCATTTTATGCGCAGTTTTTTTTGTGTCGTTACGATAATAGAAATATTGGCGGCACCACAAATATAGGCCCTATTTAGTTAAATATTTATACATTTAGCTAGTTAATTAACTGTTTATATGGGAATTTTTCAAAAAATGTCAAAATTCCTGTCCCTGGAAAAGAATTGGTTGTATGGAAAATTTTTTAAAGATTTGAAACTACTTTTTTACTTTATTATAATATAAAGGGTGTAATAGATAAGTGAATAAAAATCATATTTGCTATTTATCATACTGTTTTTTGTGGAAAATCAATGAATCTGTATTCATGGTACTGCCAAAATGCAATGTCCCAATTTTTTTAGTAGACTTTTGACACAAACATAAATAGATCTAAATTTCAAATAAATCTGTATGTTTCAAGTTATTATTACTTAATTTTGTTTTTCTGTTTGCGATTCTATAGATCTAATTGTTTTCATCCAACTTTGCTTGAAAAAGTGAAAAAAAATTATGAAAATGATTGTCCCTAGAAGTAAGTTCCTTCCTGTTACCTTGTGGAAAATTCCACTCAAAATATTGAACCCTCCCTCTGAACCAAAAAGAGGCTGTGTCAAACAAAGATCGCTTCCCTCAACCTTAGCATGGTGAAGAGTGAAAGGAGAAATTAATGATTGTTTTTTCTATCCTATCAATCAAAGGTTAAATAGGTGAGTAGTACTTTTTAAGTCTATCTATCCTGTTACTGATGTTTTTAGGATTTCTTATGTAGACTCATATTTTGAATTGACATCATTGTATGTTTTGTGGGGGTAAGATTACTTTCCCATCAATTAGTTTAAAGAGTGGATTAACTATCACTCAATAATGATTGGCACAAGAGAAAAATTCCTGTCCTGTTACCTTCTCTCCTGTTACTGTATTTGGTAACAGGAAAGAATGTAGTAAAAGTATAAATCTGATGAAATGACTTTTTAAGGCTGTCCTTAAAATAATTATCAACAAAAACTAATAATTCTGGTTATCTTACTGAAATTCAAAAACGGGTAACGGGAAAGAAACAACATGTAACTGGACGGAATTGGCAGCCAAGTTTTTTCTTTAATAGCTCTACCCCCTTTCTTTCAGTGATGATGCCATTGCCAGCTGCTGAGAAGCAGCGGTGGTACCGACAGGAGAGACGCAGGCCCTAAAAGGAGGGCTAGATATTTACAGGATGAGAACGACAAATACATAAAAGACAAAGAAACAGGAAAGAAGAAAACAGGTCAAAGATATGTCAAAAAGGGAACACAGGCTAAAGAAAAAAGAATGGCGGCAGTATAAAAAAAGACTTCAAAACACGACAGAAAGCTGCTGAAAATATCCTCACTCCCCCAGGGTCTCCAATTATGCCTGTGCCTGCTCCACCATCACGTCCGAGGAAGCAGGCAGCGAGAAGTAGATCTCGAGAGTTACATCATGTGGACTTCTCCAGGACAGACATGAGACCAATAAATTGGATACCCAATCACTTTGTTCCTGTGCTTCTCATTAACAGTGATCTTGTGGATGATAGACAGAAATCTGGAGCTAATGAACAGAGAGTAATGTAAATAAAGAAGATGAACAGAGAGTAGATGAAGATGAATAGAGAGTAGATGAAGATGAACAGAAAGTAAATGAAGAAGATGAACAGAGAGTAGATGAAGATGAACCAGAGAGTAGATGGAGATGAACAGAAAGTAAATGAAGATGAACAGAGAGTAAATGAAGATGAACCAGAGAGTAGGTGAAGATGAACAGAGAGTACATGAAGATGAACAGAGAGTAGATGAAGATGATGAAGATGAACAGAGAGTAGATGAAGATGAACAGATAGTAGATTAAGAAGATGAACAGAGAGTAAAAGAAGATGAACAGAGAGTAGATGAAGATGAACAGAGAGTAGATGATGAAGATGAACAGAGAGTAGATGAAGATGATGAACAGAGAGTAGATGAAGATGAACAGAGAGTAGATGAAGATGATGAACAGAGAGTAGATAAAGATAAACAGACAGTAAATGAAGATGAACAACTTCTTTCCTGTTACTATGTTTTCTTTCATGTTACTGCAGCAAATAATTTCATTACATTACTCATGTTGTAAACAACTAAGAAAGGTTTTAGATTTCTATTTTATTTCAATACTGACTAAGATATGCCAGTGCCTATCATTTCTCATCTTTCATGTTAATATATGTTAATGGTAAACAATTCAGTAGCATTGTTCTATACTGTTACTTTTTTGTTCTTTACTGTTACCACAAAATCTATCCTGTTACTGCTCATTAAAAGCTTTATTATAATTATCATATAGGAACAATCATTGTCATAATGCATTGGAATAAATCATCAAGATACATCAAACATAAGAAGGTTATTTTTATTAAAATTTCACTTGAATGAAAGAATTAATTAAAATCAAAGCTAATTCCAACGGTAATTATATGACAATGCAGATAGTTATCCACACGAAAAAGTATTTTATTTCTTTATTGCCAAAGTAATTTTTGGATAAATGAGAAGAACTATTACAGAATATCCCAATAAAAGTGAAAAAAATTTAGAAATAAATACTTTTTTTGTTTTTTTACGCAGATGATTCGTTGGTAACAGGAAGGAATTATTTTATCCGAATGTTAAAAAATTATAGTAATTTTCATATTTGCAAATGTCGTTAAGCTTGCATATTTCTGTTTTGCAACCATATGTATATTTCTATTGTATTGAGGTATTAAAATTTGTATTTCGAGAAACTTATCTTCTTAGTTTTTGGTGCCTTGGAATTTTGACATTTTTTGAAAAAGTCCCATATATTTAACTACATGTATATATTTAGTTAAATGTTTATATATTTAGTTAAATGTTTATATATTTAGCTAAATGTTTATATATTTAGCTAAATGTTTATATTTAACTTTAGATTTTTCAGTGATTTAGTATTTAGCATTTATACCTACGAAAAAAAGCACATTTAGCTATATATTTAACTAAGCGATGTGAAATCAAGATATAACATTTAAAGTTTTTCATAGACCAAAAACTCAACTTTTAGCTACAATATTTTTTGATATTTACATATATGCCATTTTTGTTCTAATATTTATCTAAATATATATATTCGGAGTTAAATCTAATGTTTTTTGCTATAAAAAAAATTAAATAATTATTTTACAAACGGCGCCCCATAGCCGCCCATATGAAATATTTATGTTCATGTGTAGGCAATTGGCCTGTTCTTAACATTTACCTCTAATAAAAACAGCAGTATATTTCCGCAGTTTTGTATTGTTTCTGAATATCCCCTACTTTTTTTGAAGAGTATATTTTAATTTATGGCGGACTTCAAAAGAGCGTCTTCTGTGCCTATTTTACTAATTATTTCCAATATACCATGGTGGTATATATATATATATATATATATATATATGGAGAAAACGCTACCTCACTCCAGTCGTTCGGATGTTACAAAAACTTTGAACCAGCGGCTGCCAGGCAGGATACGCCCACATTTTGCAACAGATGGATAGAGAGCAAGCTAAAAACAAACGGGATTTTTTGTACAATCGGGGGCAATAATCCAGAAAGTTATGGTCTGAAATGCGCAAATATCAAAGGGGACTGAGATCTTTGGGATATAAAGATATGTTTTAAGTTTCATCAGAGTTGGATAAAAAAAAAATTGTGACAGCTCTAGAGGGTCGACAATCTTCGTACTACATAGTTTTACACAGTTTGCGAACAAATTCAACCTTCTTTATGGTGCAATGGTGAAATATTTAAACGCTTTTTAAAATCGGAAAAAAAAATTGTGACCTCTAGGAAGTTAAGTTCGGGTATCCGCGATTATTCACACATTTTTTTTTAAAAATCAGATAAAAATTGTGACCTCTAGAGAGACCTCAAGCTAAAAACGCGATTTTTTTGTACAATCAGGGGCCATAATTCAGGAAGTTACTATCCGATATGCGCGAATATCGAAAGGAAGCAAGATCTTTGGGTTTTAAACTTACATTTCAAGTTTCATCAAAATCAAAAGAAAGTTCACAACATTGATATACCATATTTTTACGCTATTTGACTACGAGGCGTGGCCATTTTGTCTGTCAGTTTTGGGCCGATTTTTTCGAAATTCTAACTCAACCACACTTAGGGTGTAACGGTGATATATTCAAACATTTTTGTTTTTTTTAAATCGGATAAGAATTATGACTGGTATAGGGTCCACAAGCTAAAAAACGTGATTTTTCGTACAATCATTACGATTCGATATGCACGAATATCGAAGGAACCGAGATCTTTGGGTTAAAAACTTACATTTCAAGTTTCATCAAAATCAGAAGAAAATTGTGACCTCTAGAGGGTCCACAACCTTTATATACTATATTTTTACGCTGAGAACGATGGGCGGCCGTTTTGTCAGTCAGTTTTGGTCCGATTTTAACGAAATTCGAACTTTTTAAATCGGATAAAAATTATAACCTCTATAGGGTCCACAAACTAAAAATGCGATTTTTCGTACAATCAGGGGCCATAATTCAGGAAGTTACGGTCCAATATGCGCGAATATTGACAGGCACTGAGATCTTTGGGTTATAAACTTACATTTCAAGTTTCAACAAAATCGGATAAAAATTGTGACCTCTAGCTATAGGGTCTACAACCTTGATATACCATATTTTTACGCTATTTGAGAACGAAATTCGAACTCAGCCACCCTTAGGGTGTAACGGTGATATACTAAAGCGTTTTTTTTTTTAAATCGGATAAAAATTATGACCTCCATAGGGTCCACAAGCTAAAAACGCGATTTTTCGTACAATCAGGGGTCATAATTCAGGAAGTTATGGTCCGATATGCGCGAATATCGAAAGGAACCGAGATCTGTGGGTTATAAACATATATTTCAAGTTTAAATCAAATCGGATAAAAATTGTGAACTCTACAGTGTTCACAGAGAGAGAGAAATGGGGTCTTTAGCAGTGGGAGGAAACCGGAGGACCTGGAGAAAACCCACGAGGTTGGACAGGCCACCCTACTCCTTGTCACGTACAACCGGGGATTCGAAACCACGCCAGTTGACTCAATGACAGGCTGTATGATACAGCATGCACGTGCTAACCATTCGGCCACCCAACGCCCAACAGTGTTCACAAGCTAAAAACGTGATTTTTCGTACAATCAAGGGCCATAATTTTCAAATTAGGCCAGGAGGTCTGACATTTTTCCCTTTATAACAGAAATTAAAGATTAACAATAAAATTTGAATATAGAAGAGAAGTATTTACAAAAGAATATTAACAAAATCACAACTGAATATAAAAAATTACAATCACAATATAATAAAGTTGTCACACACGAATCATATAATTATCAATATCATTTAATAATATGCTTAAGGTACATGTAAATAGAACAAACTAATTAATGAAAATGGCCATAATATATATGTATGTAAAACTACAAAGACTAGGTGGTTACAAATTTAAATAATCGCCTCGAAATAATATGATTTACAGTATTTTAAATAGTCAGGTAATGAATTCCATAAATCGGCACCAGTGAATCTAATACTATTTTTAACAACAGATAGATTTTGTTATTGATACTAGAGTATGGAGTATTGTAGTAGCAGAGGATGTACTCAAAGCAGTCGAGTCACCCTGATCCCAAACTGGTGAACAATAATCTAGATATGTTTGTATTGCTTTGTAGAATAGAGACCTATATTGAAGTAGTAGTAGCTGCTTGATTTTGCGAAGTTGGAAAATCTTTTGATTCCCAATTTTGATTACATATGTACATGGTCAGTCCATTGTAAACTAATTCCCAGAAGTTTGAACCTGGGAACGATTTCGATGACCAAGTCATTGATTTTAATACTAACAGGAGCGGATCCAGGATTTTCAGAAAGGGGGGGGGGGCGTGCTTCCCCCACTTGGGAGTGCGAAGCCCGGCCCTAGGTGGGCGGACTGACGGGCAATCAACTTACTGTTAATTTCCTTTTCCGTGAGAATATATGGGGTAAAAAATTGTTCTCCACCGCAAAACAAATGGGGGGGGGGGCGTGCGCCGGGTGCCCCCCCCCCCCCCCCCCCCGACAAAGTTCAAACGATGTAATTAACATGAATTTTGTTTTGGCCTTATTATCATGTTATTATGTCTACACCAATTCATTACCGTATCTGTATCAATTTGAAGATTGTTTTGAAGATCAGGGACAGTTTTTGCACTAGTATAAATGGTTGCATCATCAGCAAAAAGATCACATTTAGAATTTAAATACAGAGGTAAATCATTTATAAAAATATTAAATAATAAAGGACCCAAGACTGAACCTTGTGGTACGCCATGATCTATTGGTGGTTTACAAGACAAATTACCATTTACAAAGATCCTTTCTTGTCTATCAAGCAGGTATGAATTAAGCAACATTATAGATGCCTTGGACAGTTGATGAAGTTGCAATTTTTGTAGCAACAGTTTATGATTTACAAGGTCAAAGGCTTTCCTAAAATCAAAGAAAATAGCTCACATAGAAGATTATTTTTTAGGGAGTCATACATATTTTCAGTAATATTAGTTAAAGCAGTCAAACGGGAGCTATTAGATCTGAACGCGGACTGGTTAGAATACAAGAAATGATATTTATTAAGATATTCAGTAAGACGTGAATAGACATGTTTCTCTAATACTTTTGATAAACTTGGTTATATAGAAATTGGTCGGTAGTTGTTTGGATCATTTTTGGGTCCATTTTTGTATAAAGGTAAAACTTTAGCAGTTTTCAAAACAGTAGGGAAAACATTCTGATCAATGCAAATATTATAAATATAGGTTAGGCTTCCAGAGATTATGTGAGCACCTTTTGAAGAAATAGGGCATTAACAGAGTCTAATTCAACGGCTTTTGTGATATCTAGAGCTTGTAGAGATTTATTAAGGCCTGTGATTATTAACAAAGTCAAAAATTTTTGTCATATCGATATTATCAATTGCTGTACTACTACCGAATAAATTACTGGCAATTTCTGTAAAATAAGTATTAAAATCTTCCGAAACAATATGGGGATTGTTTAAGAATTATTATTGTTTCTATTTAAACATGCATTATGCAAGAGCTAAATCAGCTTATTACAAGTCTTTCTTTAGGCCTGAAATGTTATCTAAATTATCAATTAGACATTAATTAACTTATCCAGACCATAATAAACTCTTGATGTCAAGGCTAGCCTTCGATGTAGGCTGGATTAGATTCCTATATGCCGCTAACGGCCAAAGATAATTAAATCAGAAAAAGTGGATAATCGAGACTATGCTGTTTATATTAATGATTTTAGTAATGATAACCGAGACTATGCAAAAATTTCACCGGCTTCTTTCTCGGCTCATTTTGGATTGATTTGACTGAAATTTTCAGCAAATTACCTTTACACTATCTAGTTTTTAACTATTATAGCGAGAACTGCCATCTCTTCATCTTATCTCCCATAATGTATCTTTAAAGTTGTATTTATGGCATTCCATAAGTTTTATTATTAGAGACAAGACAGGAAATATATAGCTTTTGCTTTCCGAATCATATTTTTTTAACAAATTTCTACACATTTTAGACTGAGTAATATTTCCCTTCTTTTTATGGCAATCGCGTTGACGCATCATATTAAAAATTTCTTTGTTAAGCCAGGGCTGCTTCGTAGCATTCTTAAAACGTTTGGTTTACAGTGGAGCATGTTTATTTATAACTGGAATTATAGTATTATACCATAACTCCAGGGCTTTATTGGGATAATTTGTGCTATAAACATTATCAAAAGGGGCGAGTTGTAAATCATTTATATAATCAGATTCGGAAAAATATTTAAAAGATCGATATGTAATATAAATATGATTAGTTTTGGGGATTTCTATGCCCTTTTTGTTCCATGTAAAACATATTGGATAATGATCCGATATGGAATATGAAGGAACACTAGTTTCAATAATATTATTAGGTGAGGACACGGATGACATGATCCATTAAGGTAGATGAATGGGTTGTGACTCTTATAGGAGAAGAAATAATTTGTTTTAGGTTATATAAATCCAGTACATCCAACCAGTAGCAGTTATTATGAATTAGAATATCAATATTTAAATCACCAAACATTATTATTTCAGACCCAGAATTCTAAGGTAGTTCAATCATGTGTTTAAAGTTTTCAAGCCAGTTACAGCACGAGGCCGGGTTGCGATAAACGCAGCATATGGGAATAGGGTATCAGAAAGTTACAGCATGCATACATAGAGAAAGAATATGGGTCTTAAAGTCTACTCAACAAAAGTGACCTAGATGCATTTACCCCAGAACATGTATCTGAAAGTTACAGAATGCATACATAGATAAAGAAAATAGGTCTTAATTATAATCAGAGATATATTTTTATACATAGCAGAATCATAACAGCACATTTAATTCCCTTGAAACATTAATCATATATGAGTTAAAGCTACACACTTAATTATTAATTAATAATAACCACTGTGCATTGATTGGTGCACAGATAAGTAGTACGCACAAATGCACATTATTATTTTGCACCTGCTATCAAAGGCAAAAGCTTACGCGTGGGCTGCCATTGCATAAGCGGACACATAGATGGCAGTATCGGCGGAGGGTGATTGATATTAAGGTACCAAAAATTAACGGATCTCTTAATAGTAGGTTTCCAAGCAGATAGGCCTACCGAGTTTAATGTTGTTGTATAACTTCCATATGAATCATGATTTGTTGGTTGTATTTCAGACCATGACTTTATGGATAGGGTTTGTTTTATGATCATGGCTATTTTACCACTTCTTTTAGCATTTAAATGTGTGGTGTTATCATACAGGTGACGTTTCGTAGTGTTGTCCGAATATTTAAAGAGATCACAAATTCTAATAAATAAACAATTCATTCTGTCACAGATTCTCCTCAAAATATTGTTTAATGTTATAATACTCATGTTAAACAGTGTGTTTTTGATGAAGTCTTCGAGGTAAAAGCTCTAAGAACTGGTTTATGTGTGTGTGTGTGTGGTGGGGGTCGACCCAAGAAAATTTGAGTCAATTTTATGGCATTTGAGGTCATAACTGAGAGCAAATCTTGTAAACAAGAGGATCAGAAATGGGATAGAATCTAGAGATCAGCTGCCTGTCAAGTGAAGCCCCTCCCCTCGCTATACCACTGCACATAGGACCTGTGTTTTTCATCCTATTAGAATGACAAGATGCTATTCCTCGCCAAGCCCTCCGTCTAGCAGACTGAAGTTTGATTAAGCTTTTCACCATGATGATGGGAAAGTTTTCTTTCAATACTGTACTGCGAAAGATACTGTAACATGACTGTGAAGTCATGTCTAGTTTGGGTGTTTTGAACACACTATATAACGCTATGATAACATCAGTATTCAGGCTGTTAATCCCCCGTTTTATGATCAAAATCACAAGCAAATATTATTTTTCCAGACTTACTGTTTCAATGAAATATACATATTTATCACCTATCTCAATCTGGAAAGTTAACAATAAAAATAACAGGATTTAATAAGATTTTATCAATTTTTATCTTTTTGGTATTAATGGATAAATTGCAGCTAGCTTCTGATCATCTGAACACTTAAACAGACAATTCTGAGAGCAGTAAAATATTATATCATACAAAGTTTCAGATTGTTTTGACCTCAATATCAGTGGAAATGCACTGAGATACAAAGTCTTTTGGCAGTCGAAGCATATTCCTGATGCTGTATCAAGTATGTTGCACAGTTCCTTTGGTAGATGAGATTCCAAATTTTTAACCAAACCTAAAACAAGAAATTAATAATTACATTTACGGTATATAAGACTAAAAATTTCTGTTTAGTGGCATCTTATTATTGCCAGGCAAGATACGCCCACATTTTGCAAGAGATGGATAGAGAACAAGCTAAAAACAAAAGTGATTTTTCGTACAATCAGGGATCATAATCCAGAAAGTTATGGTCTGAAATGCGCAAATATCAAAAGGGACCAAGATCTTTGGGATATAAAGATATATTTTAAGTTTCATCACCAATGTGCGTGCTGTATCACAATAACTCTGCTTCTAACTGATCTAGAATGTTCAACATTGTTTGGGGCATTTATTAGGGCATTGATGGAGTTCAAAGAAGGGCATTTCTGCTTAGGCTAAGCAGAGAATTAGTCAATAACTTTGATTCTAATTAAGTTATGAGAGTGATGAAAATTAGTGTCTAGTTTCATAACATCAATACCTTGACTTAGTTTCTGCTCAGGTTAATCAGAGTGATAAGGAATTTGATTGTTTGAGACTTTGGAGCACAATGATATGGTTTAGTTTCACTAAATTAAAACCACGACTAAGTTGAATCATGAGCATTTATTGCTCGATGCCTTACAAAAAGATATTCAATTAATTAATATATGTCGTCTATTTATTTTGGGATTGAAACAGAGGACATTAGCCTCAGTCAATGATGGCTTGTTTAAATTTGAGAATTCTCACTGTGTTGATCAACATTTGATGTTGACAATATCCGAAAACAAAGTTCAAGAAGAAGAGGAACATTTTTTGAGTATGGTTGATTTAATTCTTTCATATCTGGTCCTAAATAAAGTTTAGAAATACATCCTTGCTGTTCTATCTTTACAGTCAGAAATTCATCTTCATCTTCACAAATCGGGTGTGTACCACATCTTCACATATTATGAAAGAAAAAAAACAAACATGTCATTAGTAGGCCATATTTCACAATGCACAAGTCATACTTAAATTGTGTACATGTAAATTAAACTTTTTACTATACAACTCTAACATACATACACTTTGTGAAACAGCCCCCCCCCCTCAGGTTAATTTCATCAATATTTCTATGTACATCAATAATTATAACCAGCGGTTGCCAGGCATGATACACCCACATTCTGCAAGAGATGGATAGAGAACAAGCTAAAAAAAAAAAGCGATTTTTTGTACAATCAGGGCCGATAATCCTGGAAGTTATAGTCTGAAATGTGCGAATATCGAAATGGACTGAGATATTTGGGACATAAACATGTATTTCACTGTTTCATCAAAATTGTGGATGGACAGACATCCGGGCGGACAGGGGAGATGACAATATACTTCCACATGAAAATGTGGGCGTATAAAAATCTGTCTAGTCTTGTTTCAACACAATTTAATTTACTTTGAAATATAAATATTTATATGAAATATACATGTAATTATTAATACGGATTGATATTAAAAACCTACTACTTACCTGTAATTACCATATGATGCACCATAAGGAAAAACAAACAAAGATGGATTATTATCTACATATATATTTTGTAATCTTGACATCTGTAACAATGCTGTAATAATATAAATAACAAATTATTATAGACATCCATAACATATTTATCTCTGATTATCTTATGTAACACAATGTAATGTTTAACTTCAATTTGTTTTAACAATGTCACTTTTTCAAGTTGATAAATCATTGGCATTTTAGCTTTATCGGCAATGGCTGGCCTCCGGTTTTGTGTTTAATATCTGTGTTAATATTAGTACACATATTTTCATTCTATTCCTCTTCTATAAGCATTGATCTCTAATTTTTAAAACCAGATAAATTTGTGGAAAAACTTTGTTGTGGTAACCCTATAAAAATCAGTCCTTTCAAGGCTATGGATTTTAAAAAGGAAATCATTAAAAAATAAAAGAACAAGAAGCATAAGAAATATTACTGGTTTTCAAAAATACTTACTATAAGGAAGAGATAACAATTTATTTCCACTTATAGATAAGGTTTTCAGTCTTTGTAATTTAACAATTTGTCTTGGTATAAACTTTAGGTTATTACAGTCAAAGCACAATGTTTGTAAATTTTTACACTGACATAACTGGGATGGAAATATTTGCAAATTATTATGTATAGCCTCTAAGGTTTCCAGGCCGACCAGTTGCTCCATCTCTGTTAAATAAAAGAAAATAAGTCAATGCCAATATTCTTCAATCGACCTATTGACAATGCAAGTACCGGTGAACAATACCTTGACAGTTGGAAATCAAAGAATAATATGTAATATTCTCCTCCTTTACACTGCCCAAGTAACCAATTTTTATTCCATTCAATGTTTCTAAAGAGCAGCATAATAAACTTTGCCACCACCAAATGGAAACAATAAATCAGATGCCTGGTTATAATCAGATTGCTGTAGTTATTATTGTTAGACATCATTCTTTATACTTAGCCATTACAGAAGATTGAAAGAATATCTTTTTAAGAATAAAACATGATATGAAAATTTAAATGAAAAATGTTAAATAAAATATATATTACCTTTAGGCAGTATACGTAGTTTGTTAATAGAAACTACAAGTTTTTGAAGTTTGTGAAGTTGACCGATAGTTTTTGGTAAATGTTCAATGTAATTTGAACTGACATCCAGAAACTTCAAATTTTTCATATCACCAATCTCTGCAAGATAAAATTTGGATAAAAAATCACTACAGAAAGAACTAAACCTTTATTATCGTTCAACCCTTATATATATATATATCATGCATGAAGGCGAGCGCATATTTAACCTTATATTATCAACTCATACGATGGCTCATATTCCTGGTCATTGCTGTATTGGCTTCTGATACTTGAGCAAGTAAGTACAGCAACATGACAGCCCTTCGTTTAATCTGGGTCTTCCCTAAAACTTTGAACAGTGATTTAAGGTATTAAAAATGGTGAAAGTATGTTCGTCTCCAAACAGTACTGTTTACATTGTTTTCGATTTGATAGCCTCTTTTGTCACGCAATTAGTTTTTCTGCAATATTCTGCTATGAACTAGTTAATTGGGCATAATAAAATCGTGAGTCATGGCGTAACGTTACATAAACATAATTAGTCCAATTTGGAGCTCTGTTTATAGCATAACGCTATTGTAACGCAGTTACCTATTAGTTGTTAATCGGACCATTGACCAGTTATAATTTGGAACAGAAATTTGCTTTCGTTAAAGCAGTGTTTAGTGGGATTAGGTATAATTAAACGAAACACTGCGGGGAGTATGATGATGGCTTCTCTAAATAGACATATATAATTTTCTTACAGAAAATAATAAAAACTCTCATGCTTCAAATTTATGTTAATAAAAAGAGTAAAATACCTGGAGGCAGTTCTTGGATTTCATTGCCAGGAACATATCTGTTTAAAATAATGTAATGTGAAAAATGTGTTGAATGCCATAAGTACTACTTTAAACACATAAAAATATTTTCATTTTTATACGCCCACATTTTCATGTGAATCCAAATAAAAATAAAGAGAGATGAATTCAAAACTTTTCATACTTGTTCCTTGTGCCCTAAGGATGACCTCTTTTATTTTTGGTGCATGTCCGATCCCCTGGAACAAATTTCATTGAAATCTAAACAAAAATACAAAATTGGCATGTAGCACGATTTACCACAATCCAGAAATCAATTCAACCTTTAATATCATTGACTTTAATCAAATTTGTTTATCTGAAAGTTCAGTGTTTGAAATGGATTCAGACCACAGTTACTGAACTCAGATTGTTCTGGCCTTGAATTCAAACTTGGCCCAAAAAGAGCCTTCAGGATCTTTCAAGCCTGTTTCTCTATTGTCAGGGGTTATATCTGAAGGGCTGACAAAGTGTACCTGAACATTTTTATGGGATGTAACAAAACAAGGCCTGGCCTTGGGTACACAAATATTGAAATTCCACAAAACCTCATAAAAGAATTTGCTACAAATCTGACAGCTTGCTCGGATGATTTTAAGATAATTTTGCCAGATGACCAGATGACTTACAATTCAACTAGGCTGGTTAATAAGGCAATTTCTTTGGGCTAGAATAAAAATATAGATAATTTTAAACTTCATTGCTACAATATAATTTTGTTTAATTCAAATATTTACTTTCTTTCATTATTAATTAAGATTCAATAAAAAGCTTGTTTTGAAGAATATTTTTTTTATTATTATTTTTGTTTTCTTGATGTAAATTGACATAGAAAGATAATTGTTTTCACACAAAAGTTGAATATCTTTGTTTATAAAAATAGCCAGATCAGTTTTTCTTCTTGTCAGGCAATAATACAAAACCAAAATTCAGACAAGCAAATTATTTTTCACATCCATTTAATCCTACCTTCTTTTGTTCAGTCTTTATACTGACTAGTTGATTATTTTTTTTAAAATGAATTTATTTACCAGTGTTCTTAATTTATTCCTTTTTAAATAGAGTCTTTCAACATGTGCATGGTTTTTACAGAAATCTGCTTCTAATTCCAATAAACCTTTATAATTCCAATGCTCCACAACAGTTTTCTGTTTTACTTCATAATCTTCAGAGACATTCATGATTATAATCATCTGTAATAATACATACGCAATAAAACAGACCATTAATAGTGTGGCTGAGAAAAGCGGTGTGTTCGGTCTAATTTCAGAATTACAACAGATTTAACGTCAAAGCTCTTTACTCCAGGCCATGTTTTATGAAAACACGCTTTTTCCCTGAGAAATTTCTTGCCTCTCAAAATGCGATTTCGTGTAATATATGTACAACAGTTATGTCCATTGATTACAACTTGCAAACATGCTTGGAGATCGCATTTCGAGGGGCATTTTTGACATAAAATCACCATGATTCTGGATTAAAAATGACAATTTGGCATAAAGAACAGTATATTATCAAATATCAATATAAATTATTGAGATATGAGTTGAAATAATGGTGGATTTGGTTACAACTTCCAAACTAGCTATGAAATAGCACTTTGAGGGGCATTTTGACACAAAAACATTATGATTTTAAATTAATAATAACAATTTAGCATAAAGAAGGGTAGCCTATATTATTAAATATTGATGTGCACATTATTGTCATGTATATGAGTTGAAATAATGTTGGATTTGGGTAAATCACGCTGCCCTTCGGTAATGTCGTTTATGATTGAGGAAGGTGACTATACTATATACTGAAAAAAATCTGAAAAGTACCCAAAAAATATAAAAAAAAGATTTTTGATACATACTACTGAAAAAATCTGAAAAAATCTGAAAAAGCCCAATTACTGAAAAATCACTAAATACGGCAAAAACAATACTAATTACCAAAAAAAACCGAAATACCAAAATACTGAAAAATTAACTACCACATTTGGTTCCCAGACTCCAAGCCTTCCCAGACCCCCCTTGTATTGGCTCATTTGGGCGCTCAGCTCCCAATAGAGCTTCCCGGGACCATTTCTGAGGCCTCACTGTGCTCATGGGCTGCCAATGGCCTAGTACGTGTTCCCACAATTCTTATGCGTGGTAGAGCAACCTATTACCCACCTAGGGTTTTGCACAATTTTTACGTGGCCTAGCCAGACTCATCACTCACCTTCTGTGCCCTACAATTCTTATGCGTGACCTAGCATGATCCATGACCAACCTACAGTGCCCCACAAATTTTATGCGTGACCCTAAAGTGCCTAAAATTCTTATGCGTGGCCTCGGGGAGGGGCAGGGAGGGGTGTTAGGGGTTAATTGTCCGGGCGTAATTGTCCTACAACCACTTCCCTGGACCCCAGCATATTCCTGAAGCAATGGCCCGAGAACTCCCTCTCTGGCCATTGCTGGATTGGCTTCCAATACTTGAGTTTTTGAGGGAGTGTGTCTATTCCTCCCGTTCAATCAAATCTATCCCAGGTACAGCAACATGACAGCCCTTCGTTTAATCTGGGTCTTCCCTAAAACTTTGGACAGTGACAATGGTGAAAGTATTGTTCATCTCCAAACAGTATTGTTTACATTGTATCTGTTTTGATAGCCTCTTTTGTCAGGCAATTAGTATTTCTGCAATATTCTGCTATGCACTGGTTAATTGGGCGTAATAAAATCGTGAGTCATGACATAACGTTAAGTAAACATAATTGGTCCAATTCGGAGCTCTGTTTAAAGCGTAACAGGAGGGGTGGATGGTCGAATGGTTAGCAAGTGCGTGCTGTATCATAAGGTTTGTGATTTAGTCAACTGCCGTGGTTTCAATTACCCGGTTGTATGTGACAAGTAGTGGGGTCGTCTGTCCAACCTCGTGGGTTTTCTTCGGGTTCTCCGGTTTTCCCCCCACTGTTAAAGACCCCTACGTGCAAGCGAATTATTGAAATAAAATTGAACCATATGTTAGTCTCGAAATGACCTGGTTTGTGTTGAGTGGATGTTAAACCCTGTAATGATATTGTTACACAGTTAGCTATTGGTTGTTAATTGAACTATTGACTAGTCATAATTTGGAACAGAAATTTGCTTCCACTACAGCAGTGATAAGTGGGATTAGCTCTAATCAAACGAAACACTGTGAGGAGTATGGGACCCCAGTGGAGTTGATGGGTCCCAACAGGTGTTCAGTTTGTTCAATGGGCTCACCCTGGGATCCATGAGTAACCATCAGTGCTATGAACCAATTAGGAGCACAGGAAAGCCATTGGCAACCCATGAGCACAGTGTGGGCTCAGAGGGTCCTGGGAAGCCCTACTGGTCTGGGAAGGCTTGGAGGTGCTGGCAGAACTGGAATCCAATGGGGTCCCTACTGTCTGAACTGTGGTAAATTTTAAACGGATTTCGTCGATTGTGAACAAACCACTGAATAATTGTTATTAAAAACTTGCCTATGTGTTTGAAATCACCTCAGGTTGAATAAATTCCATTGCATAATTGAATATCCTAATAAAAAAAAAAAATTTCTTTCTTGAAAAGTCAATGTTGTTCCTTGTATTTTCGACTAAGTTCATCACAACATTGTACATGTCACATGATTGATGAGCTAAACCATCTTATTCTTAATATGTTGAAGGGGGCAATGGTTGACAAATTTTGACAATTATGTGTGTTGCAATCACAACAACGCACGACTTTTCCGATCGTTTGAGTTTGGGCAACAAAAATGGCAACTGAAGACAATTAAATTAATTTGGAAACAATTAATTGTCAGTATACTAAATTTTATTCACAATGAATATATGACCGATTACACGAATTATTGCTTTTCACATCATCATCACCCCATAATTGTAAATACCCGGTATATTGTATATATTTTAATATTATATTAGGCCCTCATCCCTGTCAACTATATATGCAACTCTGTGGCTAACATTTATAAATAAACACACTTTATTTCATAATTTTAATTGATAATATTTCATAACGCGGGATCTAATCCCAATGCTCTGTGGTTATTGGTCCATTTTTTAAAGTTTTATGATTACCACAAAAACTATGAAAAAAGGCCACCGCTTCTCAATAATTTCCATATTTAATTCACGTTCCGACTGTTCATGTCAATAATATTCCTGATTAAATTACTTTTTGAGGGGGGGTGATTCGACAGATACTGAAATCAAAACATTGTTGAAAAGAACAGTTCGGAATGTCTAAACATCATTTATCGTCTTTATAAAAATGTATTTAAAACAAAAAATCACTTGTCAAACGAGGTATCACAGATTGCGTGTTTTATTGGGTCTTGTGAATTAATTATGCAGACCGTGGGAAAAACTTTTGCAAGTTTCACGCTAAATTTAACCATTTTCACTGCATCTGTGTAGCATACAATAACTCATGTGGCATGGTACCTTTTAAGGTAATATAATTAAAAGCGTTCAATGGCTGAGTCATGATCGCAATCTACGAAATGCCATCAGAAAATTCCATTCCCTGTGGATTTCAAAATGGAGTTGTACTTGTGATTAATATAGGCCTATAGTTAATAACTGAGAGTACAATAGTATGGATACATTGCCCCGTGAATTTCAAAACGAAACTGTGATTTTCGGAAATTAATTGTGTTACTGAGACACAAAATTCTGAACAGTTTTTGCACAACGGAAATAATATTCGAAGAGAAATAGAAAGACGTACATGGAACTATCTGCCGATAATTAAACCGATGTGCTGTATGATTTGTTGTTGATAATAATTTTTGGTATTTTTATAAAAAAAATAATAACGTTATATACCTATTCAATGATTCAGTGCCAGTGGCCTCGGCAAATGTAAAATACATCGGCATTTACAGATTTACCCCGGCTACAGCAGATTACTGAGGTTAATTTACAGGAATGCTTAATTTCATCAGGAAATATTAAAGGAATCTCGTTCTTTTTGTTCTGCACCTGTGTTCAAAAGAAATAATCCCACCCAACTCGATGTCCAAGTTTTTGAGGAGTTCAATTTTACAAGAGAGGACTTTTTTATTCGCTGGGATATTTAGTTGTACAATGGATTTTATTTAACCAGAGGTACCGGTAATTTCAAATACACAGCTAGGTAAGTTTATAATAACCAAAATCAAGTAGTTTGTTCATAATTGAAGAAATCCGTTTAAAATTTACGATGGTTCAGACAGTAATTTTTCAGTAATTCGGTATTTATGTTTTTTTGAGTTACAATAGTGTTGTGTTTTCATTATTTAGGGATTTTTCGGTATTTATGGTTTTTCAGTTCTTTCGGTTGGCTACCGGTAATTAGCACAAACATAATTTTTTTTTTTTGTGGGTGGGGGGGGACTTTCAGTATTTTTCTGTGTTATTTCAGTAGACTACTTTTCGGATTTTTTTCTGAATTTTCCATGGTTTAATTAGGCCTATCGCCCGAGGAAGGCTATGTTTACCAGTATACATGCATTGTCGTCCAACATGACAATGTGTGATCGCATTATATTTTACTGACCTGTGCAGGCTGTGGTACATATGTATGTCAAAACGCTGCATCCCACTACGTTACTTTCAAAATACAAAACAAAGTTTGCAAACTCTGTCTGCTACGGTCTGCCTGTAACAACTCTAAATTTCTTAAAGGAATTAAAAACGGAAATAAAGATATTATATAACATATTGTTTATTTTTTTATTCTTTCACATGACTAATTGATTAAGCAACATATACTATATCATTTAACTATACATTTTGAATTAGGAACATAAAATATAAACGATAGGTAAACGGTATTACGTTTATCGTGTAATTTCGTGAACGGATTCTGCAGTTTTAAATCCAAGATGGCAGCGCCCATGTCTCCACGTTTGTTATGAAATATCGACTGATGAAATATGGAAAAATAAAATAATTGGTGTGTATATTTACGAGTTTTCTTAAGGTAACTTATACGAAAGACATCCCACATAAAGGAATCGAGTAGTTCTGTTGTAAAATACAGTAATTTATAGGAGATAAATCTGGAACTGAAAAAGTGGTCCAGTCACGGAGTGTAAAAAAATATTTGTTGTTTTTGTTTTTGTTTTTGTTTTTTTTTTTTAGAAAACAGACCAAATTTATCTGGTTTGTCGAAAACACTGATTATAGTGCCGATCACAATACTGGCATACCTGTACATGTAGTGTTAACAATTGTGGAACAAAATTTTATCTCTGTATTGTAGTATTTGTACTCAGTACTGTTATTAGTATTAGTAGGGGGGTTGGATGGACGAATGGTTAATAGCACGTGCGCGCTGTGCCTGTCATTGAGTCAGCTGGCGTGGTTTTGAATCCCAGGTTGTACGTGACAAGGAGTAGGGTTGCCTGTCCAACCTCGTGGGTTTCCTCCGGGTCCTCCAGTTTCCCCCCACTGCTAAAGACCCCTACGCGGAAGCGAATTATTGAAATAAAATTAAACCATATGTTGGTCCCGAAATGACCTAGTTTGTGATGAGTGGACGTTAAACCTCATTTCTCTCTCTCTCTTCAGTCAGTATTGTTTTTGTCACGATTATTAGAGTTTCACATTATATAGCTTGTATAAAAGGGAAGCTTGTTAACTCGTTCACCTTGCAAACAGGTCCACATTTAAGTCCAATACCATTGGTTGACTCTACAAGAAGGTTTTCTCCGACCTAGATTAGTTGTTGAATAAATTATGATGTCGTACACATTGGTCATGTGATACGCAGTAAACAATCATGGCTGCCTCCAGCAACTGTTTCACACTGGATGACGTATCCGAATTAAGTCTCATGACCAGAAAAAATCCCCTCTACGAAGGTATTACCCGGTATCCGAGTCTACCATCTATCACGACTGGAACATTGCTGAATTTCTCTTTTTTTGATGGTTGAAGACTACCATTTTTGATTTTGTAGCGAAGTAGTGCACTGACGTAAATATTTACTTTTTACATCCGAATTGTATTTTGAAACTTGTTGTGGGCGTATTAAGAGATTTTACCCAAAATCACAAGATCTCATTTGAAGGTAAATAATGAAGAAAGTTTTTGAAATACTTTGAGTTGATATTTTTTAACATTTTTTGTGTCAAAATGTCACTCGTAACCCCTACTTTCGATCTATGGTTTGGGATTATCGATATTTCTATTTAGCATGAACTTATAGAATTTCCAAGAAAACTTATCATTTTTTGGCATTTCCATGGTGTAGCCAAAAAGTGAACTGTAAGTTTCTTGGACTTGCATTTAGCATTGTTCATGCCAAATTTGATGAAAATCCATCCTGGCATAACTGAGAAAATTCGACTTTTGTTTGTTAAATATTGCAATGATGTATTTTTTTTTCAGTTTTAATTTAAGTTAAAGGATACCAGTACCATAATGAGAAATTTAAGACTTTTAGATGCCCGTCACTGTGTAGGAGATTATCTGGAGAATATCAGATGTATTAGTATTGATAATGATACTGGTATTGTTTATGCAGCTAGTCAGTTTATTGTATCAGGGATTGATTGTAATACTGACAAGGTATGATCCATGATTATTATCAACTTTAAAGATGAAGCATACATTCTCTTTTTCACCTGCCTAATTTGACATGGATGGAGTGATTCATGAATTACAAATTTAGCTTATGCTTCACAGATTTCTCCCTGTGAAGCTGGCAGGACAGCACCACACAAACAAAAACCATAAAACACACATATATATATCAAATCAAGTGAATGGATCCTGGGTATAGCTGTAAGTGTCCAGTGTCGGGTCTGCAATGATACAGACTTCACCTAAAATGAAAACGTTAGAACAGAAAAAAACAACTTAGCAATGAATACAGAAAATGATGAGACATGTCTTATTGCGTGACTCTGTGCTATTTCAGATTTGTCATCAGGTAGATATATGTAATAATAGTACAGATATAAAGATAGAAGGTGACGGTATTGTAGCTATTCAATTTATAGCTGATTTACAGACTGTTTGTATTGCTACAGTAGATGGTACACTGTTACAGTGGTCAGTTTTTAACAATGAGGTAAGATACTTCACATTTTTTTTTTTTTTAGCTCTCCAAGACTTCTAAATAGATGTTTTAAAAAGGTTTGCAGAAAATTTTAATGAAAAAAATTTAACATGTTTTTACCAATATATTTTTTGTAAAGTAAAAGTTATTGTATAAAATATGTATACTACACCTTCACCATACATCGATGTTGGGGTCAACAGAGTACATACTACAGCCATACAAAATAACGAGATCTCATGTCGTATACATGGTCTACATAATAATGCTGTCTATAGTGACGCCATCTGTATTAGCCAAACATAATTTATGTTGTAAAATTTAATAGTATGTATGAATTATGTACTATTGTTATTTTAGTTAGAAGAAGTGGGATGTGTATCTTGTGGTATTAAGGGAATGTGTTGGAGTCCTGATTTAGAATTAATTATACTGACAACAGGTAAAATAATCACATTTTCAAAATATTTCTAGAAATTAAAATAATAAAACAGTGATAATAAAAGTCAGTTTTCTGAGATTTCATTGAAATTAAATTTCAATGTCAGTCATCAGACAGTGACTGGCTCTAAAATGATCATTGATTACCAAATCATCAAACCTGTTTATTACAGGCATGTGGATACAGTATATGATGGAAAAATTTAAAGAATATTACCTTATTGTTTTGTATTTTAGGTGATGAGACATTTATTTTAATGACCAGAGAATATGACCCAGTATTGGAGACATCTTTACATTCAGATGAATTTGGTGATGGTAAGCTTAACTGTAAATCAATCAAAATTTTAAAGAGAACAAATGTTCAATTCCACATTATTGTTGATATTAATTTTATTATTCTGTGTTTTTAATGTATAATTCAGTGTTCTGAAGTATTTCTTTATATCAGTTAAACATGCATTATGCAAGAGAAAAATCTGCTTATTACAAGTCTTTCTTTAGGCCTGAAATGTTATCTAAATTATCAATTAGACATTAATTAACTTATCCAGACCATAATAAACTCTCGATGTCAAGGCTAGCCTTCGATGTTGGCTGGATTAGATTCCTATATGCCGCTAACGGCCGTTGATAATTAAATCAAAAAAAGTGGATAATCGAGACTTGCTGTTTATATTAATGATTTTAGTAATGATGACCGAGACTATGCCAAAATTTCACATGCTTCTTTCTCGGCTCATAGTGGATCAGTTTGACTGAAATTTTCAGCAAATTACCTTTACACTATCTAGTTTTTAACTTTTATAGCGAGAACTGCCATCTCGTTATCTTATCTCCCATAATGTATCTTTAATAAAGGTGAAAAATATAATTGAAGAAACTGTGCACTTCAACTGAAATAGTGATTTTATTTTTCAGCTGCCTTTGTAACTGTTGGTTGGGGAAAAAAAGAGACACAATTCCATGGTTCAGTAGGAAAAGGTGCAGCTAAAGAGAAACGAGTGGTAATTGTCTTTTTGATCAATCTATAGGTCACATCATTATACACAGAAACTCAAAATAAGATCATATTTGATTAATGCTGGTAGCCCATTCTCAATGGTGTGAAGAGAAATTGAAAAGATCAGCACTTTGACAACCAAATGCTATGAAAGAAGGCACTGTAACTGCAATTGAATAAATACTGTCAAATATACAAGACTGCCGAAACATCTGAACTTTAATACAAGTCATTCTATATTTTCTAATTTGTTGATATAGGAAGTAAAACCAGTTCAAAAATGGGATGATTTAAAGGCAAGAGTATCATGGAGGGGAGATGGTCAGTTCTTTGTTACATCAATAATTAACAGACAGTCTGGTAAGCCGAATGTTACTATGCAGTTAAGGTTATTCTAAATGCCTGTGTACATAACAGTATGCCATGCACAAGATTTCCAACATGGTCTCTTAAAGCATTCACCAATACAATCGCAGCTTCTACAAGACTAAAACAGGCTTTTAAGCATACAATCTCTGTTATAAAAACATGCCTTTGGAAATAAGCTATTAACCTTGTTGGTTTGTCGATAATGGAATGTCTAATAGTAACTCACATACAACAGGTACAATATAATTTACAGTAGACTATAATTATTCATCTGTGATGGACAATCTGTGGCAATGATCCTTGTTGTGCTGGATTTTAGACATTAGAAAAAACAAACAGTTATGATTATAGGACAAGTAAAATTCCAAAGCTTACATGTATATCTAGCATTTGTAGTAAAGAAATGTGATTGAAGTGTGTTGTGATATGTATATAAATTTGTTTATGGAATTTTGAATTAATAGGAGCTCGACAACTTCGTGTTTGGTCAAGGGAAGGTACTCTACATTCAACAAGTGAGCAGGTGGATGGTTTAGAACAGTCATTGGCTTGGAGGTAAAATATATCATACATTATATGATTTACATAGTACAAGTATGGTACTGGTAATATATGTTATATATTACATAAAAGAACAACTTTATATGGCATTTCTATATATGTACTAAAGAAATAGTTAAACATGATTTAATATTAACACTATTGTTAACTTTTAATATTTTTTTTAAGACCTAGTGGAAGCTTGGTTGCATCAGCACAAAGAAGTGCAAATAAACATGAAATTGTTTTCTTTGAAAAGAATGGTTTACGTCATGGAGAGTTTACATTGGCATTTGGTGAAACCAATATAAAGGTATGTACAGTATATAATAAGTTGAACCTTGTTAATATGCACGTTTGGATTTCCATAAAATTGTCTGAAGTAACCAAATTCTCAATTGCTGAATCACATCAGTTTTTATATTTTTTACAATTTCCGTGAATGAACATCTATATAATAAAGGATCTGCAATCTCTGATGACTGAAATCGGTTACTATGTCTATTACCGTAGTAGTATACATTCATTCTGATGGTTTCGCTCAATCACCTATGTTAGCCATTATTGGCACATTGAAAAATAAACTTTTTTAGCGCCAGCATTTGAATTGTAAAACAACAAAAACATATAAATACCTAACACACTACGATATTTTACTTTGGCTAATCAGTTGTTGTATGGTGCTGATATGATAATATTGTTGTATGATGCCGACATGATTTCAGGTCTGAGGTATACAGGCAAAGGTTCAATACTGAACTCTTAAATAAAAATATATGGGCCTTAAAGTCATTTGTCCGAAAGTCATGAATTCTATGTTATCTGCATCTGGAAAAACAGGACTGTACTGTATGTATGTAACTAGCTTTGTGTAAGATTATAATTATAATATTTATAATCAATTTGTATTGTTTTTTTATAAAAACAGGTTGAAGAATTATTGTGGAATGTTGATTCAACTGTTTTATGTGTCTGGTGTAAAGAACTTCCTACATCAGGATCAGACGATAATTTTAAACCCAAATCATATGGTAAATATATGAAACCCTTTAAGAATGCTAAGTACAGAATTTGAATATCATAACTTAGATTTCTATATATTTGCTGCCAACTTCACTGCAAACTATGCTACTTAATCAGATATTTGATAACTTTTAAGTTTCTAAGTCAATTCTCCTAAAATGTAATTGTCCCCTGCCTTTCAAAGAAAGCAAGGGACTATTAGAATGGGTTCGTCTATCTGCCCGTCTGTCTGGATGTCTGTCTGTCCATCACACTTTTGGGGAAACAATAACTTTCCTTCTAATTGAGCTAAAATGTTCTCACTTGGTGTAGGTGTTTCATAGGTCAATGCCTTGATGGAGTTCGAAGATGAGCATTATCTGCTTAGGGTAAGTAGAGATATTCAATTTGATTGGTTGATGCTTTGGGACACAATAACTTTAGTTCTAATTAAGTGAGATTGATGAAATTTGGTGTAAAGTTTCATTACATCAATACTTTGACTAAGTTTTATAATGGGCATTGGTGTAGGCGTTGATTGGGTGAATGTCTTGATGAAGTTCAAAGATGATCATGTCAATTCTGTTAATTGAGGTATAGATGTTCATTAGGCGATTGTCTTGACTGAGTTCAATGATTAATATTTCCCATTAAAGCTAAGCAAAGCTGAGCAATTTCTTTGGTCGATGCTTTGAGACAAGATGACTTTGATTCTAACTGATGGAGAGTGATGAAACTTAGTATATAGTTTCACACACTACCAGGTACTTCAAAACCTGAGTTTGATAGTGAACATTTTATGCTTAGACTAAGCATAGATAATCAGTTTGATTACTCGATACTTTTGAAAAAGATACATGTACAATTAATTAATATGTGTCATCTGGTTTGTTTTGTTTGTTTTTTTTATTTTGGTGGGGGAAATCAGCCTCACTGTTGGCTTGTTAAATTTATTTATCATTTGTTATGTGTGTATTTTATATTCTGTTCAAATCAAAGAATAGATTTATTGTATCCTTTAAGTTCAATTGTGGACTGTCAACAACTACCACTGGTACCAGAAACAGTCACTTGAGTTTGATCCAGATCAGAAGGTGTCAGCAATTCAATGGGACCCAGAACATGCATATCGTCTACATATGACAACAAGTGGAAGGCACTATCATCAATATACATGGTCCTGGACAACCAACTGTTCATCAGGTGGAATTGAAACTGATATGGCTACTTGTGGAGTTATTGACGGAAGTAAGAACATTTTCTTACATGAACATAGTAATAAGAGAAGCAGGATTGTGCTTTAAATAATATTTATGTATTTACATCTTTAATCTTAATGTCTTCAAGATACATTCAATTTTTTATCTAGCCATATAATTTTTGTTAACTGCCCCCATTCTCATGTGGATGTATATTGTCGTCGCCCATGTACGTCCGGATGTCCATCCGTCCACATATTGTTTGTGGACACTCTACAGGTCACATTTCTTATCTGATTTGGACGAAACTCGTTATATAGGTTTATCTCCAAAAGATCTTGGTTCCTTTAAATATTGGCATGTATCAAACCATAACTTCATGGATTATGGCCCCTGATTGTACGAAAAATCATGTTTTTAGCAGGTGGACACTCTAGAGGTCACAATTTTCATCTGATTTTGATGAATCTTGGTTTCTTTTGATATTCACGCATATGGGATGAATTAATGCCCTTGATTGTACAAAAAATCATCTTTTTAGCTTGTGGTTCTTCTAGAGATCACAATTTTTATCTGATTTAAAAAAATGTTTGTAAATGTCACCGTTATACCCTTATGATGGTTAAGTTTGAATTTCGTAATTTTTAGCTTGTGGTTCTTCTAGAGATCACAATTTTTATCTGATTTAAAAAAATGTTTGAAAATGTCACAGTTACACCCTAATGATGGTTGAGTTTAAATTCGATATTTGCGCATTTCAGACTAGAACTTCCTGGATTATGGTCCCTGATTGTACAAAAAATCGCTTTTTTTGTTAGCTTGTTCTCTATCATTCTCTTGCAAAATAAGGGTGTATCTTGCCTGGCAGCTGCTGGTTCTATTTTGATATCCATTTTGAGTATGACCATTAGATGGTATATTGTGCATGTTTATTAATTCATCAAATGATTTGACATAATTTTTACAGGCTTGATAAATGTTAGGAGGGCAGAACCTGCTATGCCCGAAAACAATTTTGGGTTACAGGCATCTAGGGACCAGCCCCCCCCCCCCCCTGCCCCAAAGTAAATTTGACGGACGCAATTGCGTTTTCTTGCTATTCCAGTCCCTGAATACAGCAAGTGGTCTAATATAGCCTAACTTAGGTGGCTGACTCGAATTCCAATCAATCATTTACAGTCCACGGAGAATACAGCAACTTCTATATAGCCTACGTTACGTGGCTTACCTGAATCCCAAGCAACCAATCAATCGTCACGGGGTATGCAGGCCCCATACTCTCCGAAATTTTTAAAAAAACTTAACTGCCGCATATGCGTTTTTCTGCTATTCTGGCCCGTGAGTTAAGTAACTTCAAACTTTCCAATCATTTTGTAACCAATATCCCACTCTATGCCACCCTGAATTCCCAACATGTCGCACAAAGTTGAGTGGCTCCAGGCAAAATGTTTTAATCCATAGTCAATTCAGTACAAATTCATGGTATTCAATTAAAAGAAAAGTAAAATTAGTGTTTTATTAGATTTCGGGCACTTTATTTGGCAACACGGTGAAATAATAATTTTTGTTTTCACTTTACCTGTCTGTCAAAAAGTCAGATTATCTGAAAGTTAGGGGGGAAGCGCCCCCCCCCCCCCCCAGTTCGTATGCCTGTGATTTTTACAATGTGATGGGTTTTTTTTTACAGATAAAGTTTTGGTTACACCATTTAGAACTATGGTTGTTCCTCCACCCATGTCTGCATATAATTTAGATGTTCATGCAGCAGTTGATCAAGTAGTATTTTGTCAGGATGAAAATAGTAATGATATAGCTGTTTTATTACAAAACAATACACTAGCTATTTATACATTTAATGAGGAAAGTAAGTAAGATGTCATAAGCATCCCTACCCCTTCAATAATGCTCACATTTCAAAAGTATTTATTTTTGTCCCCCGCCTTTTCAAAGAAAGCAGGGGACTATTAAAATGCTTTCTGAGTATAGATTCATTATATCAATACATTGACTGAGTTTGATGATGAAAATTTTCTTCATAGGCTAAGTAGCGATAAGCAATTTGATTGGTCAAGACTTTGGAACATAACAATTCTGCTTTTAATTGAGGTATAGATGTTCATTAGGCGAATATCTTGACTAAGTTCAATGATAAATATTTCCCATTAAAGCTAAGCAGAGCTAAGCAATTTCTTTGGTCTATGATTTGGGATAAGATAACTTTGATTCTAACTGATGGAGAGTGGTGAAACTTAATGTATAGTTTCACTCACTACCCGGTACTTCAAAACCTGAGTTTGATAGTGAACATTTTATGCTTAGACTAAGCATAGATAGTCAGTTTGATTGATTGATACTTTTGAAACAAATAAATGTGCTGTTAATTAATATGTGTCATCTGTTTATTTTGGGATTTCGGCAAAGGACATCAGCCTCACTGTTGGTTTGTTTTTTTTATTAATTATTTAATTAAGAAAACAAATAACAAAAATGTCAATGGTAGATAAATTCCTGACCTAAATTTAATCTGTTTAAAGTGGCACCATCAAAAGATTTTACCCAACACTTATTGATGACTCTTGCTTATTAGTATTGTCTTTCAAGAAAGCTGAATGTTGCTAAATTCATCATAAATATGAAAAGGAATTGAACCATAATTCGACCGATAGACCTTTTAGAGATTCAACTTTAACAATTTGATATTTTGGAATTGATTCAAAATCCCTTAAATGACAATTAATGCCTTTAATATATTAGTCTGCTTTGTTTAATGTCAAACTGTAAATCATATTGTCTGTTAGAGAGCTAACTGGCTGCGGTCCAGTCCGTATCCATAATCTCAAGGAATTCCAAGCCCAGGGTAGCAACACTTATCTATAAAACAACTGGAGAAACTAAATTACTTATCTGTCAAATTTGATCAAAAAATACTTTTACTTATTTTAAGATTGATTTATTTGAGTATCAAGGAACTATATATTTTTTTAATCTGAATTGTACAATGTTTCGTCATAATCAAAGATTTGCATAGCAATATCAGACTAATAATCTGAAACAAAGTAAATTGTTTTATGTCTCAAAATAAGAATAGAATAAAATGCAGATATACAATATAAAGGTTTTGAGATTGTTTGATATTTAAAGATATTTATAATTATAATATCAGATAATATAGATATTTGCAAAGCTGTAACTATGGCATCCGCCGGTGGTACTGGTTTTACAGTTAAGTGTAAAATTCCTTCATATCAAGGTTTATATAGGTAAGATGTGTTTTATTACCTTATAAATCAGAATTTATTTTTTTCTAAAACTTCACATGACCTGATTTCCAGAGATGGTGAATTGCAGATGAAAGTTACTTCTTTTTCAAATCTCATTGCATACAATCTGATTAAAATACAGACCCTATTTCGTTTCGTTTTTTATAGTTTAAAATTTCATTTTACTTGTCTTTACTACACTAGAGTCTGGAAGAGATGTTAATCATTGATGTGTTCTGGATGCTGTGAGGGATTAGCCAATGAAACTGTCTGTTACGGCGCGCTTTTGGCATGAGCTGCACAGAACTGTGGGTAATCTAATAGAAACATCAATGCTGATTGGTTAATCAAATATCTGATGTCATAGGGTCAAAAGCCGCTCGTATGACCTATGAAGTGACCCCCCCAAAAAAAAAGCAAAAAAAACAAACTTATCAGATCTTCATGTAGTGTAGGTCATCGAAAGTTTAAAAAATGAAACAAAATAACAAAATATAGATCTGTATTTTAATCAGATTGCATTGCATACTAGTATATGTGAAAAAGAATTACTGTTATGATAAATCTGTTTTATTTGTATTTCAGTTTTGAAGGATTTGATGTTGATAAATATCCGCTAAACATATATCACCTATTGTGGATAAAATCTGATGTGTTTATATGTTGTTGTGTCAATCTAGATAATAATACTTCTACACTATTTAAATTTCAACTAGATACTACAAAGAATCAGTTAAAAATAAGGTACTTTGATTTTACTGTAGTAAATTGATGCAGTTTAAAGATATATATCCTCAAATATTGCAATTCTAAATACATTACCACAGATTGACAAACATGCCTAAAGCTAAACTACCAGGAGAAATCAATCTATTTCCCAAAATATCTTCTGAGATACCTCACCTCAAGGGAAGCTTTTTTGACAATCAAAATGTTTTTTTAAGTAGCCAACATTTTGTAGTACACATTCTGATGAATGGATGATTGCTGACTTTACCTGACAACTTACACGAACATTTTAATATTTATTACAGAAACAAAATTGAAGTAGAAAATTATGTTTATAATGTATGTAATTGTTTACGACCACAACATGTAGCTGTTCAACTTATTGATGGTACAGTACTCAAGTATGATTCAGGTAAGAACACCTTATTGATAGTACAGTACTCGGGTATGATTTGTTCACATAAAGTTACATGGCTCCAATTTAGACATTGTTGACTTCTGAATTCTTGTACTATAATAGTCTCCATCATTCAGACAAATATTCTACGAATATAAGTCTGGATGGGTTGTAAACATTTGAGAATAACTAGGTCATTGGCTAAATTATCCAGTCTTTTACGTTATCATGTACTAAATCAACTTTTTTCAGTCAGAGATCGTAATAAGGGAGGTAAATAGCCCTAAAACAAGATATCGACGCCCATGAAATTAATTTAAGAATTGCCATTTCAGACAAATCTATTTGCATTGCCTGTTCAATATCCAACAATCCTAAAAAGTTTATGGTAAAATTTCTCTCTTCAAGGATCACATCTAGTTTTATTCATCCTTATTTGTCATCACGATTCATGTTTGTTTGTAATAATGCATGAATTATGGGATTCATTTTGCGAAGGGGTGCAACTCGTTCTTGACTTTAGCTAAAAAGTTCCATTGCCCATGCATTACCAGGAGTTCGTTTGTATTATGTGTTTTTGATTGTCCAGTAAAATTTCATCAAATGTGGACATCTAGCATAGACCTTCCGAAGTACTCCGAATGTTGAAGACTAGGGGGTTCAGGGGATTTAGTAAATTTTTGTTTGATTTCTTATTATACTTTTGATTTTTAGAAAATGACACTTTGTTGCCGTGGGAAACCCCTGATGCTATGGAAATGAAATTCCCATCACCATGTTCTACAATAGCAGTTTGCCAAATCAGTGGACTGGTTAGTTTAAATTCATTATCCATTATAACCACACGTTCATACATTCAGTAACTGGATAATTTTATCAGATTTAGTTGACAATACAATCAGAAATTAAATTTCTACTATAATTTATTTTGATTTTTCAGGAAGTAATAATTGGTTTAACAGATAGATATCGTTTCTATGTTAACAACGTGGAGGTAAGAAAGAGTTTATGGAACGTTATAAACAAAATTTGCTAAATACATGTAGCAATCGCCCATTTTGATCCCCAATATTTCAAAAACTTTCAAAGTGTATCAAAACTTTTCTGATCCTTGATTTCTCCTAGATCTTATCTATAATATTATATTATGTTGTACAAATGAAACTGGAATCTGTATATACATGTCAGTACTGTATTTCTATGTTACAATCTAAAAACCAAGACAGATTTTATGTTTCAGGTGGCATCTAACTGTACATCATTTGCTATACATACAGACTTCTTATTATTAACAACTTTAAGTCATACATGTCGCTGTATAAGTTTAAATACCAAATTAAAAGGTATGTAATAAGGTATTTATTTTATGACAATAGTATAAACCTTGCCTTGTATATGCTTTTAAAGTTATCTTAAACATTCCTGATTATACAGAAATGCTAAATTTAGTGTTTGTTTTACAGATTTACCAAGTTTATCAGATGGTAAAGAACATCCATTTGATGAATCTATACGTCGTGTTGAAAGAGGTTCTCGTATTGTATTAGTTGTACCGGATGATACTAAACTTATTCTACAGATGCCTCGTGGTAATCTTGAAGGAATTTATCCTAGAGCTTTAATACTTTCAGCTGTTAGACATTATCTTGATAGGTAAGTTGGTCCATTCCACAAAGACCTTATCTTGATAGGTGAGCTGGTTCATTCCACATAGACATTATCTTGATGGGTGAACTGGTCCATTTCACATAGACATTATCTTGATGAGTGAGCTGTTACAATACCACATAGACATTATTTTGATGGGTGAACTGCTCCGTTCCACATAGACATTATCTTGATAGGTGAACTGGTCCATTCCACATAGACATTATCTTGATGGGAGAGCTGGTTAAGGCTGGGAATACATATAAGAAATTTCAATATCGATTATCGGCAAGAATTTGTCAGCGATTATCGATAATAATCGATTATCAATCATTCTTCCGGAAAAACCGAACTTTACCGACCTGTTATGTGTGTTGATCGAGTTACAGTAGTGTTATTATCCTAGTCTAATACTGTGCCGATGTACGTAAAAAAAACAATTAATGTAAAATAATTAGTTGCTAAATGTAGGATTAACTTGAGTATTATTCTAAGTTTTGTTCTTGATTCATTTGAACCTTTTTTTTATTCCAATATCTCCGATAAATACAAAGACAATACATGGTTCCTCTTTGCAAGTTACTGGCGATCACACAGTGTTACTAATAATAGAATAAAATATAATAGAAGGCGTCTATTGATTGGACAATAAAAAAATAACAACAAAAACAACGAAAATATTAAAATAATGTATTTAATCTTAAAGTTTAGTTTTTTTACAATAATATATATTTAAAATGTGCCAGTTTGTAAGCAGAGGGGGAAAATAGTTGTTGTGTTGACGTTGTGTATTCGTTCATTCGTCTGCATGCCAGACTACGGCAAGTTCAGTCATGTGAAAGTGACCGTAACTTGCCGTCAGAAGGTAAATATACCGATAATCGATATTTGAATTTCAATATCGATTATCGTATCGCTAAATAACTTCTTCCGATTATCGATTATATCGATATTTTAGTCCAGCCTTAGAGCTGGTTCATTCCACATAGACATGATCTTGATGGGTGAGCCGGTCCATTTCACATAGATATGATCTTGATGTGTGAGCCGGTCCATTCCACATAGACATTATCTTGATGGGTGAGCTGGTCCATACCACATAGACATTATCTTGATGGGTGAGCTGGTTCATTCCACATAGACATGATCTTTATGGGTGAGCTGGTCCATTTCACATAGATATGATCTTGGTGGGTGAGCAGGTCCATTCCACATAGACATTCTTTTGATAGGTAAGTTTGTGATTTTTTAGAATTATTCAAAAAAATGCCATGGAGACAGTGGTCATTCTTGTAAATTTACTTCTTAATAAGTCTGACCATTGAATGAAGGTCTTGTTTTCAGTAAGCCTAAAATCTGCTTGTTTAATGTAACCCTGTGTCAATAGGAATAGAAAAAAACTTTCTAAATAAAGTGTTTGTTCATTAGTTTTAATGGACTTGTTTTATTTTTCTGTTGCAGAATAAAGTTTAAGGAAGCATTTACTACAATGAAGAAACATCGTATTAATATGAATTTAATATATGATCATAATCCACAAATATTTCTTAAGCATGTTGAAGATTTTGTAACACAAATAAACAGTGTAAATGACTTGAACATCTTCCTAACTGGATTACAGTAAGTTTATCAATATTATGTAATTATGACTTTTATAGAAGTAATCAACATGTAAATTAACACATAAATACCTACTAGAAATGGTTTAATTCCACTGATTATTTACAAAGATATAATGAATTAAAAATATTGCAGCATTCATCATGTTCTGCAGGCGGTATAAACAAACAAGCAACACCTGTTTTAAGTAAAATCTTTTAATCACCCCTTTTTTTTTAATTGGATTGATTCTTCCAAGCCAGGAGATTATCTACTATTGAGATTTAGGTTTAATTTCTTAATTTAGTGTTAAATAATCAATTTGAGTTCATAGATACTGTCTGAAATATGCAAATGATGGTGAGCTGTATTTGAATGGTATTACCCTAGTTACCTAAAGGTACATAGATATATTTTACAGTTGACTTATTTTTTTTATGTTAAGAGATGAAGATGTAACAGTTACTATGTATACAGCTGCTTATCAAAAACAACATGTAAACTGTGATACAACATCTATTTTGCAACCCTCAATAAGTAAAGTAGATATTATATGTGATGCTGTACGAGCTACATTAAATAAACTTAATCCAGATAAGTAAGTTATTGATTTTACTTATTTTCAATATAATTTTGTGAAATAACACTGCTCTGTTGACTAAATAACATCAATTTATGTCACATAGCAGTTAATCTTCAGTACATCACATTCATTGATTTCAACTGTTGTTTTATTTATTTACAGATTTTTATTGTCTATATTAACAACATATGTTAGAAAGAAGAAAGCCGAGTTAGAAGCTGCTCTAGAACTGATAAGACATCTAAAAGGTATAATATTGATGACAAAGTTTGATGTATTCTTTACATTAATGTATTAATTAAAGTACAGTAAGCGTGAAGGATTGATTAAACACAATTATGTTGTTGATTTTTCTCGATAACTGTCACGATATTCGTGTGATGATAACTTGATGTAAAAACTGCTACACGTATCTTGTTGCACAATACGTAGTTGCATGACATGATAAACCTCTGCATCAAATTTCAGTTCTTTAAAAATACTGTATACACTTAACATACTGTCGCATACAAATGAGAACAAAGTCTATTAATAGCATACATGGTTAGTATAAAATGTATCCATGCAAAATATATTGTTTAAAGAACTCCAGTTAATAGACATTTAGGTTATGTGAAAGTTGGGTAACTGAACAACGAATTTGCAAATCACCCCTTTATTTCCATGCCGTGTATGTAACGAATTTTGTCACATGAAATAGAAACACAAAAATACGCAATCAGCAGCGGCAGAACAATTTACCTAATAACGCCCAATACTACATCATTGTTTTTCATTAATGATCATGGTGTACAATTCTACATAATTTACTCAATGATTTTGTTAAGTTGAAAACATAAAGTCTGGATTCATAAAGCTGTTTATTTGTGACTCAAATCTGGAAAGAGAATCTATATTTGGATTCATGGCAAGAAAACACTTGAATGATTCAAGTCGTCAGAATTATATTAAATACATATATTTGTTGTTGTTTTTGTTTTAATTTATTGAATGTATTGTTCCAATAATCCCTGTTATGTTACAAAGAATGAATATTTTTGTAATTGATTTTTTTATTTTATAGAAAATTCTAATAAAAATACTACAGTAAGTGCTGAAGAAGCATTGAAGTATCTCCTGTTTTTAGTTGATGTTAATGAATTGTATAATGTAGCTTTAGGAACATATGACTTTGATCTGGTTATGATGGTGGCAGAAAAATCACAAAAGGTAAAACCAACGTTTTAACCTTCTTTAATTTTGTCCCAGTTGTGTTATGAAATACCTACATATTATTGCAATTCTTGTTATTTCATTCTTTTTAGGATCCAAAAGAGTATATCCCGTTTTTGAATGATTTGCGTCGAATGGAGGATAATTATAGAAAATATAGTATTGATAAACATTTAAGAAGGTTCCAAAAGGCTCTTAAACATATCAGTAAATGTGGTGAGTACTGCACAGCAGGAATTTTCATACCGCCGTCTGATACCTTCTGATCTGTATTTATTAGGGTTTCACACTGGGTAGCTTGTGTGAAACACTATTGTTTTTGTTAAGATTATTATTCTTATTATTATTATTATTCTTTTTCCATTTTGATTAGATCTCAGCAACTGCTTGTCGCATTGTAACAATTTCTTCAGTTTTACTGGGGAAGTGGGTGTGACTTAGAGGATAAAGCTATTTTGAACGTTCTGCAACAATGCGAAATGTCCGAAATCACTGAAGCTGTCGTTTTTAGAAATATTGCATTAATTTTAAGAATCATCGTCAGATTTTAACTTTCGATGCATTTTGGCATAGCCAGAGACAGGGCACATAGCTACGCTACCTTTGATTTTTGATTTTCGGCAAATCTTCGCAGATATTAGACGCCAAATTTAGAAAATTTAAATTTTTACAAAAAACTTTTTTGTTTATGAATATTTATTGTTGGTATTTTACACAGAATTAAAGAGTCATTTGAATTGAGCAAAAAATGTGAAATTTTATTGTCTCAGTTATTTTCCTTGGCCACCATTGGCTAATTCAGTTTTTCAGTCCTAGATTAATTATTTATTCTTTGATTTGTATAAAACAAAGTTAATATGCTTCAGTGTCTCAATTGTGAATTTTTTTGTTGACACCGGGAGTGGCGTAATTTTACCAAAAACTGTAATTTCGAAAATTCGATACCACTTTTCGAAAGCAAATATTATTTTTTTTAAAACTGATATAACTAAAAGAGAATGCCCTTTAAAGGCGCACAAAATAGATAGCTCAGTTTTTTTAATTTCAATTTCATTTTCGGGCAAATTTGATTAAGAGTTGAAAAAAGGTGTAAAATTGAGCTATTTACAACCAATTTAGGCTTTTCAGATTTTCAAATATTTCTTTGTAACTTTTATAAACTTGTAGCTATAATCCATACGAAGAAAATGTATGTTAATATTAGTTTATAATATTAGCAGTTGCCTAGAAATAGGCAATTTTCCATCTGTCACTTTTCGCATTATTTTTCCTGTAAAAGAGTTAATTATAGTCCAAGTTTCGATTTTTCTTTACCATGTGATGCTTTATGCCACTTTTGACTGGGCGGAACCAATTTTCATTTTCAATGTCACCAGACACGGCGCCATTTCGGAAAAACTGTATTTTTAGCCTTCAAAACAGATATTTTATTCACATGAGTCTGATTTGTAATGTTTTTAAAATTATGATATTTGATTCCAATTAACAAATAGAATGAACCCATACGATCATACAGATACCACAAAAACGTTTCTAACTTGTACGGTTGCAGAGAAATAGACGATTTTCTTCAAGTCACTTTTCAATGTTTTTGGTCTATAAAAGTGCAAATTAATATTCGATTTTCATAAAATTTTCACCATGTGATGCCTTATGCCATTTATGATTTCATAGAACTAATTTAACATTTTCATTATCACCGGAAGTAATGTCATTTGGGCAAAAACTGTATTTTTAGCTTTCAAAACAAATATTTTTTTGAAGTGATTTATATTTATTATTCGTTTAATATTATGATATTTGATTCCAATGGACATATAGATTGGATGACTTTTATAGATTTTTTTTTCTATTTTAATTTCCCATTAGAAAGTTAGCTAACTTATTGGTAAGTTAGTAATAAATTTTGTCAGGATCACTTTTTTGACATGTAACACATGGTAACAAATGAATACATGCAATTGATATTGCTAGATTTGGTTGATTCTGCATCTATTTGTGCAATGCTTATGTGGAAATCTGTTTAACGGTTTCATTGAATGATACCAGAAGTAACATAATTTCACAGATAACGTGGCACCGGAAGTGACATAAGTTCAAGTGTACCGTGGTACCGGTGAAACCCGTCATTACTGCGTCGCAGTTCTAGTTTACATTTTTATTATCATCAAAAGTAATGTCATTTTGGCAAAAACTGTATTTTTAGCCTTCAAAACAAATGTTGTTTTTTTTAAGTGAGCTATATTTATTACTCGTTTAACATTATGATATTTGATTCCAATTAACACATATATTAGATCAATACAATCATATAGATGTCCAAAAATTGCTTCTAGCAACTTTCCTTGTCAAGAAATTCCCCCTTAGAAAGTCGGTAACAAATTTTGTCAGGATCACTTTTTTGACATATATAACACATGGTAACAAATGTATCAATGGAATTGATATTGCTGGTTTTGGTTGATTCTGTGTCTATTTTATAACACGTTTGCAATGCTTATATGGAAATCTGTTTAACGGTTTCATTGGTACCGGATGTGACATAAGTTCAAGGGTAACATGGCACTTGAAGTGACATTTAAGTTCAAGGGTAACGTGGCACTGGTGACAAATTTTGTCAGGATCACTTTTTTGACATATATAACACATGGTAACAAATGTATCAATGGAATTGATATTGCTGGTTTTGGTTGATTCTGTGTCTATTTTATAACACGTTTGCAATGCTTATATGGAAATCTGTTTAACGGTTTCATTGGTACCGGATGTGACATAAGTTCAAGGGTAACATGGCACTGGAAGTGACATTTAAGTTCAAGGGTAACATGGCACTGGTGAAACCCGTCATTACTGCATCGCAGTTCTAGTTTTAATTTAAATCTACTGTTTATGGAATTAACCTTGCAATGGATTGTCCACACATTAACCTGCATGTGTGAAACAATATAATTAAATTCTGCTTCCACCTTCGTGATATTGCATTTGTTGAGACCAGACCTTTCAACAAATATATTCACAACAATGTGAGTTTGGAAATAAAAGTCTGACAAACCCATCATAATATCATTTCTGGCATTATGTCCCTTTGATTAAAATATGTTTCTCTTTATCTTACAGAATCTAGTCATTTCTCTGAATGTCTGATGTTAGTGGAGGATCAAAAATTATATGTGGAAGCTCTGAAGTGTTTCGACAGGTCATCTACTGCATACAAGGTAATTATGTGTATACCGGTAATAATTTAATTTTATGTTGTGGTCTATAAGATCAAAAGTTTTGATCAAGATCGTACAAAAATATCACTTAAAAAATAAATGACAGGTCTATGATCATCACAAATGCAATGCACCATTATTATTTACTGTCACATTTTAAGAAAAATTGTTTATTGTATTTTTTACAGCAAGTGGCAATAAACTATGGTAATTATTTATTAGAGAAGAATCGTCACGATGAAGCAGGTGTTATGTTTGTAAAAGCTGAAGAATGGAAATCAGCATTAGATGCTTTTACCGTTTGTAAGAACTGGCGCCAGATGTTCTGTATGACAGCTAGATTAGGTTATACAGCGGATAAAGAAGCAGAACTAGGACGTAAAATAGCAGGTGAGAACTGAATATATCTAGTTAAAGTAATAAGCAGGGTAACTTTTACAGCATGGCAAATAGGATAGTTATCATTGAATCACTGTACTCCTCACCGTGTTTCATTTGATTTTTCCAACTCCCATTACTGTACCTCAATCCACTGGATTTAGATTTTTATACACCCACATTTTTATGTGGACGCATTATTCTGTCGCCCCTATCCGTCCGTCCGTCCACAATTTGTTTGTGGACACTCTACAGGTCACAATTTTTATACATCCACATTCATAATGTGGACGTATTATGCCGTCGCCCCTGTCTGTCTGTGTGGGTGTGTGTGTGTGTATGTATGTATGTATGTATGTCTGTGGGTCGCCTACAGGGCGCAATTCTTACTCGATTTTCTTCAAACTTTGTATACTTATTCCTTATACCCTAAGGATGATCCCTATTGTTTTTAGTGCATGCCCGACCCCCAGGGGCAGAGCCACGCCCATATTTTGTATTTGTTTGTTTGTCGTCTACAGACCACATTTCTTAACGTATCATTTTGAAACTTTGCATACTTGTTCTGTGTACCTGTGTTCTGAACATCCCTATCGTTTGGGGTGCATGCCCAACCCCCAGGGGCAGAGCCACGCCCATTTCCCTTTTGTGTGTCTGTGTGTCGCCTACAGGCCACAATTGTTAAGTGATCATCTTGAATCTTTACATACTTATTCCTTATACCCTAAGGATGATCCCTATTGTTTTTGGTGCATGCCCGATTCCCAGGAGCAGAGTCACGCCCATTTCTTGTATTTGTTTGTCGTCTACAGGTCGCATTCTTAACGTATCATCTCGAAACTTTGCATACTTATTCTTTGTACCCTAAGGACATCCCTAACGTTTGGGGTGCATGCCCAACCCCCAGGGGCAGAGCCACGCCCATTTTCTTTTTGTGTACATTATCTGATTGTCGCCTACAGGCCACAATTCTTAATCGATCGTCTTGAAAAAATTTCATATGAATTCCTTATACCCTAAGGTACCCTATTGTTTTGGGTGCATTCCCGACCCCCAGTGGCAGAGCCACGCCCATTTCTTGTATTTATTTGTTTGTCATCTACATACCGCATTTCTTAACGTATCACCTTGAAACTTTTCAGACTTATTCCTTCTATCCTAAGGAACATCCCTATTGTTTGTGGTGTATGCCCAACCCCCGGGGACAGAACCATGCCCATTTTCTTTTTGTGTGTCTGTGTGTCGCCTACAGGCCACAATTCTTAAGTTATCATCTTCAAACTTTACATACTTATTCCTTTTGGTACATGCCCGACCCCCTGGGGCAGAGCCACCCCCAATGTTTGTGTGCCTTTTGTGTCGCCTACTGGCCGCAATTCTTAACAGATCATTTTGAAACCTTGCATACCTATTCCTTATACCCTAATGATGCCCCCTGTTGTTTTTTGGTGATTGCCCAACCCCCAGGGGGAGAGCCACATCCATTTTTTCTTCGTGTCTCTGTGAGTTGCCTACAGACCACGATTCTTAATGGATTATCTTTGAACTTGGGATATGTATTCCTTATAGCCCAAGGACGACAACTGCATGTCACGACCCCCAGTGGCAGAGCCACGCCCAGTTTTTATGTTTATCGTTTACAGGCCGGAATTCTGAATGGATCAACTTGGTACTTGTCATATGCCTTATAGTCTAAGGGCATCAACTATTGATTTTGATGAATGCCCCGATCCCCAGGGGCAGAGCCACGCCCAATTCTGAATAGATTATCTTGGAACTTGGTATACTTATTCCTCATACCTTAAGGACGGCACTATTGATGTTGTCATTTCAATAACAGGGTGGCACCAAATGCTGGGAAAATTTGGGCACACAATTGTATTTTGTAAAAGTTGTATAAAAAAAAGATATTGTGTTCTTGAATGTGTCCAATTTAACAGCGAATTTATTATTATGTAACATACTAAGAACCTAACTACATTTTTTGGGCACCAACCACCACCGCCCCCCCCAGTCAAAAATTTCCCCGTACGCCAATGACAGCAACTATTTATTTTGATGCTTGCCCCGACCTCCTGGGGCAGTGTCACACCCACTTTTTTGTTAGTATTTTGTCTTTAAATTTGGCAAAACAAACCCAACGCCTAGCCTTCTTTGACTCTGATCATATTACAGCCATTTCATATTTCATTCTCTTCATTTTAAAAAGTACCATATCAATCAAAGCTGGAATTTGGACGTATATTGCAGCGTTAGCGATGCTCTCATTATCCAATTTTAACGAAACTTGAAATATAGGTATATCTCCTGAAGATCTCAATTCCACTCGATATTGGCATGTATCGCACCATAAATTCATGGATTATGGCCCCTGATTTTACGTAAAATCACGTTTTTAACTTGTGGACACTCTAGAGGTCACAATTTTCACCCAATTTTGATGAGGTCACAATTTTCACCCAATTTTGATGAGGTCACAATTTTCACCCAATTTTGATGAGGTCACAATTTTCATCTGATTTTGATGAAACTTGAAATGTATGTTTATAACCCAAAGATGTTGGTTCCTTGCGATATTCGCGTATATCAGATCCTAACTTCTTGAATTATGACCCCTGATTGTACGTAAAATCGCGTTTTTAGCTTGTTTTCCCCTTTAGAGGTCACAATTATTATCCGATTTATAAAACCGTTCGAATATATCACCGTTACACCTTAATGTTGGTTGAGTTTGAATTTCGTGAAAATCAGACCAAAACTGCCAAAGATCTTGGTTTCTTTCGATATTCGCACATATTGGATCGTAACTTCCTGAATTATGGCCCTTGATTGTACGAAAAATCGTGTTTTTAGCTTGTGTTCCCTGTAGGGGTCACAATTTTATCCGATTTAAAAATAAAACGTGTAAATATATAACCGTTACACACTTAGATCTTGGTTCCTTTTGATAAATCGCGCATATCTGAACGTAACTTCCTGGATTATGGCCCCTCTTTGTATCCAATTTTGAAAAGTATTTAATACAAAGGTTGTGGACCCTCTAGAGGTCACAGTTTTTATCTGATTAAAACATGTCTTTATATCCCAAAGATCTTAGTCCCTTTTGATATTTGTGCATTTCGGACCATAACTTTCTGGATTATAGCCCCTGATTGTACATCCAACCTCGTTGGTTTTCTCCGGGTCCCCCGGTTTCCTCCCACTGCTAAAGACCCCTACGCACAAGCGAATTATTAAAATAAAATTGTACCATGTGTTAGTCCCGAAATGACCTAGTTTGTGTCGAGTGGATGTTAAACCCCGTGTATCTCTCTCTCTCCCCTGATTGTACAAAAAATCGCCTTTTGTTTTTAGTTTGTTCTCTATCCATCTCTTGCAAAATGTGGGCGTATCTTACTGGGCAACCACTGGTTTAACTTGTGTTTGTAAATAAACATAATTATGTCACTGGTGAATTTCAGTTTGATTTGCCAAACTACAATATATTGTGTTGATATCTCATAAAAAATGAATCATGAAAGAGTTTTTGCAGTAGTGTGTAGTATTGTAGGGTGCAAAAAATAAAATAAACCACCAAAAGGTTTACTAAAACAAGTCTTTCCGAGCTTTAGATAGAACAATTTTGTATTTAAAGCATTTTAAACTGTATTCAGGTACTTGTAATATACTCAGCCAAATTAAAAACTTGACACTGATGAATTTCAAAAAAAAATTTTTCTACTAAGTCAAATAAATTTTAAAGTGTTTCTAACGATAGTAAGTAGTAAGAAGCCTTTAATTTCATAAAATTGTAAAGTCACGTGGATCACGTGACTTTTGAGCATATAAAGATGAAAAACCTGAAAAACATGTGCAAACACAAACTCGTGAGGTCAATCGATGCAAGTTTGCTTAAACTGAACATGCACACGTAACTTGAACTGGAAAAACAAATTAAAATTGTTAGAAAATGCCGCACCTTTCAAATGTAGAACGTCTACGTGCTATAGGGAGGCTCTATTGCAAGAGCCTTTAATTGTTCACGCCAGACAATAATTAATCTTAGAATGAGAGTGCTTCAAACTGGAACTATTGCCGACCGCCCAAGGGCGGGAGCGCCACTCCAGGAAGATCAAGCAATACGATTACGTCATCTTAGAAACAGATTTGTCACTGCAACCTCCACAAGTAGAGAGGTGTTTGGTGGAAGGGTAACTGCACAAACTGTTCGAAATGGATTGCAGGCTGCTGGTCTCCGAGCTCGGAGGCCCTATAATGGACCAATATTGACACCTCTTCATCACCGTGACCGACTTGTGTGGGCCACAAGACACATAAGATTTACTCAAAGACAGTGGAATTCGGTTGTCTTTAGTGACGAATCTCGATTCACTTTGAGATTTGCCGATGGCAGGGTCCGAGTGTACTGCAGACGAGGTGAACGTTACGCTCAAGTATGCGTCAGAGAAGTTGACCGATTTGGTGGCGGCAGCGTCATGGTTTGGGGTTCTTTTTGTGCACATGGACGTTCTCCTCTTGTTGTTGTCCAAGGGAACTTAAATGCTGTCCAGTACAGGGATCAGATTTTGCAACCTGTTCTTCTTCCGTTTATGCAGAGACATGGGCCTGGACTAACGTTTCAACAAGACAATGCTCAACCCCATACAGCAATTGCTACCCAGAATTTTTTAAGAAATGCCGGTGTCCAAGTCCTGGATTGGCCGTCACTTAGCCCCAACCTTAATCCTATTGAACACATCTGGGACGAACTGGGTCGACGTGTTCGTCAGCAAGTGAATCCACCACTGACGTTGCAGGACCTTCAACATGCTCTTGCTGAGCAGTGGCGACGTCTTCCTCAGGTAGTGTTTACTAATGTTCTGAGATCTATGAGAAGATGTTGTGTGGCAGTACGAGACGCTAGAGGAGGCCACAACCGTTACTAAACACTTTATTCCGATTGTTCTCCAAGTCTGTGAATTTCATTTTGGGGGGTACTGTGACATCACGAACGTTATCAATGTCAAGGACTTTCGGCGAGACGTATTCTTGCTTTCTGTTGATGTCAAGGTCATCTGTGCACAACATAACACTAAAATAGTTGCCTTAAACCAAATATTAAAAATCTAGTCCCAAAAATCCAGAGTGTCAAGTTTTTAATTTGGCTGAGTATAGTAATATTTGTTTATTTTGTATATTGAGTATGAGTAAACATTTATGTTATTAAATCTTAAATTACAGAACAATTAAAAGACAATAGAAGACATTCAGAAGCAGCAGTTATATTTGAACAATATGTCATGGTAAGATAATACATTCTCATTTTAAAATAATTTTAACATTTTAGCTGATGAATCATATTAACGCTTTTAAAATAAATGAAAAATATTTCTCAATTGTACTGTGAATAAAATGATGTATCCCCTGTTTAAGATTTAAAGTAACATTAATGCATGTTTCTTTTTCTATCATTATTTATGATATAATTAATAATAACATAGTTTTCAACAGCCTAATAGCTATAAATTGGTATGGATTTTAATATTATTTTGTAAAATGTCTTTTATGTCTTATTATATATTATAATTGAATAGGATATAGAGGAAGCTATTGTTACTTTAGTTGAAGGAAATGAATGGGATGAATCTCTTAGAATGGTAAGTGTATTTAGGCTTACAAATAATAAGTAATATTAAATAACAATCGAGAATATGAACTGAGGGAGGAGTTTCCATCTGAATATTATGGCTATTTCTTGTCAAAACTTCAAATATTATAACTTCGATTAGAGCAAAGTAATTCAACTGAAATTTTCAATATATTCATTTTTCATTATTTATTTCTTGAATTATTATAGCAAAAACATCCATTTCTTTTTCTAAATCTTGCGTAATGTATCTGTAAATAATAAAATAAATTGCTATGATGTTATATTTTACAGATGTACAGAAATAGAAGAACAGATTTTATTGAGACTCATTTAAAGCCAGCTTTAGAAGATAAATATAATCAGGAAATGGAATCATTAGAATCACTTCAGACACAGTTTATAAAATATAGAAATAGGTTGAAAATTGTTAGACATAATAAAGAGAGAGAAAGATTAGAAATATTAGGTTTGTTAATTTGTTGATCTGCTATAAGGTATAGGATATCATTTAGATGAAGCCTTATACAAGTTGGAAACGCATTAATTCATTAATTCCATATTCAGTTTGTTTTCTTGAAGAAGCACAGATATTTTACAGGTTATATTAAAATGAAATGAAATTGGGTTTAACATCCTACTGTTCTGCTCTGACTGGGCTAATGAAGACAGGGTTATATTAAAGGATTTATGTTGGGAGTGAATTGAACCTCAAGGGTACTTTTGGATTTGAGGCAAAAAGAACCAGTGTTAAATGTTTCAAACTTAAAATAACTAGAATCAACATGTTTATTTGTAGAAGGAGGTGTACCGGTAGGGGCAGATGCTGATTTATTCTCTGATACAAGTAGTGCTGCTGGTGAGAGTGTTCATTCACGATACACATATGATTCTTCCCGTTCTACTGTATTCAGTAAAATGACAGGGTAAGATAGGATTTCATTTTTATTGTAGCCCAAAATAGAAATATTGGTGTCGAATGATTATAATGAAGCTTTAAGTTTTAAATTGTTGATGCATAGTTCCATATATAAATTCAAGCCATCTGAAAGTTGTTTCAGGTATTGTACACAATGCATGGTCCAGTTTCTCTGAAGAACATCTGATATCAATTGTCACAGGACTCTTCTGTAAGGAGCATGTTGTCTTGTGGTTGTTTCATGTAGCTAACATCTAAATCAACTTCAAACATTTAAGTCTTGGCACATTTTGGATTTACTGTAATTTGTTTAAACATTTGTTGTCTATACTAAAACTCTAAATTTGGCCATGTTTGCAGATGTGTCTGTTCGACTTTGAAAATGTCTTAACTGAAAAATCTACCTGTCATCTGGTTTTCAGAAATTCAAACATTTAGCTTATAGATTACATGTACTGTTAAAAGCATAATATTCAATTAGACATACATAATGTTCACCAAGATCATTTTCATTCTACAGGAAATCACGTAAAAAGGGTTCAGTTAAAAAATGGAATTTAAAAGAAGGAAGTTCTAATGAAGGTTGTGCATTAATTGAAGCTTTAGCTAAAATTATCACATCAGTTACAGGATTTAAAGGTTGGTTTCTAACTTCATTTTATTACTTAATGCTATATAATTACATTTGTTTTATATTATCTCTTCGTTGTTGTTAGGTGATACCAGTTAATCAATGAACTGAACAGTAATTCAGGGGAGACAAAACAGAATATTACTTAAATGGGTGTTCCTTGGACCCAACTGGGGTAACATGAATCCTTCTGAGTTATCAAATGTGGGAACTGATCTCATTCTGACTACATAGCAATTCACATTATTTAAGATTTGTATTTTTATAGTGAATATTTCAAATGATTCCTTCTTTTGATGAGCAGTTACTTCAGAAATTTCAGTTTTTCTATAACTGTGAGTGACTTCAGAGTTCCTGTAACATGAAAAGTCATAGCTCTTTACTTATTGCCATGTTTGTATTATTATTTTATATATATTTTGATTTACTTACAGATGATATGAATCTATTATTAAAGATATTAGTAGAGTTTTATTATGATGATGAAGCTAGTAAACTACAGGAGATGTATGATATGTTTCTATCAGTAATAGATACTAGTATACCAGAAATCTGGTTAAACTCAACCGATACTTCTAATACTGATACTGTAAGTATATTTTAGAGTTCTGAATTTACCTGGGTATTTTATCTACTGTACTATAGAAGGATAACTTTGCCAATATTATTTCAATGTTCACAATGCAAAATGCATATGTCAGTAGTTCAAAATACGTATTTTAGTTTTACAATTTGCAGTTTCCAATGCTCCACAATACCATTGTCAGAGTGTTAAAATACGGAATACATTTGTCAGTAATACAAAATACAGTATAATAGTTATTTTGCACATTACACTTCTCCATTCTGCATTTTGCATAATAGACAAATGCATAATAGAACTTAGCATATTAGAACATATACCTTATATGGGATCTACCATAAAGCTCATTTGCATACAGAAAAAAATCCGGACTTGGACGGAAATTAATAATTTACGTGATTAATCTACAAGGTCAACGTCAGCAGAAGGCAAAAGAACAAATTGGCATACAATAAGTCACCAATAAGTTTTATTTATTTCAGGTATTGGGACCAAATACAACATCTAATGCCATAGCTCAGGCTGTGCAACAAGGAAAACAAGTAAACAGCCCTGGTGAGAAAATAGGTAAGTCTTTAAAAAAATAAAGATGTTCCCTATGAAATTCTACCATTGTCATGTCTTGATAGAAAACATTATCTGGAAATAAATGTGGGAGTATCTGTTGTTTTGGGTAATTTTGAGAAAAAAAATTGTATTTTTCTTTCAGAGCCGATATTGATTGTTCCACCACAGATAAAGAAAGACATTCGATGGAAACTTCACATGGTTCAAAAAACTGACACATCTTGACAATAGATAATTGTACTCACTTGAAAACTTGTAAAAGGAAAATGTTTATAGAAATATTCCTATGTAAATTAATATAAATACAATATACCATATATTGAAGTGTTCTTTCTTATTTCAACTGTAATATTGTTATACTGAGATTGCACTTTGGCCATGGAAGCAACAGGACTGAGAATTGATAACACAGTTACAGTTTATTTAATAAATTCTTTTTTTTTTAAATATACCTTTATGGAATTGTACAGTATCCATTACAACATATTGAAATAAAATATATAGACACAAAAATAAAACAAAAAGTATATAAAAGTATAAGTGAGTGGCCTGAACAAAATGTAAACAAACAGAGTGTGGTAGTAACAGTTTCTATAAAACATAATTCAAACAAAATCCTATAGGATTCTTTAGGTGTCGGAGACAACCCTATTACTTGAGACGTACTAGTGGGGAATGGAAACCACACTTGACTCAATGACAGACCTTATGATCCAACATGCACGTGTTAACCATTCGGCCACCCCCCCCCCCCCTCTTTTTTTTATCTAAAAGAGTAAAAGTATGATATTTGTAATGACCACAAAAAGTACCATTATAAACTCATTACCTAATAGACATACAATAAACTAATAAAGTTAACCCTAAGTCAGCCATTGATATCTTACCAGAATTTGTTTGCTAACAACACCAGCATTCATCCATTCATTGTCTTGCAAGTACACAAAATAATGGAGAGAGAGAGAGAAAGAAATCGGAGGACATGGGGGGAAATCCACAGGGTTGGACAGGCGATCATACCTCTTGTCACGTACGAACAGGGAATCGAAACCGCGCCACTTGACTCAGTAACAGACCTTATGATCTAACGAGCAGGCGTTAAACCATTCGGCCACCCAACCCCCACAACATATTGGAGTCACCATTAAATTTGGTAGATTGTCAAAAAAGCTTTCCCTTAATCAAGAAAGATATAATGTTTATGGTATTAAACAAATTTGTCCTGGCAGTTTATCAATGATTTCCAATTAATGATTATAAATTTAGGATTGAAACTGTTAAGGAAAAGTATCTTTAAAGATTTGGTCATTACATAATAATAACTTGTGACGATTTTCCATTAAAGTGATGTTTTAACCATATCAACTATCAATTAAATAAGAACTTGTGACGATTTTCCATTAAAGTGATGTTTTAACCATATCAACTATCAATTAAATAAGAACTTGTGACGATTTTACATTAAAGTCATGTTTTAACCATAACAACTATCAATATATGAATTACAAAGAGAAAAAATAAAAATATATTATAAAAAATAAAAATGTCAATATAATAAAGCATCGTGAGACTAGTATATTTTATGTAAATAAGAACAGCTCATGTACATAATATATGTTCATTTGTATTACCAGGGGAAAATAACATACCCTATATCATTATACAACTAAAATATTTTTTTTGTCATATAGCATTATAATTATTTCTAATACTAGTTACTGTACAGCGCATTGGACACTTACAGCTGGCCCCCAGATCCATTCACTTGATTTGATATTTGTTTATTTCTTGCAGTGTCTATGTAGTTTTTCTTGTCCGCAGGTTTGTCTTGTTGGTTTTGTTTTGCGTGTAGTGCGGTCCTACTGCATTTACTATTTGAAACATGAATGCTAAATAATATCTTGGACAAAGTCAAAAGACTGTCATCTTGTTCCAATTCAATACCCCAGTTCCAATATGCCTGATTTATGATAGAAATTCTTCATTTTCTATGGCTGCCACAACATCAAATCTTTCCATTTTCTCTAGAAGTTTTAGTAAATCCACCATTTTTGTATCTGGCTGTCTGTTACACCATGTTGTAAGAACAGCTGAGCATGGGTTGTCGGAATTCTTGAAATTGATAATTTCCACATCTCTTACTGTCAAGTCCAACAAACCTACATGATAAATAAGAATGTATTAAAGATATATTATGGGAGATTAGATAAAGAGCTGGCAGTTCTGGTTATAATAGTTAAAAACTAGATAACATAAAGGGAATTTGCTGAAAATTTCAGTCAAATTGATTCACTCTGAACCCAGAATTTATCTATTGAATTTTTGGCCTAGCCTCGATCGTCATTACTAAAGTCGGTACGATAAGAAACATAGTCTCAATTATCCATTTCATGATTAAATCTTGAATGAAATTTTAGCAGCAAATAGGATCCTAATCCAGAAAACATTGCAGGCTAGTGATGACATTGAGAGTTGATTATGGTCTGGATAAGTTAATTAATGTCTAATTAATAATTTAGATAACATTTCAGGCCTAAAGAAAGACCTGCAATAGGCAGATTTAGCTCTTGCATATTTTATGTTTAATGAAAGTTTTACAGTTTTTGCAGTCCTGAAATAAATAACCTTAAAAACTTAGACAGGAGCTTTAACAGGACACAATAACACAATATAAATATGTCGGGAAAAAAGGTGGTTGGTTGGTACTCGGGATTTTCCGGCATGGTTTCCCCTTGTCAGTTGTGTAGGGGGAGGCTCTGACAAAAACAGCTGCCTAGTGGTTCAGATGGGACAAAAAACCAAGTTCCTGTGTACACATTGACCTGCACCTAAAAAAAACCCCTTGACAGTTGGAATTTGATATAAGAGCAGGCCCTAGTGCAGTTGTCCGGACAAAATTTCCTGTGTGGCGTCAGTCGGTGCAGAAAAGTGGGAGGTTAAATTTCAATTTATTTTATAATATCTGCCTTTAATTGGAATGAAAAACCTAACTATTTTCAATCTTACCTGCCAGCATTGTCCAGTCTTGACCCAGAGGCTTTGGGGGATTAAGATAATCACATATAGTTTTGTACACATGGTTTGGTACCTCCATGAGCAATCGATCTTTTATTTTAACATCTGTAGCCGAGGTTTTCTTGGTTTCTAACAAACGATCATCTTCTCTTGATACCACATGCATCTATATAATAATGTATAACTTAATTACGTCTTCATTAGCCCAGTCGGAGTAGGACGTTAAACCATAGGCGTACGGGCTCGATGACAGTTAGGGGGGGCAGAACCCGAAATGCCCGAAAAAATTTCGGGTTTACAGACAGCGGCGTCGGTCTTCCTCGAGAGGCGAAGAAACGGAGCTTACCTTGCATGCCCCCCCCCCCCCCCAAGAAAATTTTGGAATATTTGACGGCTGCAAACACGTTTTCCTGCTATTTCAGTCCTTGAACAAAGTGGTCTATTATAGCCTAATTAAGATGGCTGACTCGAATTCCAATCAAAAGATCAATCGTTTACAGTCCACGAAGACGGGACCGTTAGCAGAAAATTTAACTGCCGCAAACGGGTTTTCCTGCTATTCCAGCCTGTGAATACAGCAACTTCAATTTGGTCCAATATAGCCCACCTGACTGATCCGAATTCCAAACAACCAATCAATCGTCGCGGAGTATGGAGGCCCCCCCCTCCCCCCCGGAGAAAATTTTGAAAATTGGACCACCGCATATGCGTTTTCTGCTATTCTAGCCCGTGTAAGAAACTCCAACAGTATCCAATGGTTTTGTAACCTAAATCCCATTTTGAATTCCAACCATTCAATCAGACTGTTCCAGCCGCATTCACAAATAATAATCGATGCCCGAAAAATGTCGCACAAAGCAGAGTGGCTCCAGACAAAATGTTTTAATCCATAGTCAACTAAGTACAAATTCGTGGTATTCAATTAAAAGATAAGTAAAATTAATGTTTTATTTGGGCTCGGTGACAGGGAAGCAAAACTAGAAATGCCCGAAAAAATTTCAGGTTTACAGACAGCAGCCCCGTTTTCTTCGAGAGGCGAAGAAGCGGAGCTGACCTTGTAAGGACCCCCCAAGAAAAATTTTGGAATATTTGACGGCCGCAAACGCGTTTTACTGCTATTCCAGCCCGTAAAATTAGTGTTTTATTAGATTCCGGGCACTTTATTTTGCCAAGTAGATGAAATATTTTTTTTTTCACTTTACCCGTCTGCCCGAAAAGTCAGCTTGCCCGAAAGTTAGGGGGGCAGCTGCCCCCCCCCCCCCCCCCTGCACCCCTGGCTCGTACGCCTATGCGTTAAACCCCATTTCATTTCCTAACTTAATTATATTATTTATAATCTTTTAGAGGCATTTAGTAACTGGGTAGAGCAATACACAAAAACACATACTTATGGAAAAACAGCTACTTATTTATTTGGGCGACGTTTCGAAGAGTATTCTCTCAACGTTATCAAGCTAATACTTTTGATAACGTTGAGAGAATACTCTTCGAAACGTCGCCCAAATAAATAAGTAGCTGTTTTTCCATAAGTATGTGTTTTTGTGTATATTATTTATGTTAACGAGTGGCGTTTGTTGTTATTAGCGGGATTATGCCAAAGCAATATATAGCGGAACCTCTAATCTCCCAACACATTAACATTCCGGGTCTTTTGTGAAAAGGTTTTCGTCTCAAAAGAAAGATAAAATAACTCAATGATTCATCTAGTATTAGCAAGAGAATTAAAACTGCATTTCTGAATTATTATTTTTTTTATTATATTAAATTATAACAAAAGAGTAGCTTTCTTATGTATGGAAGGGTATCGCTGCCAATATTAAATGCTCTGCTAAAATGTCTTTTCCATTAATTACCGGTAATGATAAAGTCAAAATACCTCGAAGGGCAAAGTTAGATGTAAAACGTCAAATGCAACGTGTCAAATGTTTAATGGAAAATGCTGTTTTTGTCGTGTCTACATTTTACATTTCCTTCATTACATTTTACATTTGAGCTCTGCCGCATCTCATTTGTCCTTCATGCTTTCTACATAGCATGTTACGCAGAGCACTAAGTTTGATATGCAAATGTAGGATATCACGTGTCTTCGCATATACGGAAACGAGACCGAGCTCAACCTAGCACAGTATAAACCAGCACACTATAAGATATTTACCGCACGATATTGAGGCAATCAACATGGCAAACTATAAGAAATTCGCTGGACGACCGCGCCTGCAATAAAATCATGTGATTGGTATGGCTAATCCGAGCCTTCGACAAAATAACATAAAATGAAAGTATAGTCAATATTTAGTAATTAGGTTACTGTCGGACAGCGACACACTTCTTTCGACAAAACGAGGATTTTTCTTTCTCTAAAGTACGTAATAATGAATGAGGCAGGAAATAATTAATAGATTCAAAGAGCCATAGAAACATACTTTCCAGTGATGTATAACACGATAACTGGAATTTCGTATTAAGACCCGTATTTTAACATTTTAAACCCTCGCCACCGCCCCACACCCTCTCTCTAAATTTTAGTACAGGCTACTAATAATGAATATACATGTACTTAAAGAGAGGAATGGGTATCCATGAACGTGCTTTTCACTGATATGTAAAATGATATCTGGAATTTCGTATTATGACCCGTATTTGGACATTGCATGCCCCTCCCCCCTTCACGTTATCATGGTAATACAGTTTAGTACCATCCAAATTTGATCGTTCTTCAAGGTAAGTAAATTTCTTATAGTGTGCCAGGTTGATTTCCTCTTATAGTCTGCTGGATTACAGTGTGCCAGGTTAATCTCGGCATCGTTTCCGTATATGTTAATAAGTCACGTGATATCTATATTTGCATATCATAGTTAGTGCTCTGCGTAAGATGCCAGGTAGAAAGCGTGAACGACAAATGAGATGTGGCAGAGCGCAAATGTAAATATGAGAGACATTTCAAAAAACAGCCTTTTCGGATAAAACATTTGTCATTTGACACATTACATTTGGCTTGTTACATTTAACTTTGGCCTTACAGGTATTTTGACTTCATCATTACCGGTATTAGGACTTTGTACATTGTACTTTTTACATATAATCAATGGAAAAGACATTTTAGCAGAGCATTTAATATTGGCAGCGATACCCTTCTATACTTATTGCGACACAATTTCTCAGAAATCACACATTACGCAAGAATGAAGTCTTCAAATGCGTATGTATGTAATTCATCTTACAAAAAAATAAATGTCAACAAATTATTTCCTAACAACGAATAAAAAAAACAACCATTTACGCCGCGTTTATGGAGACACATTTTCTCAGAAATCACATTAGGCAAGAATAAATTTTCATTCAGTCTTCAAATGTGTATGTATGTAACTGAGCTTACAAAAATATAAATGTAGATAAATGATAGCTTAAAAATAAATAAAAACAATGGGGTTACGACACTTTTTTATGGATTTTACATAAAGATTTAAATAACGTCTGACGTCACGTCATGGTGGTTAGTGATCTCCAACCTTTTTCACAGAGGTATTGCGAAAGTCTTTTTATAGTAGCGGCCCAAGGAATATTCACTGTTGATCAGTGTGGGTGATCTCATAATTACTTAATTATAGTGAAGGAAGTAGGTACGGCCTTTGTGAGCAATCCAAATAAAAATGTACCATTATATTAGTTACAATATGATCCAGTTCAGTTTGTGAACCCAAATACCCGCTTACATTGTGAACCGGATTTCTGAATATTTAAGTCCTGATAATATTTGTAGAAGGGATATCAATATCTTTATATATATGTTTGTATTAGATATTATACCATTTAAATATCCGGATACCTGTAGCCCTAATAGCCTAACGCTGCATCGCATATTGACAGGCGGTCGGTTGGTAGTTATATAAATTTAGATCACTAACATTTGATTATATGTGTTGTCGATTGATTTCATTTTTATACGCCCACATTGAAATGTGGTCGTATATTGTCGTCGCCCGGCCCGTATTTCAGTCCGTCCGTCCGGCGTCCACAATTGGTTGTGGGCGTTCAAGTGACTAAAGTTGATATGTCAGAGTGCCATTTAACATTAGGTGGTCCTGGAGTTTGTTTTCTAGGTTTGTTTTTTTAAGGTTAATAATAATATAGTATCGGAACGTTCATTTCCCAGACACACAAGCTTTATTAAGAAAATATGTTTGCATGGGTAAATTCAGTTTACCTGTCCATTTACGATGTTTACTTTTCGACCACAACACCAAAAATCAGATTTATCAGGAATAGATTCCAATTCTTCGATATTATTGGCAATTGTCAACAAGTGCTTCTAAAAATAAAAATACAACATTAAGATAGTGTCATAGTTTGCTTGACATTTGTGGTTTTTTTAGACATTATGTAATGGCTACACCTGAGAAAAGGTATTGTAAAATACGAGGATGTGTGACACACCTTTCTTTACTAAATGTGATGTTATCGAGGTTTTATCTCTTATCGAATAGCATTGTTATATTACTTGAAAACAGGATATGTATTTATAAAATTAGCCTTTTTGTCATATAAAAAATTCACTTTGCATAAATGCCCCCCACAACTATTTGAATGGATTAACGGTTTGCTTTGCTTTACTGCAATGGGTAATTTATATGTTTATTGCTCATATTAAATAACACTAATCGAAGAATAAACACTTTTGGAATTCTTCAATGCGGGAAACTTACTTCTTTGCTGCCATCTTCATGCGGTGAGGTACAAGGGCAGAGGTATCCCATCATCAATTTACACATCTTAAAATCCTGTTTCACAATATTGTTCAAACATCGCCAAATCATTAATAGGACAGTTGATCTATTACCAAGGGCATCACCGCGAAGTACTATTTTCAAGAAACCATGTTTGTCATCGTCACACTTTTCCAATTGATAACACAGCTGATTGTCATATGTGAAGATTGCTTGGCGTCTACTCATATTGGCAATACCTTCCCTCGCGCTGCAGTCAAACTCTGCACAAGCACAAAGAAGATGAAGAAACAACTCCTGTGGGAAGTGTGGAAGGCATTTGATATAAACCATAATGTCTTTCTTGTGGACAGACCAGCATTTTTCTGGATAAGGGAGATCTTCTGGAAGAGATGATGGAATAATGAATGACGTGTTTAATTCACAAATCAGGTGAAAGCGGGATAAAGCAGCTATAGCCGACTCCATAGCTATTCCTGTAGGACAATGTTGTTCAAATACATGTTTAAACAATGCAGCTGAACAAATTCCACGCTCTTCTAATATGGACCAGTCGTCGACCAGATGTGGTGGTCTTTCACTCATTTTCGGCACATTTATGATATGGCTTACAATATTTAGTAAACTGCGGGGATCGAAAATGATGAGCATTTGTAATTCATTATCATTCCGTCGGAACATTATTTCACCCATTTTATGAAAGAATATTAACATTTCCTCAAATTCAGATTCTGTTGCTAGCATAAGTTTCATATCCTTGCACAACCTATACACATTTTGAAAATATTCGGAGAATATCTGTTCTTTTCTGTAATGTTCTATTATAGTGAAGAAAAAAAAGAATTTTACTGGGAACTTTTCCTGTAATATGATGTCTGTTGTCTGCTTAATTATTTTATCCTTAAGATTTTTGTGGTCCTTATCGGTGGGACACCGGGAAGAATTTTCTACTGGAAACAGAGATGTGTCATCGTCGTTCCACACGATAATGTTATGATATATTCTGTGAACACTTCTTTTTAACTGTTCTTTTATTTCAGCCTTTGTCCTTTTCGTAATGCGCATATCGTCACGGTGTGTTCCCACTAGAAACACGCGGGTATGGGGATAATGACTATGTAATTGTATCGATCGCAACCACCGAAGGATATCCTGAAGCACCATCTGAAAGTCTTCAGAAGCTTCTACTAGACTGAACACTAATAAATAAACACACTGGCCTGTCATATATAAATGGTGAGCTGTATAGTATAATGGGTGACCTGCAAAATCTCTAACCAATAACTTTAAACGTGGAGATCTAGTTCTTGCACCAATCACTTTGCTAGGGTGGTTTATTGTGCCCGCGTCTTGTTGTTTAGAACGCTGTATAGATTTGAGATAACTAAACATTTCCACTAGCATCACGACAACTATTACAATGAATACCTTAGCAATGTCGGGCGAGAACTCCCATCCAAACATTCGTGTATGAATCAATCCAAGTACTATTCCAATCAAATGCCTAATGAATCGTCGACTTCTTCTGCTACTGCAGATTGTTTTCAATTGTGTATCCAAAAGGCAATACAGGTTTTGACCAACCATAATTCCATGATTGTGCAAAGCTCCAATAGCAATTGACACTGTTAAACAAATGCAGTATTTGGTTTGTGTCTGAAACAATATCGCCAAGAGCGCAATCAAAATCGTCATGATTATGTAGTTACAATTACTGTAAAGATACAGACCAATCAAACAGCCCAATATGAATAGATGGATCTCCAGTGATTGGAGGGGATTGGAGGCAACGTATAAGTCACTTGACGGAGGACAACATAAACAAAAACAACATGCAATCCCGATACCCATTGACTGACCTAGAGCAACACTTTCAACACTCTCAAGCACCAGAAATAAAAACAGCACAGCTACAACTGATAATCCGATATACACTAATGAATCGTCTTCTAGACACCACGATGCTAGATCCCAACGAAACCATGCATCTATTAAGATGACGTAATGTCGTATTCCAACACCTATTCCTGTTCCGTCTGCTATTCCCAGGAACGGGATCAAAAATGTAAACATGAAACATAGTAAAATTCCGAACCATGGCCAATATTGTAATGTTTCGGAAACAATACAATTTGAATAAATTGCAAATGTTATCCAAGTGATCAGTCCAATTCTAGCACAAACTATGACTGGGGCGAATACACTATTCAGTGTTCGACATTTAACTTTACCCAATCGAATCATGAGATGCTTTCCTAAAATGTCGTCATATTCGTTAGAATTCGCAGCTCGGATATCCAACTTCGACCAGAGACGACTTGGATCTGGCTGTAAGCCAACTGTATCAACAAGTTCGTGATCCACTCCTACGGTGCTTTCTTCATTCTCGTCAAACATATCATTAGATAAAAGTTTGAGAAGACTTGTTTTACCCTGTCTTTCTTTACCCACTATATTCAATATTAATCTGTAAGAACAGTCTTTATCCTGGTTGATCACGTCTTTTACAGCTTTCTCGCCTTCTGGACCAGTGATAAACCCCACTCCAGGGGTAATACTCATCTGGTAGATAGCTTTCTGTTCTGCCTCCTGCATCTTGCATTGTTCGTCGTGTTATCTGCCCTGAAAGAATCAATTAAATACACATATTTATGATAAATACTGTAGCCGCCTATTTGTCATGATATTATGTCCTTTGTAATAAGATATTGTTTCAACATACATCATCTGAATTTTATCCTCTTGGTTAACCTTACAATCTATAATAAGATTTTAATTTATTAAAAAAAATTGACGTCAAACGGGGTGTTGGATTTCTCTCTTTAAAAAGCTCAATGTGTATGTATGCCTACTTAATTTAGAGACGATGATGGCATCCTGATCCGCCACTGAATCTGCCTATTTCTGGTCTTCCTTTAGGCCTGAAATGTTATCTAAATTATTAATTAGTCATTAATTAACTTATCCAGACCATAATCAACTCTCGATGTCACCGATAGCCTGTACTGGATTTGAATCCGATCTGCTGCTCACCGCTCATTGATGATTTAATCCAAATATGGATAATCGAGACTATGTTTTTATCGTACCGACTTTTGTAATGATGATCGAGGCTAGACCTAAATTTCAATCGTTAATATCTCGGTTCAGAGTGGAACAATTTGACTGAATTTTTCAGCATATTCCCTGTACATTATCTAGGTTTTACCTATTACAGTGAGAACTGCCAGCTCTTTATATAATCTTCCATACTGCCCCTTTAACGTTGTTGATAGATTTTGTCATTAACTGTTGAATATGTAGATTTTGTCATTAACTGTTGAATATGTAGAACTGGACGTTTAAACAAAGATTAAGTATCTTATAAGCACTTGTAAAAAAAATGTAATAATACCAGATGAAAATGTAGCGATCCTAACGAGACGACCTGTTTTGCTGGCGGTGTCCATACGTATCCTTATATTAGATCGTTATATCTGTCGCCGAGTTTGTTTTTATGTCTCGTTTATAATAACCCGGCACTTACAAGACGCAAGTCTTTGTCCTTTATCTCTAAGTTTTTTTACGGACTCTACATGTGTAATAATCTAATTTTATCAGGACAGGTATAACTAGATACATAGCTCTTTGTATAACACAATACGTATTATTAAGGGAAATTGGCGAAAAAGACATAGTGATTTTGTTAAATAAACTAAATTCCAACATTACCCCTTATGTTACCCGATTTGTATAGAGAAACATACAGGCTTCGTGAGTCTAGAAAATATCGACAAAGTTGTAAATGTGAATAAAACTTGTTTGTTCCTCCATTTTGTCCATTTGAAATAGAAACTATACATACAGGCCGCATACGCAATATGTCACCTTTCACCCAATACTCGTGAATAAGAGTGTGTGAAATGACAAACCATCTCTTCAGTAATGCATAAATGTTATTAATGGTGGTAATAAAGTATAATAGGCTTCCAAATGTAAAATATTTTCCATACCAGTTACCACCCACCACAGCGAACAATGGTTAGGTTAGATTCCAATAAAAGAAAGCAATATGTTGACAGTTTCTGTAATCGCTCCCTGTTTCGTAGATTTTTAAAAGTAAACTAACTTACCACTGTCTATCATAGTCTTCAGGATGGAGGATACTCTTTATGTCGTCCAAACCACGATCAGAAACGGGTAGAGATTCCTACGATCGAGTCATATCCTAAAACAAGTCATAATGGGTTATTTTCTGATAAAACTGTAAGCTTCTCGCGTTTGTTTGTTTAGTTGATGGCCTATATTGTGACATTTAAAGGGGAAATGTGACCTAATAATAATATTTCATTTCATATCAATTATGCCAATTATGCCAACCTTGGCATAACTAAGATGTTATTAACCTACGCGTATATCACTGCAGATTATTGGGTTCATCAATACATTGATTCATCATCCTTGCTTGCTGCTTGAAGTTAACAACATTCGACGATGTGAAAGGAAAGGATCAGTCGAGGAGACGCACTAACAAAATATTTCAGCCCGAATTTGCTTTAGCTAAAGCCCGCCAGTCTTATTTGTAATAGTAACAGATATTCTCATGACAAAGCGATAGACCTAAAGTCAAATTATGTATCCAGTCCAATATTCCCACATGAAACCCAAATTAATGTTTGTCTGGTATGTGATATTCGTCACGGTTATTCTATCTCTTTAAGATGTGTAAGATTATTACTGTAGTAAAAGGGTGGATGTATTACGACTTAAGCAGTAGGTTAAATAACCAGTCGCTTTGGTGATATTCAAGATCTATAACAATAAACCATTGTCTTCCTAAAGCATATATAGTTAACCGTACCAATATATTTTATCAAACTAAAGGAAACCAGGTGAAGAACCGATATTTTCTCCGATTCCTTCATCCCTTCCAGTATACGAGAATGGAACAAACTTAACGTTGAAATTAGAAACTCTCGATCCCTTGCTATCTTTGGAAATTCACTAAACAAATTAGATACCATCGTGCCACCATATTACTATATCTAGGGAAAAGAAAATTACAAATAATCCACTGTAAACTAAGATTATGCTGCTCAAATCTACAAGGCCATAAATTCCCCAGACACGTCGATGATAGCCCTGCTTGCCTCTGCGGTCACAAATTCGCAGATACCGAACACTATTTACTCGTATGCCGCATATATTCAGATGCAGAGAAAACAGATATGCCATAAACTTCAACATAATCATAAAACAATCAGTTGTCTGTTGAATGGGTCAACAAAACTTAGTCCTGAGATAAACACACTTATTTTCCAAGAAGTACAACAATTTATTCTCTTATCAAAAAGATTTAAATCTCCATAAAACAACTCTTAAGTTTTCAAGCCCTAACACTGTCTATTAAGTCTCTGTATTATCCATTATGTATCATATATGCTCTATATCTATGTAATTATGAATGTATGTATGTATATATTTATAATGTGTACAGGTATCAAAATTAGAGAGAGGAGTTACAAATAGGCATAGCCTGTTCCCCAATCCAAATTCAGATTTAATGAATAAAAATATTGTTTAAAAAAATCAATTTATATTTAAATTCTATATCATGGTCCAGTTAAAACATCGTATATTATGGGCAATACAAACTCACTGAATCTTACGAACGTCAAAAACAAATTCCAAAACTCTTATTCTTAAGTACCATGACTAAAATGTTATAATAATTTCTAAACTGACATCCATATATACTTAGTATGATAAAAAGCTGACGCATGGCGGCACATTCTGGCTTTCATATAATTATTGTCGATGTAAGGAATGTGGATGGCACTTGAGCATATCCGATATCCATAATAGGGTAGGTGCGTAGTGCGACGGCCCGACGCTGGAAGGTCTTCCACAGGTTTACTCTGTGGGTCTTCTGTATATTGTAGGGCCTTACTGGACGGTCTAGTGAAGCAATGGCCAAGATCAAACATAGTCAAATAAAACCGAATGGAATGTTGGTAAAGTTTTTTTATCCCTCGCCATAGATCGCGAGATGTACATAGGGTTAGGGCATGTGATTGTTGACGCCTTTGTGTGGTATGGTTAGGTTTAAGAATTTGGGGGAGAGGTTAAGTCAAGTCTCCACAGAAGCACTGACCTAGGATGATGAAAATTTAGTTCGCGATATTTCCTAGTTTTATAAACATGTATACAAGGGTGATTTCACTGTTTTTTGGTGTTGGTGGCGCTGATGGTCTTCCTTGGGTGGTGCTTCTGGTATTTTTGTTTCTGAAGAAAAAGGAATAAATTTGAGGCTCTCGGGGGGGGGGGGGGGGGGGGCTAGGGATTCTTATATATATCTAGTTGATTTTATTTACTCACGGTTAGGGCTAGGGTTTGATATATGGTTTGTTTTGGGTTATTATGCACCAAGATGTCGTTCAGATTTTTATTTTTAGAATATGCAATTATAAGTTTCTGTGTGAAGATTTTCGGGTGACTTTCCTGGAGATCAGAATAGTGTTTTCTGATGATATTGGACGCACTTGGTTCAATTATTTTTATTTCGATAATTCCCTTGCGCGTGGGGGTCTTTAGCAGTGGGAGGACCCGGGAAAAACCCCACGAGAGGTGACAGGCGACTCTACTACTCAACCTCGCCACTTGACCCAATGACAGACCTTCTGATTCAATGCACACGCGTTAACCATCCACCCCCTTGTAGACGTCTGTGTGCACGTAAAAGAACCCGTATAGCACACTGTATAACGTGTACCTGTCTTCATTAGCCCAGTTGGTGCAGATAAGTAGGGCATTAAATCCCATTTTATTTTTTCATTTTATTACAAGGAACAGTGTCTAGCCATCCTGTTTAGGTTAAAGAAACCATAGACAGTTCGAATTCGAAATAAAATTCTCCATTATTCCGGTCGGTGCAGAAAAGTTGGACGTTAAATCCATTCCTTTTCATTTTAGATTAATTTGGTTTTCTTGCCTAATTTATTATATCCATGCCAGTTTTAATTTATACTCCCGCCATCATTAACCCGGTTGGTGCAGAAAAGTAGAACGTTAAATTCCATTTCATTTCAAAGTCTTATTTGTCTGCGTGCTATTATTTGTGAATTTCAATCTCCGGTAGACACTCAGTCTTATTTAGTTATCGTGTATTGAAGTATTCCTTTATCGTGAGTCGTTCAGTGCAAAATCTGCTTACATATTTATACCCAATTCAAATAACTTGTTATGAATAACACTGTTGATTTAATGAATCCGGGACTTATATAGGACCAATGAAAATGGTTTCACCAAGACCAACAACCCGGACATCCTTGGGGTATGGTCGTGGGCGGTGGGGGGGGGGTGAAACACAGTGCATTTGATGTTGAAAAGTTAGTGGAACTGATTCCTGGATTCAAAATATCAATAGTAACGTCAATTCTAACAGTTTTAAAGTGAGTACCGGTATTTAGGTGTTGTAATGAGTGATGTTTCCACGTGGCAAATTTGACCCCCACTCCCACTTCTAAAATGTTCATTCCCGCAATTCTTTCAACAGTACAGAATAAATTAATGGGGAGGGTGACGTTAACCTCCATTTACCATTCGACAACTATAAAAGATACATTTTCCAGTTATCTAGACGAAGAATTATTAAACAATTTCTTGCCATTTGAGATTCAGGTTTGGCCCTTTTTCTTCTAAAAGCTGAAATAATTGACTTAAGTCGTTTCTTGTATAACATGAGGTCAATTGGATATTGAAGTAGTATTTAGTTAGGGACCGATTATAGGACATACGTAATCTTCATTTCCCGAAAAGTATGAAATGGATAGAGTCCGAAATACGGAGACGCGTTTAACTCATGAGTCACACGCACTTCCAAAAATCCCCATGACATACAATATGCAGCGCCGGATTAACCACGGATTATACTGTTTAAGTTCTGGTCAATTGTGTTAGGTTTGGGGGGGGGGGCACCATCATGTTTAATCCAGCGCTGATAATATGCCCCCACTAGCATGTGCAATTTTAAAGATGCTTTTTATAACACAGTAACTTACTTGTATATCGGAATGGGCTGGTGGGTGGTTGTTGTCGATGTCTATTCTGCTAACTATATCGTTAATGGTAGATGCTGTAGCCCAACATCCCTTGCTTTTTTCACAGCACTGCCATATCACTAAATCGTTATTCTTTTTCTTATTTCAACATAATGAAATCAACCTTTTTTTTAAAAAATTAAAACTTTGACTCGGGGCTCAATGCCAATAAATTCAGCTGAATTATGCTTAGCGCACGTGCAGGGGTCTTTCTTTCCTTTGGGATGAAACCGGGGTACCCGGAGTAAACCCACGAGGGTGGGATGGCGCCCCTATCTCCAAGACACATACAAACTGATTAGCAGTGTATATACGCTAGTCGGCTACAGTCACTGATAGGGATGACATCGATGTGACTTAATGAGCCCCAAATATTAACTTTTTTCCTTCTGAAAATTAAATTCTAGAACATTTTTTTTAAGCATTCGAAAAATAAATAACGGTGTTTCAAGTATATGTAGGTAAAAAATGGGTATGTAAAATGAGTAAAAGGCACCATTCTGCCCAGACTAGTAGCAGGCCCGAAGCTTGCTGGCTTCGGAGGGGCAGTGAAGTTTTTAGAGGGGGCGCACCCGGTAAAGTCTATAGTATGTATTTTAGAGGTATGGTCGGCAAATTAATTTTTCGGGGGGGGGGGGCAAAACATTTTTTCAAGAGGTCATTGCCCCCCCCCCCTTGCCCCCCGCTGGCTACGGGCCTGACTAGTAGCGTCTTATGTAAAACAATGCACGCGCCATTAAGCCAATTATCTTTTAAGCAGTTATCTTTTACAGAGCTATACTCTGTGTATATACTCCTGTGAAACAGACTGAGACACATACGCTCACACCAAGGATCGAAACCATGACCGCAAGCCAGAGGTGACCGACCATCTAGAGATCGAAGCGCGACACTCTGGGCCATCCCAACGTGTCCCGTATCTCACAAACTTTAATAGTCAAAATATGAACTCGAAACCTACGGGGTGATAACTTTGTTATTTACGAATACTCGTTATTTTAATACGGTTCAACATCATGCCCGTTGACCAACCCGCCAACAATCCCGTCCGACTTGAAAACAGTAATATCACGGGAGTGAATATTGATCAAAGTAAAGAACTGTAATTCCGTAAGTAATTGACACCTAATGCGTGAAGCCGTAGCCTTGGCTAGAAAGTTTCATTTAAATTGTAGGTTGTGGGCCTATTTGCGCTCATCGGCTATTTTTACTGTGTCAGGGTAAATTACTCTGCTACTATCAACGAATGTACGTGCAAACTCGTCCAAGTTATCATGAATGTCTAGTAAAATACCAAGCCCAACCAATGCGTTCACAGGGTATTTTTGACGTATTTTAACAAACTGTTAAGGGCGATAACTCCACAGATAATTAAGGAAGCCCCTTCAAATCTATTCCGAGGTCTCGTGTATATAAATCACATACAAGGTAAGCATATACTAATGTATTTACATGCCTTTCTAACGTATTATCACTCTGTAACAATTGAGAAACATGTCATGACATTGTAGTCTCGGATGCCCTTACAAGGAATTGTGGGGACGACCGACGAACAGCCAAGTCACATTTTGTGACGACAATATACTTCAGTATTAAATTCCCTTTGTCAGTGGTCCAGGACGGAGGAGCTGGCAAGAACAGCTGAGTAGTCTTTCGGATGGGACGTAAAACCGAGGTCCCGTGTACACATTGGCGTGCACGTAAAAGATCCCTTGACAGTTGGAATTCGATACATTCAAGCGTAGGCCTTACCGCCGCTGTCCGAGCAAAATTTCCCTAATAGCACACTGTATGGCGTAGGCAGGCCTATGCCCGTCTTCATTAGCCAGTCGGAGCACAACATAAGGACGTTAAACCACATTTCATTTTGATTTTATCAGTATTAAATGTAGGCGTAGGCCTGTGATAATTAATGACAATAAAATAATTGGTTGTTATATTCGGAATGATTAGGGTCTCCAGTAACATGCATATCAATAGGTCTGTTACAAACTATGACGTCTGTAGAATGTTTTTCACTATCGTGTTTACACTTTCCCGTATGTCTATAATCAGACATTCTTCAATGTCGTCTGGTTCTTCCATAGTTACTAGCTGTGATGATAACATACCAGATGACATGAAATGGCCCGTTCTCTTCTGCATTCGATCTCTCAATACAGCCTCCTCGCCTTTTAGATACACTAACTTAAAGGGAATGGGTAGATTTTCCGTTTCACAAATTTCCTGAATATTGCTATATCGTTTTCCATAGCGTAATATTTGTCGATACACTTTCTTTAATGCTGAACAAGTTATTACTACTGTCTGTCCTTTAGTTTGAAATCTGAAACAAAACCAAATTTGGTAATTTATTAAAGTATCACACTATTTGAATTAATTACGCCGGGTTGTAACAAATTATTAACACTTGCACGTTTTCGTTATATTCCATGCTACCTGCTAACGACTTGCACAACTCAACAAAATTCGCAGAGGGGGTGTATAATTGTTATATCTGTAAAATTTCTGGACATTCATATTTATTTCAAAAGAAAGGTATTATTGTTAGTTATTCATATTACAGTATCCTTTTAGAATTTTTTCCAGGTAGAAAATATATACGTTGAATTTTACTTACCCCTTAAGAAAATCGTGTATAGCCAGTAGCCACGGCAATCTATCCTAAAACACAATCACCCGATAACAAAATTTAAAGGTAACATTTTTTAAGATACGATCATCTTTGCAGAAATATTGATGTGGTTTTGTAGTTCATAGTTGTGTGACATTGACTGTATATATCATTTATTCATTTCTCCCTGCCTCTGTCGGAATCTCGTTACCACATTCTTATTCTGCCCAGAATAAAAATATTCCTATAATTCATCTGGTAAAATTAATTACATTTCTACGGTTTGAACAAACTACCGCACAAATTAAACGGAAATGTATTTAACAGGCAATGTCTCGGTCACAATACATGGGCTTTAAGGGGAAGTCTAGGACTTTCAAGTTTGTGCGACACAATTTAAAAAGAAATGACATATTTCCTATAATCGTCTGAAGGTGTTACTCAGTGAATTCATCAGTTAGGAAATAACGTTTGAATATAAACTGCATTTAGAGGCGTGTGTGGCCTTGAGCAGAGTAGTTACCAAGATAGGGCCAACGTCAAGTTTGGTGTGAGGTCTGCATGGGGGATTACCCGAATATGATAAAATCAGAAGCTCTGAGACAAGATTTCTGCTCAAGTTCGGTGCATACATCTATAGGATTAGAGTGGAGTGTAGCCAAAACGGCAGCAATGTTTCGCATGTTTCTTTGCGCAAGCAGGTGGGGCTCGGGGCCTACCCCCGGGCGCCCCTCTGGTCACGTTCCTGATGCAATACTCAACTACCACATTATCCGGAAAAATACAAGTATGCACTCAACTACCCGATTGCTTTCCTTTCGGTAAAATTGCGTAGCACGATACAAGGACAATTGTTTCTTATGCTAGGTTCCCACTGTCCCTATCGAGTCCACGATCTTGCACGTACAGGTACGTTTGGATACGATCAGCAATATTGCTACCACTGACCTCAATACTAAGTAGCAAAAGAAACGTCAGGTTGGTATGTTACTCTGAATAGACGCATTGCATAAAACTTGTCAAATGTTTTTATTGTATATTTGTGACCACATCTCCAACTTTACCTGAGCAATAAGGCTCCTCCCCAAACACAGAAATGAACCCAGGAAATGTTCTCAAAAACGCAGCCAGACTTCTGAGATGGTAATGTGTTCTCCATGGTTTTCATGTAACTCATGCTGCACGTGCTGTTCACCTGGACCAGTCCTATAAAATGCACCCCCATACCTGGTTGAATCATTCACACTACAACGTCAGCAGCATGCCACGACTCACGACAGCTCAGGGGAACCAGGCGCTTGGAAGACTCGATGCTGGCCACACTGCCAATCACTCCCAGGTCAATGTTCGGACTAACTTCAGGCTTCAGCAACGATTTCGGGCCACCAACACCACGGATGATCGCACCCGAACTAGTAGACCAGGGGTTACCACAAGGCGACAAGACCGCCATATTGTGCGACAGCACGTGCAGAATCCCTTCACACAGGCATCTGAGACAGCACGTCAGACAGTGGGAACACACGGAAGACCCATCAGTACCGATACAGTGTACCGACGTCTCACCAGAGACCGTGGACCGATCGTCACACCTCGCCATCGACGTGAACGTCTACAGTTTTCCCAACAACACCAGAACTGGCGACACAAGCAAAGAAGAACTGTTCTGTTTACAGATGTGAGTCGGTATTGCAGATGGCAGGACCAGAATATGACGTCGACGTGGCCAGCGTTTTTCTGACCACTGTGTCATGGAACGAGACTCGTGCGTAGGTCCAAGTATAATGGTTTGGGATGGAATCGGCCTGAACCAGAGAGTGGGTCCTGTGGTGTTCCAAAATCTTGATCCGGGGAGAGGAGGCGCTACATCGATCAAGCTCTCAGACCCCACGTCATACCATCGAAACAACTTTTTCCAGCATGACAACGCCCGTGTCCACGCCGCCAGAGTTACTCGGGACTTTCTACAGCAGAACTACAGCAGAACGGTGTCAACGTTATGCACTGGCCAGCCCTTAGTCCGACTGACAATCTTTGGAATGAAATTCAGAAGAGACTTAATAACGTCGTACGGCGACCAAACACAGCCGATGGATTGTGCCAGGCTTTTCTGAGAGTGTGGTTCCAGGTGCCAATGGCGTTCATCAATCCACTCCTTGTAGAAACGCTGATCTGCTGTTATTGACACTGCGGTGGACACACCAGAAACTGGTGTATAAACTGTGTATAGACTCTAAACCTTCTCGTAATGTCTTGGAATTGTGATGAATTAATCACTTATGTGATTTGATTAAAGTGCCTCTCTGATTTTAAAATCGTACTGACGTTTTGTTTTTTGCTGAAAGGATCACCACGATTACTCCACGATTAAAACCACAGCGCGAATCGTGATAGTGGGAACCCAGCATAAGAGTCTTTAACACGGAATTAACATTTTATTCATTAAATATATCTTACCTACCTCATCAGTTAATGGCATACCACTGGCCATCTTCTTTTTATTTTCATCAGTATGAAAGCTGTCAGCATCTCGAAACACACTATTTAACTAAATAGAAAAAGAAATGGTGTTTAACACGTGTCGGATTTATCTATTTAGGTTTGGCAGACTGATAGGGCCTGAAGATGTATAATACATTTGACACTCAACTGTCATAAGGCGTTCTTACACACATTGCACTTGCAGTCTTAACATTCGCCATCATCTTCGATCGGCTTTGCACAATTGTGTTTAAAACCCTCTAGTCATGAGGGTGGGGGATTGGGAGGAGCCTCCTAGCTGAATAGCCTATAGGCTCCCTTCATCTAATTCCGGCACTTTGTTTTATGTTCTCTTTACACTAACCATGTCAATTAACGTTCTCTCTACACTAACCATGTCATTTTGGGTCTAACATAGTTATTTAGTTTTAGGTAATTTATAGAATGTGGGAAAAGAAGTGGGGAAAACTATATAAGTAAGGGTGGCGAGTTAGTTTTAACGTCCACTCTCAATACAAACTAGATCAATAATTCACATGACATACATCATGTACCTTCATTTCAATTATTGGCTTGTGCACCGGTATCATTAGGCCCAGGCGGATACCGGAGATCGCCCACGAGTTTAGGCAGGCGATCTGACACATTGTCACCTACTTGAAGCGCGGAATAAAAAACACACGACCACTTGAATCTATAACAGACCTTGTGATCTGAAGACCACAAAAATATTCCTGTAACTGTTTCCTGTTTTCGTTATAGGATTCCCATGAAAAATTATACAATTAAATGAAATAGGGTTTAACGTCCTACATTTCTGCACCAGTCATGCTAGGACGGAAAATGTGCCCGGACAGCGGCGTTTCCGCTTACTCTTTAACGAATCCCTATTGCCAATGTGTAAATGGCACCTCGACTAGACCCTGTTCCTTGTCAGATCTTCCATCCAGTGCCGCTGACAAGGGGATACCCAGCTGGAAAATCTTGTGGCACTTTCGCGGCAACCAGGATCGTTTCCGGGACCTCCGGATTAGTGGACCAGCCTCTTATCCACCAGCCCCCCCCCCCCCCCCACACACACACACACACCATCACGCACAAAAAACAAACGAACTATACCACCCAGGCTTTTTAAACTATCATTTCAGTGTTTCTTTGATCCCTTTATTACCTGCTCAGCAAGACTGGTTCCAATCGTAGTTCTGTAAGAGGAAATAGAGATCATTCGTTGAAAAAACACGAAAAAAGAAGTAGGCTAGGCATCTCGAGACAACTCAACTAGAGATAGGAGCAAAGTGTCCCGACCACAATTATATATGTAAACGTAAATTCTGTGTCAGTTATTGGAAAACACGCCTCTGGATTACTTGAGTATGTACTACGGTTTGTTGAACCGCAGATATTCCACATTTGATAGTCGGCATTCCTACAAAATTCTGCTCTCAGGTACTTTTTATTTTCATTATAATACAAAAACGTTCAAATTCCACTTCAACATATATTTTAATCAAACCCAAACCTTACAGAAATCAGTTCGGTCAAATAAATCACGTTGTATTAAGGGGACATAAATCTTGGGTGAATAGAGTTAACCACGATAATCCAACCCAGGATTTTCGACGGATCGAATGACGGTCGGGTAGACTTTAACCTGACCACCACCACTCTCATTTAGTCATTACCCCTAGCTGCATTATTGAGTGCGCAGTGAATACGGGTTAGAGTTCGGTGTGGGCCCCTACTTTTTTTCTACAACCAGAAAGAAATTAGGTTCAGTTATAGTTAAAATATTTTCTTTACCTTTTGCTTACTTTCATGTTAGTAACTTTTAACAATTACGTAATTGTTTTTCAAATTTGCAGTTGTCTTAGAAGAAAGAAAATTTCATTTGTATGGTAGCCTACTGGTGCGGACAGTTGACTACAGGCCACACATGCCCATGCAATTTTAGAATTCCCCAGCAAATCTGTTTTTAAAATAGAAACCATCTTACTTGCCACTCCCACACACGCCCATCAAAATATAAATCATTGGAAGAGATGAAAAACGGGAAACACTAATCCGCCCCTAACCTTGCCACTGCAAGCCAGCCTTCTGCAGTTCTGGTATCAAGGCTACTGATAGTAGTGATAGTAGCTGTCACCTTGACGTAAAGATATAATAAAAAAAACTGGAATGGGAGAAGACAAAATATAATAGTAATAATGCTATAGGCCTACGCTACGCTTACGTCAACTTTCCAACAGATATGAGCAAAATAAAAATACAATTTAGTTTGAAATCTAATTAAACTCGGGCGTTTTTCTTTTACTGTTAAAACATTTGACTTCGTACAGCAATGACGTTGTACTGCATGCTCAACGAGCGTGCAGTTACTCAGCGCACCTGCTTTGACCTTTGTTCACGTGACCACAGAGCGCCATCTAACGGAGAAAGCCAGTACAAACGAATCGACAGTTTGGATGCTTCCGTAGCGTTGCTTTTTCATAATAATAGGCCATTTTTCGTGTGATTAGCAAATAAACCGGAGAAAATGTTCCGGAAAAAGAGCAGTAAAAGTGACCTCCAGACGGAATATTCGTGTAGCATTCGTTTTCTGGATGATTCTGAGCCGATCCAGCTTTCATTCAAGGTATGTTATTTTGCTTATAATTTTCTACTTTACTTTGTGCTGACGGTTGTCGGAGCGAGGGCAGCCAAGGCGAAGTAGAGTCACACCGGTAGTTATTATATAGAACTATAATCAAAATTATATTTCATGTTTATACAATATTTCTCTGCAGTAAAATCAAGAAAAAGTTAAATGAGTGATTTAAAGATAAACAGTTTCCAGTTACATGTATTATATTAAATTTGCTTTTACTTTACTTTAGGCTTAGCCACAGTTCATATTTTATTTGCAGCTAGGGCAATGCCTTGTACATGTAAATATGTAACCCTAGGTTATAAAGGTACTTACAGAAATTTAATTAAATATTCAGACATAAGCCATGGTAATTATGATATATACATGTAATGTAGGTTATTCTTTCAATAATGATTTGTATTTTAGCACATAGTAGATACCGGTAGTTGAAGAATAGAAATGAAATGGGGTTTAACGTCCTACTGTTTTGCTCCGAACTGGGCTAATGAAGACGGGCATTCGCCATACCGTGGGCTATGAGCAAAATTTTGCCCAGACAGCGGCACTACGGCCTACTCTTATATCAAATTCCAACTGTCAAGGGATCTTTTACGTGCACGCCAATGTGTACATGGAACCTCGGTTTTTCATATCATCTGAATGACTAGACAGCTGTCCTTGTCAGGCCCTCCGTCCTGCATCACTGACAAGGGGGAACCACACCGGAAAATCTGGATGAACTTTCTCGGCCAATGCAGGGATAGAACACCCGACCTCCAGGCTAGCGAGCCAGCGCCTTACCCACTTAACCACCGTGACTCCCTTGAAGAATAGAACAGACTGCAAAGAAAAATGAATAGGCTACTGAGATGCAATGAAAATGCACCATTATGTGTTTGTAAATCTTGTCTGAGACAATCATTTAATCTTGCAATTCTAAATGTAACATTAGATCACTACGATAATATGGGAGCATCATGTTTTCACAATCGCTTTAACGCACCACAGATTAATTCCCTCAAAGACAAAAAATTGGAATTGACAGAACGGGAATCTTGAAAATCACAATTTTCTTGTGCAGACATGGGCTATAAAAAGTGGCTGTTAAAGGTACAGTCAGTACAACACCTACAGTTCTGTGGAAGATACAACAATATGCCATAATTGACACCTGAACACCTTGAGAGCACTATATTGCATTAATTCAAGAAGGCATGAGTAGCCTATAAGAGAGCACTGTAACCCGCATTATCTCATGCAATGTTCCATGACATGTGTGTTGGCTGTAGGTGGAGGCACATGTGATAGAAAATAAAGTTGTTATGACTTCCATTCCATGGGTTGTTGTTGGTGATTTTCCTCTAGTGGTATATGTCCAGCCTACAATCATGACAAAATATATTTCATCTGCATTATGTATTGACAGAATGTTCATTCAAATCAGTGATGTGGTTTTTATTGAGTCTTGGTATTACAGGTATTTCAAAATTAAGGAATGTGACTGTAGGTTATTAAAAACAAAATATTGGTACTAGTATTATGAGAAAGATTACCAAGTAAACTGTTGACAAATTCCCTGCATGAATGTTTTTATTGCCTTTTTAAATGCTATATGTATTCATTCCTAGGCATACAGGTATAGCAGTAATAGGATTCATGTGACTGAGTTAGATGTTTTATGTTAGACGCAAACTGCAACATATGTCCAATAATGAATAATATTTAGTTCTGAGTCATTTCCAATACTTGTTTAAATTTATTTAGAGAAATTGTATATCTATGTAGAAATTAATTGTCAATATCATTGCCATAACAGTGCATAAAACTATCACACTCTTTTCTAAATTTATATGGCCTATCATTCATTGTAGGTTTAATATTACACCTTAATTACGGCATATTTAGCTTATAGATTTAGGAAGCCACAAATCCTTCCATAATTATTAATCCCCTTATTTATATGAATGTCATTTATTTTGTGACCTTTGGGATGATAAACTTGACCTCATTAACCCACTGTACATGTATATCTTACACTCATTGTCCGAGTTAGGTAATACATTCTTAAGATGTCTTTTTAAAGAACAAAAGGATTTAAAGAACAAAAGGAATGTTGGTGATCAGTATATAATTGGTCTAGTTTTACAGCCTGAAATAAACTTCCCCTTTCTATTATGTAATACTAATGGCTGGCTGTAGGGATTATACATAACAATAATTTGATATATATCTTTTTACTGACCGTTATTATTAGATAATGCAATATTAGGAATATAAATGACATGACATTAATGCAGTGTAGTAGATAATAATACAGTGTTTTATGGTCATAATGGATATCCTACAATAAGGTGATTCACGATACATGTACCTGTACCCCATACTGGGGTTTAGAATTTGCAGTTACTATCAGTATTTATTGTTCAGTATAAAATGTGCTTTGTGTGCTCTAAATTACAATGTACATGAAGGCCTACACTTACAACATACAGTAAAACATGTACCCCATTAAATTCATCTGTTTTAATATGCATAAATTTGTATTAAAAAGATAAAAATATGGGCTTCATGTTTCAATCGCATTTGTCTTTTGATAATATGTCTATTAACCTTAGGCTGCACAAGTTGTTCTGCATTAGTCAATATCTACATGTACTGTACATGTCTACTTTGTTATACTATAGATATTTTCTGTCATATGTATTATTTGTGTTAAAAGAGAAAGTATTTTTGTTCGTTTTACATTCTGAAAGAAATGTGTTTTAAAGGGAAGGAAATTTCATTTAAAAGTGAAATTATTGTACATATTTACATGTATATATATTATACATATATCCGGCCCTATGGTTTTATAATAACCTTGATTTAACATGTACTGTAGGTTGGCTTGACATAGACACTTTTTTTATTAGTTTAATTTGTTAGTTACTATTAAGAGCTATACTGAATAAAAAACCTTACAAGGTTATGTGCATACTGGTATATAAAAAAAAAACCCAAAAAACCCATGAAACAAAAAAAAATCAAACATAGGATGCACTATACATGTACCTGTAGATCATAAGGCCGGTTATACATGTAGGTCCAATTCCACATTAGTACATACTTGTACCCAAATTGAAGTAGTCTTGCCTGTCTAGCATCATTTTTCTCTGTTATCCAAGTAAAAATATACCAAATGTTAGTCATGAAATGACCTACATGTAGTTAGTGTTAGTGGCTATTAAACTCACTAAAACAAGATTTGAAAAATGTCAAGACTTTGTACTTTGAAACTTTTTATTTGAATCAAAAAACTTACTACATGTACATGTAAGTTATTAAGGACAGCCATGGTAATACAGAATGATAATGAATTAGAGTAGAAGTGTATGAATATATACTTAGCTAGATCGTGGGTGGGATGGGATAATACATGTATTTTGAGAAAACTGGGACTGAGGGTTGTATAGTGGTCTTCTGGAGACTGTCTCCACATACCGTACATGTACATGTAAACTGTACATATAGGAGACATTCTTGTACGTGTACCTTCATGAAATTACCTTTGTTCATTACAACAGTTTCTTGTGACTTTTATTGGACATTATTTATTATAATACTGAATACAACAGTGTTATATTCGTAATGTGGTCTATCATATAACTGTGAGAATTCTAGTGGAGAATAGATCAATTTATTAGCTCTTCAGGTCTTGAATGACATCTTGTTGCAGCATAGAAAAGATAGAGGCGTGTTTACTTGTTAAATATTGGAATGGTTCGATTCATTTAGACCTCATGCCTTAACAGGTTTTTATTCTCTACTAACCTATTAAAAAAAGCTTGTGTCAACATAATTTGGTATTGATTGAGTTGACATTTTTAGTGAAGTCTGAATCAGAATTCTGAGCATTTGAATATTTCTTTATGATTTGTTTGATATTTTGTAAGAGATTTGTGACATTGCATAAGGGTAATACATGTAAATGCTAAAACACAGTATTTGTGAACAAAAGTGTCTCATAGCTCATCAGGGTGAAAAAATAAATTTTCTTGCAGTGCTTTGCAATTCTAAGTGTCAATACATGTAGTTCAATATTTTGGTGATTAAAAATACACTTTTGTGAAGCTTTTTAATCACTTTATTCAAATTCAAATCAATAAAAAATGTTTTAGATTTTAAAATTGCGCATTGAAAAGTATATTATAACTGAAGATCACATTAATTTTGTAATGTAAATTTACCTTAAGATACAACCCCATGGTTACTGACACTACAGATTAGCCATCTTGCACTTTTGAGCTATTTAATGCCCCAACTTTTGAACATGTGATTCATGAATGCCATAATGCTACAATATTTCAAACATTGATCAAAAGGGAGTAATAAAAAACAATAGCCATTTTGTAAACTGAATATCTTTCTGCGTTTTTCATGCACATAACAAAACTTGTCCACTGTGATTCTGAAAATTTGACAGAAACATAGTTTTTGTAATTTAGCCATAACTTCCTTAATACACTGACATGTCTATTTGTATAATTCAACTACCAAAATGTATTATAGGAAATGTTCTATAAGCATGTATTTATATTCTTTCCAAAAAAGTCACAGAAGATATATTAATTTGAGTTTCAAAATACAATTTATTGAAGTGAGACTTTTGGAACATTGAAGATATACATTGACTTGAAATATGGTGGTCATCAGGAGAGGCCATTGTTACAACTATTGTGTATAAGAAATGGACTGTAAATGCTGGAAGTCGTTTCCAAACTGTAAAACATCAACAAATTGAAATCTGAACAAATATTGTGCTTTACCCAAAAGGTTTCTAGTTTCTTCTTAAGAGTGTGTGTCGGGTGTATACATGTAGTCCAATCTGTGCATTGTAGATCATAAGGCCTGTTAGTGTTACAGCTTTGTACATGTATGTGATAAGGGGTTGGATTGACTACCTAACTTTGTGGGTTGCTCCTGGTACTCCAGACTCCTTCCACAAGCAAATAACTAATACTGAAATA